AGCGGCTCCTCCTTATCAATTACGAATCGTAATTTAATCTCTTATTATTGCGCCGCGCGTGCTCTTCGATTTCTTTTTATTGTCGCCGGGGAAAATCCCTCGCATTTTTAAAGCGCTTTCTCGAACTTTTGCTGATTGCTGATTGTCATCAGCGATTATTTTGTTTAATTCCAATTTGCCACAAACCACATCGAAATCGCGCGCGCACAGAAAAAATCATAATTAAAAAAGTTCTCAAGTTAAACATCTTTGTTCTCACTTGATGGATGCTTGAACAGTCGTTAACTTTTTTTTGGAACAAGCGATACAAGCAATAAAATATTAATTCTATTTTTAATTAATGGGCACAAGGCTTTCGCAGTTTATGTAGTTTCTACCTGCGCCACGTGACAATACCGTACTCATCAAGAATTGTAACTAATTAATTGCACATTTGTAAAACACGTAATTTCGTGATTTATTACGCGCGCTATTGTTGCATTGCGTAACGCGCGCGCCCGAGTGCGAAGTAAATGTTAATTTACGTGCAAATCGAAACAAAACGTCCGAAAGTTCCGTGATAACGAAATAATTCATTAAACGGCGAAATCAGATACAAGTTTTATCGCGCAGGTCGTGGCTCATTGCGCGCGGAGAAATTTGCTGCTCGTAACTCGATTATTCGACACGCAACTAAACAACTTAATTGTGAGTTGGCCGCGCGGGCCCCGGCGTGGAATCGATGCGTTTTATTAGACGTTATTTAATAGTGGCACGGGTTAATAGCTTTTGCTTGATTGTTATTTGTAATCTCGGCGAGTTTATGTGCGTGCACGCCGAGATGGCAAAAGGGCAGCGCGTAAATGCGATATTGAATCGCGTATTTAGCTTCTCTTCTTTCCCTGGGCGTGCTGGCCACGTCGCAGAAAGTCATAAAGCATTGTAAACCACGCACATTATGCGCGTTCAGGTTCGGCGTGTATTTTTGCCTGCACGCGGTGCGTATGACCTCTTATTTATCTCTTTTAGTTTACGAGATATTCGCGATTGAATAAAATGGGCAAAAATTGCAAAATGTCACTTTTAGCACTTTTAGTCGCGTTTTTCGGCCTTTTACTGTGGGAAATACAATTGTTTTATATTTTTATCAGATAGAGAATTTTCCAGTCTTTCATAATCAGCAATTCGTTGGTGGCTATCGCTTTTAGTTTAAGAGATATGAATTTTTAAAATCGTCGAAAAAAGTATCAAGCACCCCCTTGGCGATTTTTTCTTAAGAATTAAAATTTCATCTCTCAGATTTCCGTTTTAACTATCCTATCTGATAGAGAACAGTCCGTAGATTAAAACGCTGCGATCAGATCTTATTTATCTCTTTTAGTTTACGAGATATTCGCGATTGAATAAAATGGGCAAAAATTGAAAATGTCACTTTTAGCACTTTTAGTCGCGTTTTTCGACCTTTTACTGTGGGAAATATAATTATTTTATATTTTTATCTGATAGAAAATTTTCCAATCTTTCATAATCAGCAATTCGTTGGTGGCTATCTCTTTTAGTTTAAGAGATATGAATTTTTAAAAATCGTCGAAAAAAAGTATCAAGCACCCCCTTGGCAATTTTTTCTTAAGAATTAAAATTTCATCTCTCAGATTTCCGTTTTAACTATCCTATCTGATAGAGAACAGTCCGTAGATTAAAACGCTGCGATCAGATCTTATTTATCTCTTTTAGTTTACGAGATATTCGCGATTGAATAAAATGGGCAAAAATTGCAAAATGTCACTTTTTAGCACTTTTAGTCGCGTTTTTCGACCTTTTACTGTGGGAAATATAATTATTTTATATTTTTATCTGATAGAAAATTTTCCAATCTTTCATAATCAGCAATTCGTTGGTAGCTATCTCTTTTAGTTTAAGAGATATGAATTTTGAAAATCGTCGAAAAAAGTATCAAGCACCCCCTTGGCAATTTTTTCTTAAGAATGAAAATTTTATCTCTCAGATTTCCGTTTTAACTATCCTATCTTATAGAGATTAGTCCGTAGATTAAAACGCTGCGATCAGATCTTATTTATCTCTTTTAGTTTACGAGATATTCGCGATTGAATAAAATGGGCAAAAATTGCAAAATGTCACTTTTTAGCACTTTTAGTCGCGTTTTTCGACCTTTTACTGTGAGAAATATAATTATTTTATATTTTTATCTGATAGAAAATCTTCTAATCTTTCATAATCAACAATTCGTTGGTGGCTATCTCTTTTAGTTTAAGAGATATGAATTTTGAAAATCGTCGAAAAAAAGTATCAAGCACCCCCTTGGCAATTTTTTCTTAAGAATTAAAATTTCATCTCTCAGATTTCCGTTTTAACTATCCTATCTGATAGAGAATAGTCCGTAGATTAAAACGCTGCGATCAGATCTTATTTATCTCTTTTAGTTTACGAGATATTCGCGATTGAATAAAATGGGCAAAAATTGCAAAATGTCACTTTTTAGCACTTTTAGTCGCGTTTTTCGACCTTTTACTGTGAGAAATATAATTATTTTATATTTTTATCTGATAGAAAATCTTCTAATCTTTCATAATCAACAATTCGTTGGTGGCTATCTCTTTTAGTCTAAGAGATATGAATTTTTGAAAATCATCGAAAAAAAGTATCAAGCACCCCCCCTTGGCAATTTTTTCTTAAGAATTAAAATTTCATCTCTCAGATTTCCGTTTTAACTATCCTATCTGATAGAAAATAGTCCGTAGATTAAAACGCTGCGATCAGATCTTATTTATCTCTTTTAGTTTACGAGATATTCGCGATTGAATAAAATGGGCAAAAATTGCAAAATGTCACTTTTTAGCACTTTTAGTCGCGTTTTTCGACCTTTTACTGTGGGAAATATAATTATTTTATATTTTTATCTGATAGAAAATTTTCCAATCTTTCATAATCAGCAATTCGTTGGTAGCTATCGCTTTTAGTTTAAGAGATATGAATTTTGAAAATCGTCGAAAAAAGTATCAAGCACCCCCTTGGCATTTTTTCTTAAGAATTAAAATTTCATCTCTCAGATTTCCGTTTTAACTATCCTATCTGATAGAGAACAGTCCGTAGATTAAAACGCTGCGATCAGATCTTATTTATCTCTTTTAGTTTACGAGATATTCGCGATTGAATAAAATGGGCAAAAATTGCAAAATGTCACTTTTTAGCACTTTTAGTCGCGTTTTTCGACCTTTTACTGTGGGAAATATAATTATTTTATATTTTTATCTGATAGAAAATTTTCCAATCTTTCATAATCAGCAATTCGTTGGTAGCTATCTCTTTTAGTTTAAGAGATATGAATTTTTGAAAATCGTCGAAAAAAAGTATCAAGCACCCCCCCTTGGCAATTTTTTCTTAAGAATTAAAATTTCATCTCTCAGATTTCCGTTTTAACTATCCTATCTGATAGAGAATAGTCCGTAGATTAAAACGCTGCGATCAGATCTTATTTATCTCTTTTAGTTTACGAGATATTCGCGATTGAATAAAATGGGCAAAAATTGCAAAATGTCACTTTTTAGCACTTTTAGTCGCGTTTTTCGACCTTTTACTGTGGGAAATATAATTATTTTATATTTTTATCTGATAGAGAATTTTCCAATCTTTCATAATCAGCAATTCGTTGGTAGCTATCTCTTTTAGTTTAAGAGATATGAATTTTTGAAAATCGTCGAAAAAAAGTATCAAGCACCCCCCCTTGGCAATTTTTTCTTAAGAATTAAAATTTCATCTCTCAGATTTCCGTTTTAACTATCCTATCTGATAGAGAATAGTCCGTAGATTAAGACGCTGCGATCAGATCTTATTTATCTCTTTTAGTTTACGAGATATTCGCGATTGAAAAAAATGGGCAAAAATTGAAAAATGTCACTTTTTAGCACTTTTAGTCGCGTTTTTCGGCCTTTTACTGTGGGAAATATAATTGTTTTATATTTTTATCTGATAGAAAATTTTCCAATCTTTCATAATCAGCAATTCGTTGGTGGCTATCGCTTTTAGTTTAAGAGATATGAATTTTTAAAAATCGTCGAAAAAAAGTATCAAGCACCCCCTTGGCAATTTTTTCTTAAGAATTAAAATTTCATCTCAGATTTCCGGTTTAACTATCCTATCTGATAGAAAACAGTCCGTAGATTAAAACGCTGCGATCAGATCTTAATTATCTCTTTTAGTTTACGAGATATTCGCGATTGAATAAAATGGGCAAAATTGAAAAATGTCACTTTTTAGCACTTTTAGTCGCGTTTTTCGGCCTTTTACTGTGGGAAATATAATTGTTTTATATTTTTATCTGATAGAGAATTTTCCAATCTTTCATAATCAGCAATTCGTTGGTGGCTATCGCTTTTAGTTTAAGAGATATGAATTTTTAAAAATCGTCGAAAAAAAGTATCAAGCACCCCCCCTTTGCGATTTTTTTCTTAAGAATTAAAATTTCATCTCTCAGATTTCCGGTTTAACTATCCTATCTGATAGAAAACAGTCCGTAGATTAAAACGCTGCGATCAGATCTTAATTATCTCTTTTAGTTTACGAGATATTCGCGATTAAAGAAAATTGGCAAAAATTGAAAAATGTCACTTTTTAGCACTTTTAGTCGCGTTTTTCGACCTTTTACTGTGGGAAATATAATTGTTTTATATTTTTATCTGATAGAGAATTTTCCAATCTTTCATAATCAGCAATTCGTTGGTGGCTATCGCTTTTAGTTTAAGAGATATGAATTTTTAAAAATCGTCGAAAAAAAGTATCAAGCACCCCCTTGCGATTTTTTTCTTAAGAATTAAAATTTCATTTCTCAGATTTCCGGTTTAACTATCCTATCTGATAGAAAACAGTCCGTAGATTAAAACGCTGCGATCAGATCTTAATTATCTCTTTTAGTTTACGTGATATTCGCGATTGAAGAAAATTGGCAGAAATTTATAATCACCCGAGCACTCGACTTGACTCATAATCGTTTCTGTTTGTTCCAGGAATGAGATATCAAGATTACGTCAAAACTCCGAGCACTGATCAGTCTGCCTGGAATGAGAGTGGCACAGGTGGCGTCGGATTAGCGAAGGCGCAGATCGATCGAGTGTCAAATAGCGCGCTGGACTGTCAGTACTGACATTGACGTTCGTTTCGCGCATTCGAAATTCACACATTGCATCATATCATGTCGAGTTGACATCGCAGCGTAACAATTTCGTTATCGCGAGTGTGTCGTGTGCGGTAGGGCGGCCGGTGATGCTTTGAGGTAGTTTGCGACGACGAGCAGCGTACACGTCGCTAGTTTGACTCAAACTGCGTCAGGTGTAAACAAGGGACCTAGCAGTAGTGTGTGTGCGGCGCAGTGCCGAGCGGAACAGTGCCAGAATGGGGATACTCACGCGGAGGCGCTCATTCCTGATCAAGCTGGTGGTGGTCATCTCGACGGCATGGTTCACGATAGCGTTTCTCCTCTACTCGGAGAACCAGAGCGACCCCATCGCTCTGCCCCTGCAACAGGCGCCGCCGAATCTCCCACCGCAAAGCAACAACCAAGCCATCGAAATTGTCGTCGATGATAACGAGGTGCTGCGCGAGGAGCCGTTCCAGAAACCGGCCAAGAACAAAGTGGAGGAGTCCGATGCTGTGATCATGCCGCCGGATGGTGGGACCAATGCGGGCGAGATGGGCAAGCCGGTGATCCTGCCCAAGAAATTACCAGGTGAGACTTTTGTGTGTGCATTTCAGCAGCGAAATTGTGGTCTTATCAGCGCGCGCGCGCGTCTAATTTATGTTCGTCATGTCAAGAATTTTGTTTTCGTGCGAGCGGTGTATTTTATAACTGCCGGCGCGAATAAATACATGGAGTTGGCTGTATTTTGTGCAAGTCCCTGGTGGTCTTTTGCGGCGCCGGCACCGCATCTCCATGACGCAAGCCGCCAAGGCTGCGGCGAGACTACTATCAGCCCTAATCCCGGGTGTGGGAAGCAATTTTCCTTGCTGCAGTTTCATAGTCATATACCGAGACTTTCGCAAACTATTAAATTGCTTGATAACGCAGACACTTGAATTGCCCATGTATTCTATCAGCTGATATCGCCGAAATTATATTCTGATTTATCTACTGATAAAAAACACTTGAATTTCCTGGAAGTGATTATGGGACCTATTAAATTATCATTTTATTTTATTAAAAATAAATTCAATAGGTGTTTCTACGTGGGTCCTGAGTAGGTACCTAAAAGATTCGGAAAAACTTAATGCTTCAGGGACATAGACTTACTTATTTTGAACTAGAACAGTGGCCGACGTCGAGGGCGCGCACATCGCCCCGACTCGGGGATGTGGGATGAAAGCGAAATTTTAATTTGCATTTTGATTAAGTCCACATGCCGGGCAAAAGTTTTGCGGTAGTAAAGTTTTCGGGGGATTTTGAATGTGTTGCAGAGGATGTGAAAAAATTGGTTGATGACGGCTGGCTGAAAAACGCTTTCAATCAGTATGCCAGTGACATGATCAGCGTGCACCGTAGTCTACCGGATCCCCGCGATGAATGGTGAGTACAATTTACTACTACTACTCCTGTTTGTTGTTACTTCCGGGCGTGTTGAGTGTTTCTCCGTTTTGTATCCGCGTGTTTACGAAACCCGTGGTCTTGTAACTGGTACGGAACATCGCATTTCTGGCAACTGCAGCAGCGTTCTGGAAACTTTGACTTTGAGCCTTCTGATCTGGAGAGCGCGCGATTACCACCGGCAAAAAGCGTAAATTGTGGTCGAATTTGTGTTTTATCCTAATTTGTGCCGAGAGCACATTCTGCGCGCACGGCTGCAACCGTTATAAGTTACCGGCGAAAATCCCGGTTACCTTTTGATCTTGCAGCTTCCAGCATTAAGCCCATGCTTCTCGGGTCTTATGGTCATCTATTTTTGCAACGTCCCAACTTGCGCGAGTTTCAAGGTCTGAAAAGGTATCACTTGGAGTGGAAGTAGTTTCCACTAGAAAGTTCAACTCGGAACCTTTCGGTCTATTAGATACACCACCATTCGAATGGGCGCTTCGACAAGAAGTCGCATTAGAGGAGACGGCGGCGGGCGCTTCGAGCGCCCGGAGGCGGTTTATCCACGGCGCACGCTGATGCTTTCGGACGCCGCCTCAACCGCGGCCGAAACTTTCGCAAGTTTATCTAACTAACTCCACTACGCGCGTCGCGTACCTAATATTCTTGCATATTTCCATTTTATCATATTAAGGAAACGTTCGCGTGTGTGAATTTGAATTCCACTTCGATTACGAGCGGCGGCATCTTCGCGCGCCGAGGGTAGTTTAATCTAGCATTCGAAATTGTTGCGAATGTGCGAATATGCTTTAATCGAATTTGTTTGACGAGTTTCGAATGTTTGTTCGATTCAAGTTGCTGCGTGCAGCGCGCTCTCAACCCTAATGAACTGGGATTGGGCCAATGCAGACACCCGCTGGAAATTATCTTTTTGATATCCCAAGCCCAACTAGAAATAGAGGCTTTATTTGTTTAATGTTGAGATTGTAGCGTGCATTTTTGTTAATCAAAACCCCGTACGAATTAAAACACTCGGTTGAGATCGCAAGGGGTTGCTGCTTTCAGTCTGCGGTAGCATGGTGGATCATCTTTTTATGTGGTTGCAAGACTCGTGTGTGTTACGCCCGCTTAATTAAAAATCCCTTTCATCGAGAGCCGAGGACTACACATTGCTCCCCGGACCTATTCATTTTTGCTTATCTCGGCTCGTACTCATTTTTTTTTCTGCGCGCAATTTTCCCACTCGCTGCAATTGTGGCATGGAATTGCGTCGTTATTCTCCGCGCCCGTGTTTGATTTATTTCGCGTCTTGGAAAACTTTCCAACCAGCGTGTGTGTTGATTCCGGGAGTCCGATGTTTGCGCGTCTAATCTGCGCGCGCGCGCGCGAATTTGTGTACATTTCGTGCGTAAATAAAACGACGGCAAGGACGAGAAGCACCAGCAGCGGAGGCGGAGGACGTAAACAGTCGCGACAGCACGTCCCTAAATCATCAGTGTGCAAGCTGCATTGTGCATTGTTTCGTCCGCCACAGCGCTAGAAGAAAAAAAAAACACCCAACACGCCGCGAACAAAACGGGTGCGAATGCGTTGAGAGGGGTGGTTTTCACTTGCTAGTTTTTCCCTCGGCTGACATACGCGAGAGATACGACCGTGTGGCAGGACAACCAAACTGTACATTTGACTATATAATTTTAAAAGCGCGCTGCACACAATATCCTTTCATTTTTTTAAATCATGCGCCAGTATGCTTTATAGACGACAGCAACCTTCTGGCGTGTGCAGCGGCAGTGGCATTAAACCTATCAGACCACTATAGGGTTACTTGGTCCTTGCTACACCAGTGGGGGAGGAAAAAGTGCATATTATGTCCCCGCGCGCGCAAAACACGAGCGTAATACAGTTACCGTGCGGCTTTTGTACCCGAAAGGGCATTTCCCGCTTGCATTCCTACCGCCCCAGCTCATTTTTCATTTTGTACCTGCGCGCACATGTCGCATGTGTGCGTAGCGCTGGAAAATGATCTGCAAAAAAAAAAAACTACGCGCATTGTGCTTTAATTAATTTCGCCTAGCCGGATGGGAAATATCACGCGTTGCTTTCCATTATGATGTTATAAACCGCTGGCCATCGGAAAATGGCAACACTTTTATGCCTAGTTAATTCGCGATCTGCTGCGGTGGAAAATCCGAGGAGCACGTACCGCATCATTTCGCATTTCGGATCGCTGTTTCGCCGCCCGGCGCCCACGACGCTCATAAATCCAACTCCTTAAATAATTCACGTGCTGCCCCCTTCCGAAACAAGCGAAGCAAATAAACCTTGGAAAAAATAAAAATAACCAAGACATCGGCTTCGCTTCCGCGCTGTCCGTGCGCGCCGAAATAATTCACCGAAAGTCGAGAAACTAAAAACGAGGCTTTAAACAATCGTGCTGAACGCGCTCAACTTTTAAAATTTGCAAACTTTGCAGAGCATTAGCATTAAATTCGGCGCGGCGCTCCGCTTCGTGCTCGGATCGATGTATTATTATTTCGCCCACCAGAGGATATTTTTATGCGGGTTTGCAACATGATTCGCGCGTTTTCTCTCAATTTCGATTGCTTGCGCGAAAGAATAAAGAGATCACAAAGCAGCCGTGGGGTGGAAACGACGGCGGGGGTGGAGGTGTGAGTGGTGCAGGTAGGCGCGTGCTCTAAGTAGATGGCATTCGCTCCCATTGCGTGCATAATTTCACTCTTGGAGTGCGTCTCGAATTCCCAATTGAATTGCGCGAGGCGCCTGCATTGGGAACACGAGTTTTCTTTGAAACCGATGATATTCACGCCTGGCAAAGTTGTCGAAGGTTGCGAAAGATCTCGGTTTCAGTCAATTTGGACAAATTTATTAATCTCGGTTTGTTGCTAATCGTGCGTCATTTGGCGCTGATGTCGGCAGCGGGGGTGGATTTGACCTCGGCGGCAAATTTTATCGACTGCTGCATGTGCTTTCACGTGCTCGCAAACTTAATGCGCGTTGTTGTTTCGGTGCGCAGCGATACCCGAGGCGCTCTTCTTACTTCCGCGCCCCCGCGCCCAACGAATTTCAGCCATCCGCGTCACCGTTATGTTGACGTACGGCGGTGTCACGCGCACAATCCGCCTCGCGCGCCCGCTGTTTTGTTTCAATTTACGAGCACAATCAAACCTATAACGGATCGTTAAATTTACTTACTAAATTAGAACATTTACGATGCAATTAAAGTTAGTCGCGCACTTATATTCGCGCGCGTGCCCGGCGCCTCCGCCATGCGGATTGATGGCTGTTCGTTTTGTTTGCGAATCGCAAAAATTCACGGCCGGAATTGTCGCTGTTGCAGCCGAAATCGATTTGTATCGATTAGGCGACGAATTCGTCGTCGAGGCGTCTCGTATTTCTCGCGTAAAAGCGTTCCGAAGTAATGGGGGATAATGGGGTATAATGGGGATAAATTTAAAACCCAGCGTCGCGCACGCCAGATCCACAAACACAAATAACTCCACTCCGGACGAGACGGCACCGCACGCAAGGAGACGGATTGTAATGAGCCATCGATACATTTGTAGGTGGCCGCAGTCACAGTGGACCCGAAAATCCACCCCTATTTTTCCGCCTCGTGCACGTCCGACAAGCGAATTTCATTTTCAACTTCACGACTTAAACGTCCCAAAGCCAACACAAATTGAGCAACTGAGCCGAGAGGGGCGAGCGAATAAAATAAATGCTACGCGAAAGATTAAAGTGTTAAGGGATGGGGGCCATCGAATCGAATTGGCATTCTTTGGATAGTGGCCGAAATCGTATACGAATTCAAAACATCGCACGTCGAATGCCGACGAGGGGTTGTGCGAGGAGTGATTGAGCTCGGCCGTGATAAGAGTCGCACTAATTTCAGACCGGAATTCAAACTTCAAAGTTTCCAGTGCGTTTCTTTTCGATTTTCGATTGAATGATTGACAATCGTATGGAAAATTCAGATCGGATAAGAGACAGACCATGTTACGAGGCCCCGCGTTGACCTCAACACTCCTCCGCCACTCGAAACATTCGGCTAATTTCGATACTTTTGATCAGTGAATTCGTTGATTGCGCTCGATAATCGATAGTGAAATGTCGACAGTGAATGCCATCTTGGAAGCGAAGAAAGAAGACAAATTCAATTCAATCAATTATTTGTTGGTAATTGTCATGCATGAAATATTTGTGATTCAGTGTTCAGTTTTGCCTCAATTCACGTAAAATCAGCATCCGATTCAATTGGTAAGTGTGACATGAAACGGTTTTTTCTCTGTGAGAACTGTTCCAACCCATTCGGCAGGTCGTAGTGTGCGTTTTGTATGTCATACTAGTTGAAATGTTCAAATTTCGAGTGCGAGTAGCTTTCAACCTCCTCGGGGCCACGTTTAGTGCGCTCGGATGTGCCGGCAAATGGATGCGTGCGTTGTAAAACGACGAGCGACCGCCGGAGAGGCCGGGAGCGAATCATCCCGCCGTTGCCACTACCGCCTCCCGCACACACAATGCGAGGCGCGCTCTTCGAGCTTGGCAATCGCCTCGGCTACGGCTCGTTCGCCGACGCGGTCGCGTTGATTCCGTGCAGATTTTACTGCTGGAAACTTAATTACGCGGTAAAAGGGTTAAATTGTTGCGATTCGAGAGAGCGGCGGGTCCGCACGCGTAGCCCGGGATTTTATGAAGGAAATTATGTAATTCGATGTGCGCTCGCTCGCGAATATTTAATGCGCGCCGCGCCGAACTAGAATTAATTATGAACTATAACAAAAATAAAAAAGCAGCAGCGGCTGAGATGAAATAGCGACGTCGGAATTTTGGTCGACGGACGACACTTTTGATGTTCGATCGGCCCATGGACGCATTAGATGCACGTTCAATCAACGTCAGCGAAATGATGCGACGCCGGCGGCGGCGGCGGCGTAAGCAAAGCAGCGCCAATCAGCACGCCGCCCGGCAACATCATCGCGCGCCCTGGTCATGTTTATTGATGACGGTTGTATCGCAGATAGACCGGAAAGAGCACTTCGATGATTGACGCCTCGCCGACGACGATGAAAAGCGAAAGCAACAGCGACGCGCGCGATCGAAGATCGAGCGGTTCGTTAAAAATAACGTGTCGCCGGGCGAATGCACGCAAAAAATTGAGCACCATTGTGTGGGCGACACCAGTGACACCACTCACGTCGCCATCTTGGAAGCATATTGCTTTCGGGCGGGTTTTGCCTCTTAAAAATCACATCGCATAATCTCAATGCGAGTGAAAATTCACACACAATACTAGCGGCTGTCAGGTATGATTAACAACGGTCAGCTACCGGGGGTAATAAAGTACGACTTGATAGCGTTCGAGAATTTATACGTCTATTAGTCGATGAGTCATCACTTAATTAATCAATCGCTGGCAATTGCCCTTTCCCCTTAATATTGTTCAGCGTGCAGTCGAAGCCCAAAATTGCAGCTTCATCATAATTCCTACACATTCCGGCTTCACCAAAAACCCGCAATTTCACCAGGATTTCTGCTGCTACCTTCGGCTCCAATCAAGCAATAATTCCTTTCCGACTACTCCGCCGTCTCCAAAGCTAATTTCGTACACATTTTTCTCCACAAACGCACGTTTTTACGCTCGCTAGTGTAACAATTTGTATACAACCGGAAGTAGGTTGGGGAGCGTGGGATATCGCCGAGTGGAAAACCGCGCCGCCGTTCTCGAAAGGTCCCAACACAAATTAACCCCCTTTATACCTCGAGATTTCCAAGTGCAGCGCACAGATCGCACGCTTCGGTTGGGCCCGGAAGAGGGAAGGAGGCAGCGGGTTGTTAGCGGCGTGGACAAGGGTGCGGCGTGGCAGGAACATCGGGTTCGCGGCGATGATTAGGATCGCCGGCGGAGCGGAATGGGGCGACCGCCGCCCTCTGGGATGAGTGTTTCTTAACGGTCTGCGGTCCATCGCGTCGCCGATTTTCCAAACGTCGCCTTCGATATTTCCTCATTATACATGCTAATTTAGCCAGTCACTGGCGCGCTTATGAAATTGCGCCCGAATTTACTGGCGATTGTTACGAAAAGTGATGCGATTCAATTTCAACGGTGGTAGTAAATTTTCCCGGACGGGTTGACGCCGGAAAAACAGCGAAATAGTTTCGTTTTCAGGCGGTTTTTGGTAATTCAGCGCGATTTGCAATTCAGATTTGGCTTAATGCAGATGAAATTTGTCCGAAATCGTCTCTAATCCGCTTCGGAAAAACATCAAACGTTTAAAGTTAAAAAGTACCGAATTAAATTTGATTGCCTCCTTTGACAGGCGGCACTCGGCGCGCGCAAAAAAAACTTTTAGGATAAAACGGCGGCGGTTTTTTTTTTCTTTCTATTATTATTCCGGAGCTTCTCTTTCTTTGAATGTCGGTTTGTTATGCAAATGAGCGCCTCCTTATTTATGTTTATTTCAGATTTTGCGCATCCCCGAATTCCGCGGCCACCCCCAAACCACGAGCGGCGCGTCTTAGTAGTAATATAAGCACTAACTTTTTACGTGTTTCCATTTACAATTTACTGCTGCACTCAGCGGCCGGCGCGCCTGGATCTGACACACGGCGACAATAACGATCTCGGCGACGCGCCCTCTCACCTACCCTCACCTCAGCGCGGCTCGGTGCGGGCATAACAATAAAACCGTTGACGCTTTAGGTACATCCTCTCGTCCGTATTTTTGCTTTTTGCAGGTTTCGCTTTTAAATCGCGCGCGCGAGTCGTTCGGTTTTATGCGCTCCTCGACTGCACTGCATCGCGCGCGCGGCCGCGACGAGTTCTTTGGGGCTTAACGATAACCGTAACGCGCGTACGCCCGCCGCCGCCGCCGGGGTTGGCAGTGGCCGGACGCCCTCGCGTATACGTGTCCGGCACGTTCGCGACAAAACTTTACGTCTTTATTGTCTCCTCTTGCGCTGCTTGATTTTTATAGATATTCGCCGCGCTGGCTGCGAATAAAAACGTGCCGGCTGGCGGCGGCGGCGGCGGCGTATTGGCTTGCCGAAGTTTGGCGATGATCAACCGCGGCGCTCAACTCCGGCCGGCAAAGTTTATAAGGATGCGATGAGCGTGAAGACTACGGAATGGCAAAAACAACCGGGGGTAAAAATTAAGGAACGCCTTGCGTGAAATTTGATGCAACTCGCCTTTCACAAACAGTTGGCTGCTCCATCAACAACACACCAATTTAATGTTGTGACTAGTCAATCATAAAATCGAAAATCAAGCAGAAAATCCAAAGCGCACACACAAAAAAAACACGATGATATGAAATCGGTAACAATTCCGACACGTTGTTAAACTTATTGTGCTTATGTCGGCAAGTTTGAGGGTTTGGGATGTCAATACCTGCGCTTATACCGGGTGTAACCTGCGGGCGCGCAAACTTTCAATGTTGTTCACGTGTCGCGTTCATCGCTCACGTCGAACACCCGCAACTCGTCAGATTATATTCAAAGATGCGCCGCAACAACACGCCCGAAGCGAAATTTTAAACACACAGCTGCGGGGTGCGCTTACACTCCCCCGAGTCGTCGGGGTCGGCGTCTTATATGTGTGGCGAATTTTTCGTCAGTCATCCTCGACGCGAGCAGATTGCGAGTCACCCAATCGCGGCGGCACACGTGTGAGGGAAGCAATAACGCGTCGTGTCGAAGCCGCCCCGCTGAAGGAAATCGAACATAAGCATCATAAGCGTTTCGTCGCACCCAGGACGTGCCCTACGTCTGACCAACAATTTTTCATCTCTGCTTGTGAGTTGAGCAGCGCAAGCATAAAAACAACAGCAAGAGTCAATTGTTTGTAATTTTTGAATTTACGATTTTCGCCCGGGTTTAACGTTTTTTTTATAAGATTAAGATGAAGATGCGGTGAAACTTGGCGTTTCTTCATCATCGCCAAAGCCGTCAGCCGCCAGACGCTCGGCACACATGGATTTTTCATATTCTCGCTGGCGCGTTTCTCATTTTCATGATGTGAAAATATGAAGCCGGGCCAATATGCGAAATGCGCGCGTGTAAACATTAAAGCGACTTTTCGCTGCAGGGCGTGGGCGAATTTTATTTCGCGCACGAACTTCGACGATATTAGTGACCATAACTAATAGTGAGTAATCTATAAAGTAGGAAAAATTGAAATATACGAGTGCCGGGCGTGCGCGCGCGCGAAAAAACGCCGGAAACGAGACGCTTTAAACGCTACAAACGTATAACAATGAAAGATCGTGAAGGCGTTTAGCACGCGAACGCCTCCTTCTTCGGCCGGGCGGCACGTGAGATTTCTTTCGGGCCCGTTTGACGAATCGTTTAATTTCATTTATACGAAGCGTTACGTGCGGCGTGCCGTTCGCGGTGATCTTTTTCCTTCCGCCTCACTACCTTATTTCGCCATCTGGTTCGCCGCGCGCGCGGAATGTTTGAATATAAAACACTTCTTGCGATTCGCAATCTGGGCCGTGGCGGGCGCGCGCGCCCGATTTGCATAATTCGGCCATCAATGCCGAAAACCTCACGGCCCGAATACCTAACAACATGCAACGACAACTCGCTGCGCGACATTCGGCAGGGCGCAAGATTTATGCGAGCGTCTTGCCATCTATCTTGCCCCGTGGAAGCCCATGTAATAGTTCTGCAACTGCTGCTTGTCGAATAATTAGCCACATTTATTATTTCGCGACGGCGCCCAGAAAAACTAATTCGGTATTTCATTCGAGTGTACTACATTCAAAAGTTGTTAAACAGACTCTCAGCAGGAATTAGTCGATGTTGCCGCACGAACAAGACAGCATTATGCTTTCAGTGCTTTCATCTCTTAGTCCGCCCTTAATGCCGGATTTGTCATAACTTGTTCGCATTAATAGCGCAACAGCAAACGGCGGCGGCGGCGGCGGCGGCTTTGCCTCCTCCGCTTTCAGTGCTCATTCGGGCTGTTTTTCTTCCGGGCTTCGGCACTCCTTTCGGATTTCTTTGAAGCGGCGGCGGCGCGCACGTACGTCGCACGCCTTTTGCATTCCCGCCGCCGCCCCCCGCCCGTGTGTGCACGCCCGGAATAACTCGCTGCGTTCCAAATTAAGCGTAATTACGTCGTGCCTCGAGATGTTCCCGTTTTTCGCGCAAACGCTAAGTCGCCGCCGCCGCCGCTCGTTTTGCGACGCTGATTAGGTTGTATTAAGAGCGATTTCCATGCATTAAGCATATTAAGAATCGTCTTAATTCGTATCAATTGCGAGGCGGCCGCGACGAAAAGCCCCGCGAAGGCAATGTCATAATCCAATTAGGCTGAGATAATGAGCGGACTTAGTGTTGCTTAGAACTCGGCTTTGTTTTGCGTCTCTTCGCGACGCAGTCAACTTCGCTTTATTTAAACATAAGTTTCGGTGTCATTGTGTATAATCAGAAATTTTGTTTGTTCAGGTGTCGCAGCGAAGTCAGTTACCTGAGCCACTTGCCACGCACCTCTGTGATCATCTGTTTCCACAACGAGGCATGGTCGGTGCTGTTGAGGACCGTACATTCGGTGTTAGACCGATCACCAGCACACCTCATCGAGGAGGTGATCCTCGTCGACGACTTCTCTGATATGAACCATCTGAAGGACCAGTTAGTGCAGTATTTCGCCAATGAACCCAAGGTGAAGATCGTCCGGGCCCAGAAACGAGAGGGTTTGATTCGAGCAAGGCTTTTGGGTGCTCGCCATGCCACCGGAGATGTTCTTACCTACCTGGATTCCCATTGTGAGTGTACTGTGGGATGGTTAGAACCACTTCTGGACCGGATTGCGCGGAACTCCACAACTGTGGTCTGCCCAGTGATTGATGTCATCGATGATACCACCTTGGAGTACCATTACCGTGACTCTGGCGGTGTGAACGTCGGCGGGTTCGATTGGAATCTGCAGTTCAATTGGCACGCGGTACCCGCGCATGAAAAGGCCCGCCACAAGAACAGCGCCGAGCCAGTGTGGAGTCCCACAATGGCGGGCGGGCTCTTCAGTATTGATAAGGTGAGGCAATGTTTCAATTACGCTTGAAGGGGTCACGTTCAGTGGCGTTTAAAAGATTACCATAAGCCATAATTAGACCGAGAGATAATGCCCGGAGTGGAAGCCGGCTGGAAGAACGGGAGTACATAAAGTGTGCGTTTTTATTCGAGCCGGGGAGCAGCGTTATTGCTCGGGCGGGTGTTTGTTTAGCCGGTGTGGTCGCGTCGCCGGCGACACTCCTATTTTTCCACTTAATTTGCGCCGCGGGCCGAATGTGCGTGCGGTCCCGCCGCTTTATGGCTATAAAAGCGATATCCTTTAATGGGATAACGTCGACGTATCCCTTCCCGCGGCGCCTATTCATTCGATGCCAATTCGTTTAACGTGCGCGCGCCCGGCACCTTTGCAATTTCTTTCGGCGGTCTTGGGAAATATAGGCAACAACCGGGCATGGGGGACATTAATTGCACCAACTTTGAGGTAATCACACATTTGATTAGGCGCGTTTTTTCCAGTTTTTGACTTGGGACGTAGTTGCGCGCAGTTGCGGAAAGTCTGCAAACGATTTCGGCGCGCCGCCCCGCAGCGACGGCGGTCGTGTCGCGCGCGGACTCATTACACTTGTCGAAACCCCCGCGGGGCTTAATTACTCTCGTACAAGTACCGCTCTTCATCTCCAACATCTCTGTACAGACATACCTAAAACACGTTGGGCTACATACAGCGTGTTTAAAAAAAACAACAATTTCTTTCATTTTTTTGAAATTTTTCTGTCTTAATACCAATCATCTTAAGATATAAGTTATATGGTAATTTTATTCGTATTTTTGTTATTTTAATTCTTTATCTCGCCCAGTAGAGGAGACAATGTTTATAAATATTTGAAATTGCGTTCGTCCTGTATCGAACTGTCACCATGAGCAAGTGCTCAACCGGAGGCGACGTGGGCGCGAACGATTTAGCACGTCTGCACACCTTGCCGCATTATTCGCGCGTTCGAAATGTTATAACTATTTCGTGCATGTTTGCCGCATCTAGTGATATTCGGCAACGCGCGCTGCGAACGTCTAATTGTATGCCTGCCGGCTTCCTTCTGTGCGCGCAATTATTTACCGAAATTTTCCACCGTACCCCCACTCCAAATTGCTGATCGCACCGTGTATTTTGGGCGCCGCGTAAACACACGCACTTTTCCAGCCGCGCGATTTCCGGAAATTTGCGCCAAAAATTAATTAAAATTCAAATGCGTGCCTAAATAACTCGATTGCGCGCGTAAAACGAACGACATCGCGTTTGAGCGTACCCGACAGGCAGGAGATTAATTAGAAATATGTATAATACATGTTGTAAAAGGAAAATACTGCGGGGGTGGCGTACTACAATGTGCGTTTGTTAATCAACGCTAAGTGCGCGCATGTGATGTGTGTGGAACTTGTGTTCGGTTGCAGATTTTCGCGTCCGTTGGCGCTTCGGGCGCTCAATTATGACGAAATTAAATTTTCTGTTTAGTACGCCATCGCCGCATTCGCTGCGATTTATTGCGGGGACTTGGCGCGAAATCCTTCCCGGCGCTAATTCCGCCGAGCGTGGAGCTTTCTTATTTTATTCTTCCATTGGCATTTTTCCTCTTAACGGTCGGGGCAGCACCGTGCGCGCGCCGGATTTAGCTCGCCTAATGGAAGCAACTTTTTGCCCCGAAAATTATGTGTCACGTGCTTTCCGGTCGGGCGCGTTCTTCTTCGCTCTTCTTCCCAATTTGCTCGCAGGTGGTGGACCATTATGATTCAAGTGCAGTACATCGAAATAGATATGAGCAGGTATACGGCATACAGTGCGTTCAGCACAATGGAAACTTTGCGCACTTATTTCCCGCCGATCGGAATCCTTCGAAACCGGAAACGCGTCGCGCGCAATGGATGAATTTATTGCGCAAAGTTTGCGAAGCCGCACGACGGCGGAACGACTTTATATTTAGGACCTTCGCCTTCAGCGTCCTCGTCCTCGTCGTCGTCGTCGCGAAATAGTTTTCTGCTTTTATTCTCAAACGCTCTATTTATCTTTGGATTTTCTGCTATGTTTAATTCCGTGCGTCCTTTGTCCTCGCATTCTTGCCGGAAAGTCGTGCGTCCCGGCGAAGCCTCTTAAAATATCGCATAGTTTGCAGCGGCGTTTCGATTTCGGCTGCTCGCGGAGGGACTACAAAGGGGATATTTGCATTCCGGGCATCGCGCAGCGTCCGATATATTTAATTAATACGCACATTTAGTGCGGCATCAAGCGGTGAACACGTCCTCCGTATAACGAATCGTCGCATTTCTCCGCGTGCCCGCAACATCGACTCACAATTTTATTACGCACAGCCCCCATGGGGGTCCACAGTTGAGGTTAATATTTAATATGCGTATCCGTCCGTCTGTTGTCGGAAACAAATATGAAATTTTGATTGTGAACAATACCGAAATTTGAAGTTAATAACTAGGGATGCAGGACAGCCGGCAAGGACAATGTGGATTTTGGGATAAAGGACACATTCCTTGTTCTGACAGATTAATTAAAGATTCTGTAGATACAGGCATCATTCTTGTCGGTTTGATGGCAATCTGGTATGCTTTGCTTGTGTTTTTTTTGTAGCTCAAAGCAATTTTGATGATTATACTGAGTGTTTCATTGCATGTTTTTAGAAATTCTTCGAACGTTTGGGGACCTATGACAGCGGCTTCGATATCTGGGGAGGTGAGAACTTGGAGTTGTCGTTCAAGACGTGGATGTGCGGCGGTACCCTGGAGATAGTACCGTGTTCCCACGTGGGGCACATCTTCCGCAAACGCTCGCCGTACAAGTGGCGCACTGGAGTCAATGTCTTACGCCGAAATTCGGTACGCCTGAGTGAAGTGTGGCTGGATGACTACGCCAAATACTACTACCGGCGCATCGGCAACGACAAGGGCGACTTTGGTGACGTCAGCGAGCGTCGCGAGCTGCGAGAGCGTCTTGGGTGCAAGAGCTTCAAGTGGTATCTGGACAACATCTACCCGGAGCTGTTCATCCCGGGCGACGCAGTTGCCAACGGCGAGGTAAGCCTTTCATCTTCCGATCATCTCTTGATTGCCTTCGGTTTGGCATGTGCCAAACTTCTACCCGCGCCTCGAATGCGGGCTGTGCGACGGCGAATTAACGCTCCGCGTGTCAATCGAAGTGCATGGCTGGTGTCACCTTTGATTCCCGACGTCAAAGGAATATATCCGTCGACGCGAGGTGATAAAGAGCGCGATTTTTCAAACGAGCTCGACACGTCCGCCATTACGTGACGCGGCACGTTGCTCCGTGACGTCTCATTGCGAACGTCGCGCACATTCGTAACATTGTCGTCGAGGCGGGTGTCGAATCCTTGATGCTCGACGTACGCGCGGGGCGTACGCAAACGAAGAGCCGAAGAGTTTTGATTTCACAAAGCGCGCCTGCCTTGCCGAAACAATCGAATCCAATCAAGCGTTCGACGCGCACTGGTTTATTTTCGGGCACCCGTCATCGTGAACTTCTTAGCACTTCATCAATTTGTTTTAATTAAGTCGATTACGCGCGAGATCTCCGGCAAAAGTGAATTTTAATATCTGTTGGTTGTGTTAATTAAGTAAGTTTGCGCGCAGACGGCGTCAGTCGCACAGCCTCTACGATCCGGGACCAGCATTGAATGAGTAACTTGTTATTTTTGACGCCTTTTGGCGAGATTCGGGTCCCATTTTAGGTTTCCAGGCCGCACCGGGGACGATGCGTTCGCCAGCGACGTGCCATTTAAATGTGCTCGATATGTTCTAGATGCGGAACCTCGGCTATGGCGGAAAGACGTGCCTGGACTCGCCAGCGCGCAAGAAGGACCTTCACCAGCCGGCCGGTCTGTACCCGTGTCACAGACAAGGCGGCAATCAGGTAATTCGCATTGCGCGACCGCTGCTTATGTGTGTTTGTGTGCGTTTTACAGGTGTCGACGTTAGACAGGGAAATTTGTATTGATTCCGCGTGCAAGCCGGAGGACTTGCACAGACCCGTCGGTCTTTGGCCCTGCCACCAACAGGGCGGTAATCAGGTATTGCAAAACACCAACGATAATCAGGAGCAAGACTTGACGAGCTCGTATTTCTTCTCATTGGTATCATCTATTGGTTGTAGGCGATGCTTGGAATGCAAATTCAAATTAATTCTTTCCTCAGACGGTAGCCACTAACATATCAGGTGTTCAGGTGTCAGTCATGTACCGCCATCAAAAAATCTCCACATGCAAAGCCGCAGAAAGCCGAAGTTTTGCGTGGAAATTTCAGCCGCTCTTTTTGTTTAGTTTCGTCGGTCACGCGTCGCGTTCATTTCGCGCCGCATGCTCCCAGTAACTCGCCGCCTCCGAGTGCCGGCGTCAGCAGTTCAGCCGCACGCACCCCATACAAAAAGGGGTCCGCGGGTGCGTTGGTGCGAGCGCACGAAAGTTTTACCAAACAACCGCCGTGTAACGCACCCGCGCCCGCAAAGCGAAAGGAAACGGCACGCACCGGGGGCGGCATCATCTCCGAACGAACTCGAGACGTATTGCCTTGTCTCCCGTGGGGCGACAAACGATGCTTTATTGCGCGGGGCCTACCGTTGCCCCCGTCCTTATACAGGACATTCAAACCGCCCACAAGATAATAATCAATCATGGATTCCACGCGATTTCGGTTTATTTGACGCATGAATTAGCCATTGTTTCGGGTTCGACGCGTTGAGAATGGTGGGCACGCTTCAAGGCATCTCAGACCCACGTCTGGCTGCCGTGAAGTGCACGAATTTCACTTGCTTGCACACTCGGTAGCGCGGATGTATCCGGGAGGAAAATGCTTGCACCCAATTGAAGTCACGTATTCGCTAAAGTATTAAAAGCGTTCGTGCCCACCGTCGACATGTATTTTACGCGCGGCTCTCTTTTTGGCCGGGGGATGAGGAGGTAGAGAGCTTGGGTATGAATGAATTTCCGACGATGGGCTAGAAATGGCGAAAAACTTCGGTGCCTTCAACCAAATAACTGGTCACTGATTTCGGCGCGTGTAAACTCGTCCCGGTCATCGGCAATAAATTAATATCGCGTCCAACTTTCGCTTGCGCATTAACCAGTAAGCCCTAAGTACTCAGGTGCGTTGTGCTCGCGAAGTTTAACTCTTTCGCGTTTGTATTGCAATCGCCATATCGGAACCACCGGCGACGCCTTGCAGGTTGTCTCAGCTGAAGGCTATCGGGAGCTATCTGACGGTTTGCAGGGTACTAAAAGTACCATCTCGCGACCATCCATTTATCATGTTTTTGCAGTTTACACACCGATTTTATGATTTACGGCTACAGCTTCGCCGCCGTCGATGCGAGGATTATAAAGTTTCGCCCTTTTATCGTTAACATCTGCCTAGGTCGAGCTGTAAGCGGTGTTTTAGTGCGGATGCTGACGTTTTCATTAGAACTTTCAAGCGCATTGTTTAATTATTTATCAATTTTCTTCTAGTAGATTCCGAGTGGATTTTAATGCGTTTCGGTGTATTTTGCTCATCAAATGAGGCAGTTTTCATAGATAACTAAAGGTTTCAGCGTTAGACATCGAGGCAATTCCTGTTTCCAAGCTTACGACGCATAAATTTCATTGAAAACAAACAATGGCGCATCTGGTTATTAATCTAGTTACACTTTGATACTTTCTAAATGATTTCGTAAGGATCTGGTGTTTGGGAAGCTAAATAAAAACACTAATAAACATAATTCTGTTGACTATAGTATAAAACTTAGTATAAACTAGTAGATACTAATTGACCAAGTGGTGATTTGATGCTTCAGTGCATGATGATATGTTTACCTAAAACCAACAGAAATCTAACACGTGTTTGATGTTTTCAGTACTGGATGTTCAGCAAGAATGGAGAGATCCGAAGGGACGAATCCTGCCTGGACTACAGCGGGGCCGACGTCATCCTCTACCCTTGCCATGGCTCCAAAGGCAATCAGTACTGGGAGTACGACCTCGTCACCAAGCTGTTGCGGCACGGAAGCAGCGGAAAGTGTCTGGCGATCAACGAGTCGAAGAACAAGCTGTTGATGGAGTCCTGCGACGACGGTTTCGCTCGCCAACGCTGGCAGCTGGAAAATTACGACGCCAGCAAGTTGGCGTAATCGCCACCTCCAAGGACCGAAATCAGCCCGTTGTAAACGAGATTTTGTCGCGATAGTGCGCGGGGACTCAAGCTAATCGTTAAGCACAGAGTATCTGTACATAATGATCTTATACATTTTATATTGTAGTATTTTAACGATGCTTTTAAGTTCTAAGAGTAAGGCACAATGTATGCTCAACGTATACCTTTGTCATTCCGTTTTTATCGACCGTACAAGACTGCTTTCAATTTACGTTTCGTTCGAACGAATCCTGACAACTCTTTGCTACATATCTAATGAAAATATCCTTAATGCAAACGAGACATATCGTGCACTCGATCAGTTTAGTCAATTAGTTACGTAAGTGCGTTTTGTTTTGCCACCTGTCACGAACCCATCGACAGCCATTTTGTTGGTCCTTGAGCGACCATACCGATTTGTTGGTTGACATACTTAATAAGTAAGTTTTAATGTCATTTTGTACTTAATCGTAGAAGGGACTCGACCCTCTGCGGGTCAATTTGTGATCTAATCTTTGTCAAAAGAAATGAAAAGCGAACGATGCATTCCTATATTACATAATACACTAGTTTTAAGCAAAGCACATTTTCACGTAAGGACGAAAGATGCGAAGCAGGAGGAGATATGATTTGATTGGTGTTGCTCAAACATTAAATATATTTGCACGACTTTCGTCGCTACCTAGCAAGACATTGGATTCGGTTTTTGTATTGTAAATAATATGTATTAATATTGATTGGAAGTTCGTATTGAAAATTGTATAGTACTATTTGTAATACTTATTAGATTGTTTTGACGGGAATGGTTATAAAAACGAATGCCATATTAAAATTTATGTATGTTGTATGCTGTATGTATGTACAAGTATGATGCTAGAAGTTTATTACATTTGGGTCGCAGAAGCGATGTAATCATTAAGGACATTATGTAATTATGCGTCGTTTTTGCAAGCTGAATTGTTGTCATAGCAGGGACACGATTGTTTCGTGCACACATCTAATTCCACATCATATCATATATTGTTAATAATAATGTAAGTGTTTTTTCACGATGCGATACGTCGTAGGCGAGTTCGTGCTAATCGATGAAAGTAATGAAAAACGCAGCGCTTATTGCGCGCTCTGTAGTCACTGTTTAGCATTCTAGTTATATATCCTGGTATTGATAAACTTTGAATTTAATTAATAATCTATAGGCCAGTTCGATAATGTATTTAAAATGTGCCTTAATTTCTTGTAAATACATTCGTTAAAGAAAATATCGTTTGTGTCTTTCTTTCTTGCCCTACTGTGTGATAAACATCCTTTAATTTCTGAAAAAATGATGAAATTAAGAAATATATTCTCCCAAAATTCTTCATATTGTTGAAACCCACGAAATCTGTTGAAAATGAGTCGAAACTTACCTACCTCCTCACACATTCTGCTATCCTAATATTAAAAATCAATTTCTAACTTTATTCGGGCTGAAAATTCTTCCAAAGTGACTGCTAGTGCTCTCTGTGGGCGAACGTTACCTCAACTGACATTTTTAAAGTTTCATTATTGTTTATTTTTAAACGTTAATTTTACGCGCCACTATAGTTGACGCCAAAACTGTATCAGCCTCCTCACACATTCTGCGATCCTAATACTAAAGTCTGATTTTCAACCACTTCGCGACCAAATTTTGCGTGATTTTGCCTTGCAAAGTCGACAAAATTGATATTGAGTATCAGGAACCCAGAAAGTGAACAGTGACGATAAAAGCTTCCCGATTGTGCTGACCTCTAGTGGCGGCGAGTCAAAGTTAAATCTTGAAAGCTAATAGTACAATCTGTACACTAAGCTATAGAACTTTCAGTTGTTGTAGTTTCTAGTAGATAGAGGGCACTAGCATGCACTTATTTAAATAAATTTTGATGTGAAGTTGTACGTTTTATTTTGAACATAAAAAGAGAAATCTTTTGCATTTTTTATAACAAAATCTTTTCTTTAAAAATTTTTTGTGCCATTTTTGTCGTTTTTCAATAAGCATGCTATCATGTTCAGAATTTTTCAAGGATCACGAATATGTAGTTCTTTGTTTTCTAGCTCTTTTAGTTCTCGAGATAATTAGATAATAAGATTTCTCATTTTCATGTTGAAAATTAAATTTGGAATTTTCAAATTCTGTTTGCGGATTCTGGAAGATAAATTAATTCTACATCGATTATTCCAGTAACTTTTTTTGCTGACACTAACCGTTTAGGCCCTATTTGCACTTTTAATGAAACACGTGTATTCCGTCGGGAGAGTCGAATATTTGAAGATTAAATGGTAATTATCTCGACAATTAAAAGGGCTAGAAAACAAAGAACTACATATTCGTAATCCTTGAAAAATTCTGGACAAGATAGCATGCTTATTGAAAAACGACGAAAATGGCACAAAAAATTTTTAAAGAAAAGATTTTGTTATAAAAAAGGCAAAAGATTTCTCTTTTTTATGTTGAAAATTAAAAGTTGGAATTTTTCAATTCTGTTTTCGGATTCTGATAGATTATTTAATTCTAGATCGATTATTTTAGTAAATTTTTTGGCTGCCGTTAACCGTTTAGGTCCTATTTGCAATTTGAATGAATACTGCATTCGACATAAAAAAGAGAAATGTTTTGCCTTTTTTATGACGAAATCTTTTTTCAGCAAATGCGACTTCTGTAATAATTGGAATTTTTAAATTCTGATTTCGGATTCTGAAAGTAGATTAAATTCTGAATCGGAAACCGGTAAAATAATTATAGATTAAGGCCCTATTGGCATAAAAAAAACAACTTTTTTCATTAAATTGTAAATAGCGCCTAAACGGTCAACGTTAAGGAAACTTTGTTTGTAGATTCTGATAAATAGTTTAATTCTACATCGATTATTTTAGTGACTTTTTTCGCTAGTCTTAACCGTTTAGGCCCTATTTACAATTTTAATTGAAAAAGTGGTTTTTTCTATGCCAATAGGGCCTTAGTATAATTATCTAACCGGTTCCCGATATAGAATTTAAGCTACTTTCAGAATCCGAAATTAAAATTCCAAAATGCCAATTATTTCAAAAATGGCATTTGCTAAAATAAAAGATTTCGACATAAAAAAGGCAAAACATTTCTCTTTTTTATGTCGAAATCAATTTTTCAGTAAAATTGCCAATAGGGCCTAAACGGTTAATGTTAGCAAAAAAAGTGACTAAAATAATCGATGCAGAATTAAAATGTCTATCAGATGCCAAAAGCAGAATGTTCCTAGGATTCACCATTTAGGCCCTATTTACAATTTTAATGGAAAAAGTTTGTTTTTTATGCCAATAGGGCCTTAATTTATAATTATCTTACCGGTTTCCGATTCAGAATTTCATCTACTTTCAGAATCCGAAAACAGAATTTAAAAATTCCAATTATTACAGAAGTAGCATTTGCTGAAAAAAGATTTCGTCCTAAAAAACGCAAAACATTTCTCTTTTTTAGGTCGAATGCAGTATCCATTTAAATTGCAAATAGGACCTAAACGGTTAACGGCAGCAAAAAAAATGACTAAAATAATCGATCTAGAATTAAACAATCTATCAGAATCCGAAAACAGAATTGAAAAATTCCAACTTTTAATTTTTGACATAAAAACGAGAAATCTTTTGCCTTTTTTATCACAAAATCTTTTCTTTAAAAATTTTTTGTGCCATTTTTGTCGTTTTTCAATAAGCATGCTATCATGTTCAGAATTTTTCAAGGATCACGAATATGTAGTTCTTTGTTTTCTAGCTCTTTTAGTTGTCGAGATAATTACCATTTAATCTTCAAATATTCGACTCTCCCGACGGAATACACGTGTTTCATTAAAATTGCAAATAGGGCCTTAACGGTAAGTGTCAGCAAAAAAAGTTACTAGAATAATCGATATAGAATTAATTTATCTACCAGAATCCGCAAACAGAATTTGAAAATTCCAAATTTAATTTTCAACATGAAAAAGAGAAATCTTATTATCTAATTATCTCGAGAACTAAAAGAGCTAGAAAACAAAGAACTACATATTCGTGATCTTTGAAAAATTCTGAACAAGATAGCATGCTTATTGAAAAACGACAAAAATGGCACAAAAAATTTTTAAAGAAAAGATTTTGTTATAAAAAAGGCAAAAGATTTCTCTTTTTTATGTTGAAAATTAAAAGTTGGAACTTTTCAATTCTGTTTTCGGATTCTGATAGATTGTTTAATTCTAGATCGATTATTTTAGTAATTTTTTTTTGCTGTCGTTAACCGTTTAGGTCCAATTTGCAATTTTAATGAATACTGCATTCGACATAAAAACGAGAAATGTTTTGCCTTTTTTATGACGAAATTTTTTTTCAACAAATGCTACTTCTGCAATAATTGGAATTTTTAAATTCTGTTTTCGGATTCTGAAAGTAGATTAAATTCTGAATCGGAAACCGGTAAGATAATTATAAATTAAAGCCTTATTGACATAAAAAACCAACTTTTTTCATTAAAATTGGAAATAGGGCCTAAACGGTAAATCTTAGGAAAATTCTGCTTTTGGATTCTGATAGATATTTTAATTCTACATCGATTATTTTAGTAACTTTTTGTGATAGCATTAACCGTTTAGGCCGCATTTGCCAATTTTAATAAAAATTGCATTTAACATAAAAAGAGGTAACACAATTATAGATTAAGGCCCTATTGACTTGAAAAAAACCTTTTTTCTAATTGGAAATGGGCCCTATTCATTGGATAATCAGATGCCACAGGAAAGGGTTTTAAATAATGAAAATAATATTCATATTTAAGAAATTTATTGAAAACGAGAATGTTTGACAATTACAAACTACATTCTTGATTGGAAATGAATAAAAATTCAAATAAAAGAAAAACAAGTACAGTAAATATTTATTACATTTGCAAAAAAAAAACATTGAATAAATTTCCTTTCTTCCTTCCATTTTCACTAGAATAGAAATAAATTAGTATTTCACATTACGCGCCTGAATATGCTTTTGCCAGTTGTACACAAATACAGACCGTCCAAGTAAAACTATAATACATTCAATAATCAGGAATAGAATGGCTATGTTACAATCATATTAGCAACAAATAAGTCCTTAAATACATTGATCGAAAATTACTTAATCAGATTACTGGTTATTTGGTATGTATTCATAGAATTTTTATACTTTCACAGGCCTATTTATATCGATGTATGGCATAAAGGATGAACTAACATAATAAAACATTTTGACCTTAACGAAAACCGATGCAACAAGTTAATCAGTATTCGTAGCTTTGCGGTGTTAAATGTGTATTGTTAATAAGTTGACGCATGATTCCTCAACTTCATGTGTTCGCATTTACTAGAGCGCCCCAGCAACGAATAGTATCTTAACACTTACGAGTTATAGTTATTAAAAGAATACATCCCTAAAAATTACTTCAATTACATTCAAACAACACGTTGGCAATCCTAACGAACGGTCGAGCGTAGAATTAATACGCCGCGGCGCTGGATTAGAAACACCACAATTGATCATCCTCAAATGCAATGCGACGCAGCTTCATTGCGATGAGATTTCTTACATACATATTCTTTGGCAATTATTAGAGAAACAAATCAAATTCTCGCTACGTATCTTTTCGCTATGAATTATTATATACGTTATTGATCATCGTACAAAATGTTTTGTCTGTGTACTTTTGCTTGTCTTGTTAGATAGAAAATTGAGAATCTCTTTCGGAATATTTCACCTCACTCGGGCCGAAATTGTCGTCGTGTGTGTTAAGTCTAAATATGGCAGATAATGCGGATATTTTTCTCTTTTTACACGTGTAGAAAACAAGTCAAAGTGTTAAAATGTCATCACAAGATGTTTCCTTAAACGCTAACTGTTGAAATTTCTTAATATAAACATTTCCTTCGAATTGAGAATGTACTCCGAACGGAAAACTCTAGGTACATACCAACTGTCTCAAAGTTTTGACACATTCTCGTTCGGAATCTGCGCTGCTTTGATCTTTCCGTTACGTCTCCTGCTTTTCAATGAGCAAAATGTTTTCGAAATATTTATATCGTGATTCAGAACTCATACCTTAAAACTCTAGCACTCCCGAAAAATATACCAAGTGCCTTCTATGTATATTTTAATTTAATTCGTTTGATTTGATTATTACATGTCTAATCAAGTCTCAGAGATCATCAATATTTGTTGTTATTAATTTAACATCGATGCATGCAAGAAATTGAACATTCTCACACGTTCTGTTCTTCCATAATGGAATGTCGTTTCGCTAATCAACACTACCTACCTAATACGATAGATATTTGTCTAGATTTTGTTATTCTTTGAAAAAATAAAAATTGTTCCCGTCGTGTTCTTACATTTGTGTAACTGCGTGATTTTAGTAAATCGTCGTAAAAGAACAATGAATGCGACGCGCGCGCGCGCGTATTTGGTAAATGAGTACGTGAGATGGGCGCGCGTCATCGATTCTCATTCGAGAGGCGGCCGGCCCCATTAAGCAGCAGCCGGCGGCGCGTCTTCGAAACGGGCCAAATTAACAATGGAGTATGAAACGAAGTAAAAACGATGCAGTTGCTATTGTCTCGTATCTAACTGCCTGCAATTCCCAAATTGGAGAACTGAAAGAAAAACCGTTGCGCTTTAAGTTTACAGCTCGGTGACAGCGTACAGCTGGCGCTCCGTCTCGTTGTTGGCATACATGCTCTCATGCGTCTGGTCCTGGATCTTCACAGACCGGAACTGAGGATGTGCTTGCGGCAGCGTGGACGCACCGCGCTGCAGCGAACGGAACTGCATGCCCGTCGGCTGGAAGGTGGACGTGTTGGTGGCGTGCATGTCCTGCCAGGCGACGCCACGCTGCAGCGAGCGGAAGTTAGCCGGGTTCAGCGGCGACTCGACGTGCTGCGAGATGGTGGCGGGCACCTTTGGCATCGGCGGCTGCTTGCGCTCCTTCTCATCGGGCAGCTGTGGCAGCGGGCGGCGGCCCAAGCTGCTGAACTTGTTGATGTTGGCGGTGCGCTGCTGCCCACCCTCCTGCCCCTTCGGTGGCGCATGCTGCTGTTGATGGTGCTGTTGCTGGTCGAACTTAAAGCCTTTAAAGTTTGGGAAATCTTTGCAGGCAGCCCTGTGACAACAAAACGACTTAGTAACATGCCAACTTAGTAACATTTCACACCATCGACGACTCACCTATCTCAGTAATAATCAGAGCTTTCCAGCGTCTTGCATTGTTTGCTCAGAGTCGCGTACTTGCCATTGTTAGGTCCTGAGAGTGGCTCGTGATGATGTGACGGCAGTCGGCCGAGGGTGTGTCCTCGGAGATGCGACATATGGGCGGCGTTTCCTGCTCCACCTCCTCGGTGATGGTCCGGTGGTCGCATGTCACATCCATCTCTATAACAGACAAACTCTAAATTGCACACAGCTGACGAAGATACTCCCTGGTGTTCTATGTTTCTATGTCTTCTAATTAGAATGCAGCTAAATTTCGTGTTCTGTGTTGTCGGAGAAAATGAGCTACAGCAACAACATCGATCGGGAACTGAATCAATTCTTTGGGACTACCAACAAAAAGTACGGCTCCAAAATGCACGGAGCCAAGATCATCACACAACTAAAGTTCTAAATCGAAAATCATAATAATAATAAAATTAAATACATTAGCGACTGAGCTTCATGCATGGAATTGGAAGAAGCGCAATTATGCATCATGACGGAGGTGTAGCTAGGTGGAGGAGTGTCTGGGGGATAAGACGACCCTTGGCTACGTTGCAAAGTCCTCGCCGCAATCGCCTGGCTCGCTGCTGGCGGTGGCAGATACGGATCATTGTCGTTCACCTGGTGATAGTCCTTCCTAGAAAAGCAAAAAGTCAAAATTATTCTCTGATAAACTAGGTGTGCACCCACACTTACTTCTTCCTAATGTAAATCCAGGTATGCGAATCCACCCACACGAGGATGGTCAGAAGGAAGCCAGCGAGCACCGACGAAAGCAGCATTAGCGTTAATCCCAGCAGGCCAACATTGCACAGCGCTCGAGCACCGCGCAAATAATGCGTGTGCAGGGTGCGGCAGTCAACACTGGACGTAAGCGCCGTGATCAGCAAGTCACCCTCGTTGACCTGGTTTAGCAACGAGCTGAATTTCGGCTCCAAGCTTTTGCGCGGAAACAAATCCGTAGCCGGTTTCTTGAGCGAGTTCAGCGTCGAGCGCATGTTCTCGATGGCACCTTTCGCCTCTCGCAGGCGCTGAGTGAAAGGATTCGCTCGGGCGCGCTCGCATGTCGTATAATAGCGCAGGATTTCCTTCGTGAGCTCATTCGAGGCTTGATCCTCGACGAACTTATCGGGCGCAGCGCACAAGTCCCCGAGCGCAACCGTCGATGCAATGTACACGCTGGCCATCACATACGACGCAATGACGGCCAGCAAACCACATACGGAGAACGCAATCAACGCGCAGCGATTGTGGCGCGCCACGCCAACCAGCAGGACCACGCAAAGGACGAGCAGAACGCTGAGGATCGCCATCGTGGCGGGCCATCGGATCTGCTCGATCTTTTCGGCAATATTAATAGTGGGCGCAAGATAGATGCCATTGAGCGGATTGCGGATATCGGCAGCCGCACTGGCAGCGGCAGTGTTATTGTCGGTGGCAAACTCGAGCAGATGCATGCACATCTTCAGCGCAGTCGTGTTCGCCACCGGTTCGTCGAAAATGTCCCTCAGTTGAGTGAGCTGATGCGTCGCCTGCTGCCGCAACTGGCGCTCGATGTTCTCGGTCTGATTGCGGATCTTCTGCACCTGCACATCGATCTGCCTACCTTCCTGCAGCAACTGCGAGACGCCATTGTGCAGGTCATCATTGCCATAAAGTCCTAAGCCGACGGCGGCGCAGCACAGGACCGAAACGATGGCGAGGGTCACCTTCAGCGCTGATATCGATCGCGAGGGTCGCGGCTTACGGTCGCAGCATCGTGTCAGCAGATAGATGAGCAGGACCAACAGCGTTAGGATCAGCCATGCTGCCGGCACAGATCCCAATATTCCTAAGCTCTGAAACGGAACGAACATTTTCAGTTGTCAATATCAACACGTTACTCACAGTAACTCTGAACTTACCTCAAGATAAATCGGAGATGTCGGATTAAACGAGGAATTGACGCGGTGCAGTGTGATGTTGACGTGCGGCACGTATTTGTGGTAGATCCATGCTAGTACTGGGATGCTGTATGCGTCCTCACCCAGAGAGGCGCCCATCGCGCGTTTGCCTACGCGCGCTCACTCCGCTCGCTCCTCAAGTCACGCCATTAGTGGTACGCCCCAGCGCGCTCCCATGCAAAAGGGGCACTTCGGTCTCCCTGCAGCTGCAAGACGAAACAAACGACATCCTTATTAGCAGAGCGTTCGGCGTCATCTTTTCAGGCGCGCAATCACGACGTTGCAAGAGCGCGCACGTCCTCCAACCGCAGTAAAACAAAGCCGCGCGTTGTGCGAGTGCATTTTGCGCGCTCACATACGGAAAATCGAGTTATTAATATTCAAATGCAAATAGCCGCGGCGAGGCGCGCAGAAAATGCGTTCTTTAAACGCGAGATGAGTGAAACCAACGTGCATAAAATCTCCTACATACGATACCGATTTTTGGGTGCGCTACTACCTGTTTTCCTTAAACTTAAACTTAAGGCATGTCACACGATATTATTGTCACCTAGGGTCGGGCACAAACTCATTGTTTGCCCAGTGCCGCCACGATAAATATTTGGCTTACGTCGCGTCTTTGGTCATACCGATTCGCTGCCTATTTGTATTGTTCGGCCAGGTGTCGCATCCGATACCTACTTCAAACGCACGAGCGCACACCTACGCACAGCTAATTACGAGCTCAAGTTTTCGATGCGCTTCGAGACCCGACGTGTGTCGAAACATAATCAAACTATCTGCTGACCGGAAGACGATAAAATCTTGAAAAAATTTTGAAAAAAATAAATAATAAAAAGTAAAAAGCCACTGAAAATTGAATTGTGTTGGGTCGGAGCAGATAACAAGCGACCTTGCGAATGTATCGAAGAGAAATTAAGCGTGAACGTACAGCGAGCGTTAGCCGATCGCAACTAGGTCGTGCATAATTCGCATTTTTTCCCCACACTAGATATTCCGCTGTCGACTTGTTGGTTAATCACAAAGTGGCATGTGTTGTGTGTGCGTTTTTTTTTTCATTCGTGTTTTAAGGGTGCGGACGTTGAACGACGACAGCCCGCGTGGGCGCATTAGGGTGTAACGCGGAACCCCTTTCGCCATCGTTTCTCGCATTTCGTCCCCGCTGAGATGCGTGTTTGCATACGGCGGAACACACGCACGAATTTAATCAATATTACATACGTTCATTACATTTCCGCACGCAGGAGGAGCCGCCGCAAATTATATTGCAACCAACAACGGAATTATAGATCCATGATACACACGCCGGCGAGCAAAACTCACATTTGTACATATTAATGTAAATCCCATTATGTACCAACTATGCACAATGCACGCGCACACAATACCGCATTCCGAGTGGAGTTGGAGTTGAAAAACACTAAGTAAACGCTGGAAACTTCGAAGGAATTACAAGGATTCCAAATCTAGCAGAAGAAAAATATTGCGCTGTGCATTGTTGATGATTACGAGCTCGGTGGGATTATTTGTGTACAAACAGTGCGGTTCATTAAACATGCGAACAACAACCGCCGGCAGAAAGGGTGCGCATGTTATTCCCGATGAGCGATGAGCTTGTTCCAGGATAATCGAACTCGCCTGCGACTGACAACTTTCTGCGAATACGCGAACGTGGATAATATTGTTAATTATAGCTACATGCACCCAAACACATCGCAAACATATCATTTCATTCAGTATCGGCGAAGGGAGCAAAAACAAAATCGAAAATTGTTGCCTTTTCCCACCATAACAAAGCAATTAACTCTCCGCATGTGCGCCACTCACAATAAATATCATCCATGCATGTTTCGAGTAAATTTACGCAGCGTTTTGATGATTGTCTCAGGACCCAGTTCTTCGCTGTACCAACTCAGCTGATGCTGTTTCTATTTATGAATTCAGCGTTAAAAGAAGCGCAATACAACCCAGCGGCGCGGTCGGAAAAAGAATACCGCGTGTATTTAAAGCGTTCTGCGGTGCGTGCACGACTTAAATCTACAAAATGATGTGAAGTAATGAAGTGCGGCGTAATTGTCGTCGGCTTCCTCCAACGGCACAGCCAGCAGTAGATAATTTTAGTCTGCATGGCGACCGCTGGAGACTCACGCGTCCCGTGAGATTTGATTAAATTTACTGTCCATATGCGACAACATTAACGAATGGACGAACGCGTCGCATTTTAATGCAAATATGTACACGTCGGCGTTATTAAATTAGATTAGACAAACACAGCGCTTTTGTTGGAAATTTCGAGGCGGCGTTTAAAAATACAATACGAATGCGTCTGCGATGAGCATCAATGGGCGAAGATATTCCGGAGGACAAACAAGAATTTATGACAAACCCGACAGCGTCAGCTGAAATACACACAATAAACGTGGTGGTAAACATTACACGACGAAAGATACGGCTGGGTAGTGGGCGCTCGGAGTTGGAAAGCGAGACGCCAACTCGACAGCGGCGCTTTTTCCAATGATATGCGTATGTGCTCGGCACACACGTAACCTGCGGGGCAGCTGGCCGGATTCCCTCGATTGCGATGGATCCTTCGCCCAGATGTTTGTCACTACCCGCATGCGGAAGATCCCAAAATCTACCGCGCCGACCGTCCCGAATTGTGACCGAATGTGTCTCGTTCGTGATTTTGGGCGCGCACGTTTTTCGAAATGCTCGAAACGCGCTCCGCCTCGAAAGAATTCCTCCTAATGCGCATTGCGGACGGCTAAACGCCTGTGATCTTGCGCTCCAAGTCGACTTCGGCACTTAAATCGTCGCCGGGATATTTATACGCTTGGCCTTTCAGTAGTAAATTACGCTCGCGCGCTTTTCTTCTCGTTTTTGGACGAAATTCAAATTCATCGCGGGTGGAGCGCGTGCCCTCCCGCACTATTTCTCATTCTTCGACGGCTAACTAATCTTATTACGCTCGTTATTTCCTTTTTAAGCGCGCGCCCATTCCGGTAACACTTGACACAACATTTTGAATGTGAAGCGCTAAGTTAGCACCCGAACAATATACGCTGTCATTGGGGATTTAGTATGTCAACCAAAGTGGAGTATAAACTAATACGATTAGGTCATAAAGCGTCGACCAGAATGCATTCATTCATCGTAAGCACTTTATTAGTTCGTCGATTTCAAGCACTCGTTATTGATGTACATAATTCCAGTGCATGGCAGCGGAATGAAATCAAAACGACCGTGACCTCGACGCAGGAATGTAGGAAACAACAATTTACTTTTTACATTCGAAAAAGAGTAGCGCGCGTTGTTGTTGGCGATAGAAATTCATAAACAAAACCGTTTGCGTAATTACTGCATGCTTTTTCGACGCTGGCTGGCTATGTCGTGAGGCTAGTTATTAAATAAAATACCTACAGGCATAAATAACGTTACTCGAGTCGGCGGTTTGCGAAGTATGCCCGAGGTCGTCCGTAATGCATGAAAATATGCCCGCGCTGGTAAGAAGTCGACTAACTAGTGTTACACGCAATGGAAATGACGCAATCACACGCGTATCGAATACGATATTGAATAGATGCTGAAAGTTCGTTATCGACAACAAGAAGCGATGATATCCACACCGACAGTTAGACAACAAACAATCGCGACGAAAGAAACAGCCGCCGGGCGCGTGCATTGTGCAGATCAACATCGATGTTGAGAGAGCGTAGACAATTGCAGCGCATAATGCGCGGCCGTCCATCCGGTGTGATGCAAGCGCTGTGAATGTACATAATGGGGATGCTGTGATTGTGATGTTTTCGTGTTTTAGGTGCGGTAATCATCATGGATGCTCGCAATCCCGCTAATAATTTCATCACAATAAGTTCATTTTACAATTGCTGCATGAAGTGTAATGTCAACCCAAGTTAAAATAAACGACAGCGATTATTTTTTCCACCGATAAGATATTCATATTGTGTTGTGCACAGACGGAAAATATAATCATTGCGTAAACACGGGACGTTTTATTACTATTTTATACACCTTATTACTCATAAGTTTTCCACCGATGACTAGTTAGTTAATATGAATATGTTTGTGGATGATGATCGCTCGACAAGCGATAAAGAAAAACACGTAAATAAGTGTTTTGCAAGGCGTCGCGCAAGCAAAAGTCGTGTACGGTTTGCATGCACTCAGCGTAATCAGCTCGCGCGCGCAGAAACGGGGGTGGTTGCGCCGGCCGGCATCGCGAGAGATGAAAACCGCCGGGCTTGTAGAGCCGCGATGATGGTAGCAACGCGCACGGCGCGGCGCCGGTTTGGAGGGTGAGCCTCGGCGGCTCTGGGGTGCAAGGGCGTGGCTGCCAGCCGCTACTACTAACATCGATCTGCCGGTTTTCTCCTCCGCGTGCACGCACGCACATGCTGGGCACCACTTCGCCGAAAGGCGCTTTGCCATGCACACACGACACAATCGTAACCAGCGCGCGCGCGGGTGGTCGACCCGGCATTACACATTTCATCCCTGCAACAGCCATAAAAACGTGCGCGGCGTTCATTTTAAATTTGTCGCACAGCCACACTCATACTTTGTCTTTAAACACTTCCAAGAAATCGCGCCGCGACCGAATGTAATGGAAAGTGGAAGTCGGCGCGGGCGACACAAAGAGAAATACATATATCAAATATCAAATGAAACTAGGAAAATGAAAGCGGCGGCACGCTGGCAACAAATCAATGCGCGCGGCAGCAGGAAAACAACTTAAAACGACAGAATCCGATTGCGAACCAAAGGCTACTATACTACCACACACACTGGTATTGCGAAGTGTTAGGAAACAACGCGTTTATTACGCCAGCCGACATTTCATCTCCTCGCCGCGTAAATAAATAGCGATGAGGCAAGTCGAACAAGATCGATTTGACTTGAGCGCACAACAAGCGATGATGCTCACGTAGAGCTCTCGCGCATTGTCTTCACGCGCAATTCGGGCCAAGAAGACATCGAACAGTCGGCTTTAATTAAACTCTAATTAATGCCTAATCCGGTGCTGCAAGGCTCAAATTGCCAGCGAAATCACATGCATTCAGTCCGTGGCTTGTGTTAGCACGTCGTTGAGATGTTTACACTACTAAATCAACACGATGGCGCGCGTGATAATGAATGCTACAGTACTTTCAGATTGCGAGCAGCATTCTGTAACAATAATATAAAAAATAAAAAACAGATTAGACTTTTGTGTCCGGTACACAGTTGGCAGTCACTCATCTGTGCCTCATTCATATGTAAATCATATTTGCTGCGCATCGCTTCCGGATGTTTGACAGCAAATAAAAACACGAGCAGAAATCGTTACAAGCACAATAATGACATTGTAAAATATGTACATAGCAAAGAGGGTAATTCAAAGGTAAGATACTACACCGTCGGTCATAACCGAGAAAAGAGCGTTCGATGTGGAAATCCACTCGTAGTACACGTCGCCGTGTAAATATTTAAAGAAACCGGAAGGAAGTCTCGTCTTCCTTGCAGCGCGCCATAATCATTCGTAAATCGTGGCTTAGAAGAATCACGTGCGTCGCATACGTATTTCCTGATTAATTCTGATGCAATTTGTGTCTAATAATAGGCATTACATGCCGTTGGTAATTCAAATCACCTTTCTACAGGTTTTATATTTATACACTTACATCAGAACAAAGCAATTTTACAATAAAAAAAAAAAACATTTTTATAGTTTTCTTGCTACTAAATGGTCTAATTAAGCAGGCCGGTGATTAATAAAGCCAGTTGACCACTTGCTGACCCTTGTTATTTATCGTAATCACGACAACTGTGTGTTTTTCAGCGCGCAGGTAAATAATAAAAGACCGCCGATGAAATTTGCATGATTAATTCATTAGGAGCGCAAAATGGCAAACAGCCGAAAATGGCAAAACGGCTGGAACGGACTGAAAGACGCTGTAATGGCAATAATAATCACACGCGGGCTCAACATGGGCATCGCACGGAATCGCGTGCCGAACGCGCGCATAAAATATAAAAGCCATAAAGCGACCAGCTTCCAATCGGGCGCTTGTTGAAACGTATTGTAATCGCTGTGCTTGGAGAGCAGACACACGCAAGAGACGAGGCGAAATGAAATATGGAATGCACAATGAGTGCAGAAATTCATAAATCAGCGCTCGTTTAATTGTAATTGTGGTCACCTTCGACCGCCGCGATGATATTCTAAAGGTGGGCATTAATGTCGACAATTAACTATGTTTGCATTGGCGTGAGAGGCCAATAAACAACAATAAACTGATTTATTCATAACGGGCGCAGTCATTAATTACGCTTTTAAAACATTCGAATTGTTTTTTTATTGCTACAGATACAGATAAGTCATAAGTTGATTCGAATAAGTTGATTCGCTGCGGTGGTAAAATGTCGGAAATGAACCCGTTTCCAAAATCAATTCCAAAGTATATACAAAGTACTTACATCCAGCTTCCACGAGAATAGTGACCCGTGTGGCCAGTGAAGCGGGATTATTGCCGTTATCGGCGGGGTTGGAAACTGGAGCGCTGGTCTTTAATAGCTAAAGTTGGGCGCATAAAAACAAACTCGAGCTCCGAAGTTGCAACATGCGCGAGAGCTGCAGGAATAATGAAAATTGTACTATGCTCAAATTTTCACAAGCTTCCCGCTCGAAGCCAGCAACCAACTTGTTTATTACATTCGGATAATTCGAATCAATACACGATTACGGAATTAGTTTTTAATGAAATGCGGATTTGCGGTAAGCCTCCAGGCAAATATTGCAAAAAAATAAAAATAAAACAATTTTTATCAATTTTTTACTCAACACAAAATGATGCAATTTAATTCGGTGCATATTTCTGACTTGATTTTCATCAATTTTCATGCATGACTTTCAACAATGAAGAATCTAATAAATCCATGCAAAGTCTGGTTGAAAATTTTAATTAGACATTTTGTGCAAACAAGGATAAGCCACTTATGCGGCTTAAGTTTTCCGATGGAAAATGAGTCGAGAGTCTAATCCCGATCAAAGTGGAGCATCTTCCTCCAGCTGCACATCCATCGATTCTTTATTAATAAAGTGTACGTGCACACACATGACACAGCTTCGTGCACGCCCGAATTGAAAATGTCATAAATATCAGTTAATATGATAGCGCGCGACTGTTCACTACGCTGGAGACGAGCAGATTAGTATCATTATTGAATTGTTTCTAACAAGGAACCCACATTTAACTAATAAAATCGTTTAAGAGACACTTCGTTACTTAAGTGCCTACCAAGGAGCCCACAAAGAAGACTTACGCCAGCGGGCGTCGAGAGGAAGATAACAAGCGGAAATAGAATTTGATTTCGGTCGGTTATCATAAACATATTTACCCGAGAGTTTATTGTCACGTGAGAGAATGAACTTGCGCAAGTTTTGAATAAGTTCTAAATAAATTCTATGAATGCGCACCGGTACGAATACAGATGCTGATGAATGCATTTTCCATTAGCTCGCTTACCTCGAAACGTCAACAGGATGTGGGAAAGTAAAATTACGACGCGGAATGCAGATGCAGATTATTTGATTATTGCCCGCCCATGATAACTCCTCGCACAAAAGACCAGAAAAACAACCCGAGCGCAATCATGGTACGGCGCGGCGCGCCGCCGAAGAATGGATCGGATGAATCACTCGAATCCACGGTGTTTGTATGGGTGCAATGGGCGATGGGTGGTACACATTTGCGCGCAGCCGGGGGCACAAACGCGGAAACGAAACGGACACACGATTTGAATGGCGAGGTTGTTACACCGAACGCCGCGCCGAAAAATCGATAAAGGTGAATGAAAATGCCGGCATACGTAAACACGACGCCGCCGGACGCAGGCGGCGATAGATTTCGCATGGGATGAGTGAAGACTTACCGTTTTCGGCGCGCCCGGGCGAGGGTTGTATCCGACTGGGCGATTTGCAGACGGGCGCGAGCGGCGTTAGTCCCACACACAGCTTCCCAAAACAAGGCGATTGCACAAGCGACAACGACGCGCACCGACCGTCCTCGGCTATGACTATTGCGGGACTGAGGCGCAGCGGCGACGAATTGTGTGGTGTGTGGAGTCGTCGTGATCGCGCGCTGCGGCTGGGCCCCGGCTGAGTAGCGCGTGCAGCGCGCGCGCCGCAGCGTTCATTGTTCGCTCAGCACCGCCCTAACTCGTGTGGAAGACGAAGAGACTCACAAAAACGACCAAGAGCGCTCGATCTCGAGCGTCTCGAACCTGAAATTCAGCGAATTCAGCCATGTGCTCGGTCGTTGCGCACTGTATACTTCCAGTCTAACTGCTCGCATTAACCGCGCTCTATTTCTTCAAAAAACGCACAAATTTCACACAAAAAAACAGGAAAAACCACCGGATATTTATATAGGTAATATAAATAGTTAATATTCACGTAATTTTTATCAAATTCCTTTGGTAAATCACCTAAAAACAAACGAAAAATTAAAATTAATAAAAAAAAAAACATAAAAAAGGCACAATCTGTTTTGCCCATTACTTGTATTACTCACGCCATGTTATAACTTGTCTTCAATGCACGAAGTCGTAATATTTAATGCAGATGTTAGGCATTAACAGCACAAAAGTCGCCCAACTTCAGCGAAGTGCTAAAAAAAATCCACGGGAACATTGTCGGAGTACATCGGGACGTCTATTTTATATTTATGTATTATATTCAAATATATTCAATGTGAAATTAACAAAGGAATCTAAAATTGTAATCTTAAGGCACGTATGCAATTATAATTCTTCATGTAGATCAATAGAAATGACGGTTTACGGCTATTATTCAATTTTTGTTCAGTGTTCTTCTGTCACACCACATCTTCGCCATCGAATGGCGGATTGTATGAGAATATTATCGCAGTAACGCATTTGTTACCCGGGGGAATTCCGTGTGAACATGATACAGGCGCGCGCTTTGAAATGGATTTCCTGCGTTGCCAACGACATGATTTGTTTACAACTTGTGCCACATACAACAAATGATTAACGTTTACTGTAATTTGTTAGATGACTAGCAAAATATCTAAAATATAATAGTAATATATGCATACATTTTGTTTTTCTCCTTGGTATCGAACACAAAATTTGTATAAAGTGTAAAGCGAAATGAAATACCTCTCTCAACTGGTTCGTCTGTCATGATCGGTGGGATGCGATTCGTCGTACACAAAACGCCTATTGTTTGTATTAATATTTAAAAGTCTTAGTTCTTTATGATTTAACGATTTGTTTGATTGGGTAATTGCAATGTACTGGTAGTCACTTGAAAAACTCACTATGAATGATGGTGAAACATTGACAACATCGAAATCGAGTGCCCTCTGGCGGTGTGCGTGAAATAAAAGTATGAAACTTGCTAAAACATGTCAAATTAACAATACATAGAGGATATAAATTAAAAAAATGAAATAAATATACAATAACAAATAGCTACACATGCTGAATGTGCCAAGTAAACATTGATGTCGAACACGCATTGCCACAGTGAGTGCAGTTTGTTCTAGAAACAAAAAGAATACTTCGCAGAGTCAGAATGTTCTCTAATCAGGGAGACTCTCTCTCAACGAATCAAGCTTGAGTAAAACATGTATTTGCATCTACATGAATGAATTCGCGCCGAGACTCCATGATTATTAACAATGTGAGACCTTATTCAACACAAATTCTGCATACACAGCAAAGAAAATATAAACGCTCTGAATTTTTTAAATAGATAATTAACTTCACAATTACAGCTAACTAGAAAAATATTAATGTGTATAATTATCGTAAACGTAGTATTCTGTATAAATAATAAATATTTTGCTAGTTACAATAGGTTTCTCTGCGTGTTTTTTTTTTTCAATTTTTTTTTTTGAAAATATAAATTAATAGCCAAATCGATGTGTTTCATTAATTTAACGCGACAGTTTATTACATAACTATTCCGTGTGTTTCTCGGAGCGTTTGACTGCTTTCAAAAAACCCGTGTTTTTGGTATATATATCTCTCAAATTGCCAATTTTTCATCACTGAACTACTTCACTTAACCTTACATATCAATATATCTGACTTCATTCTATTCACATCGACAATTAATGTATCTTTCAACGTTTTTTATACGAAGAGTCGCTAAAAAAATAGGCAGAATATACCAGTATATATGTATAAACAATTTTTCGTATGCTTGTTGCCTCTACCAATCATCAATCTCACTGTACAACGCACAATCACAATGCTTGTACAAAATGTAAATCGAATTTTTTTGGAAATGGGACTCTCTAGTTTGGCCTTGTCGTGGTTCGCGCTCAATCATGTGATCAACAATAACGTAAAAACCTATGCTACATTCTTACACGTTTCACATTCGCAGCAATGAGTGAGTGGTATGCCTTCATACAAATATGTTACACATAAAAAACGTTCAGACCGACACCTGCGACTCGTGCAATTTGCGCATCGGTTGCGGCGACATCTGCAAAATCAAATCGTAACAATCGAATTAATGATGGCGGCGAAATGGTTAAGTGTGAACACATACCCAGCTCAATCTCTCCTTGTTTATAACACATTTAGTGTCGGCCTCGACCACCAGGCTCTTACACTTTCTCTCCGGATCGTCGGTGCCATTTATGTAAATACCAGTAATGTACTTTTTATTCTCGTTCTTCTCGTCCACCTTCCGGATGGAATTGTTGCTGTTGTAGATTGTATTCTGCGAATTGCGCAATGTCACCTCATCGACGAGTTTAATATCCTCCTTGTTCATATCGACCTCATTGCGATTGTCCGCAGTGTCCGCAATCGCAACATCGTCCAGTTCTAATTCAATCGAGTTGCTGCTGACGATGGGCGCCGTTGCTTCGTTGTTCACTTTTGTTGCATTCGTAGAGATATTCGTGTTGCTCGCCGATTTCATAGTGTTCGTCACAGTCGGCAAAGTAGGTTTCTTCTCTTTTTCTTTTTCTTTCTCCTTGTTGAGCTTCGGAGGGACAAACTTGGGCATGCGTACCACCCAGTGGTCACCAATGGAACCAACTGAACTTGTACTGGCGGCGCTGCTTGAATTCGAACTGCTGCTCACGTAAATCCCGGTGCGTTTCTGATAAAACAAGATGTACGCACTGTTATTGACAAGTTCAGCGCCAATTTCAGCACTTTCCGCGCTTAAATTCGTCACTTTTGCATCATCGTACAAATACCAGTTGTTATCGTATGGATTTTTACACGCTGCAGTGTAATGCCCGGTTTCAAGATCCGTGCCGTGATGGTAGCATACCGCATACAAGTCGTAGGTGTTATCATTAATGGTGGATTGTTTACGCGAGCGTTTCCACGGCGACCAATTGACACCGTTCATAATAACCGGATTCGACTGCTCCGTTGGCGGTTGCTGTTGCTGATGGAGATTAGCATTCGATTTATTGGCGAGATGTGGCGTCATGTCAAACGCATGCACTGGGAAATCCACCATTGTGGTGAGTTTCGTGCTGCTCGTGCGGCCCTTCACCGTCTGCTGCCTGAAACGCTTGAAGTGAAAGACGAGGATATCCGGCAGACTCCACATGTCCAGCGTCTTGATAACCGGCTGATATTTCTGGCACTGTGGACACCGCCATGCATCATCCAGTGTCTCAGCTTTCGTGTAATGCCGCAGACACTCTTCAAGCGTAAGCGGCGCGCCGCCCTGCAACGCCTGCGTTTTCAACTGCTTGACACTGGAGTGCTCTTCGACCAACTCGCTGTCATCGGCGATGATCGTCCGTTTAGCGTCAGCGCTCCACTCCAGTACAAGTTTCACATGCGGCGGGCCTCCGTCCTCGCTGCACAACGCCAGCGCCTGATCGATTGCCTCCATAAACAAAGGATGCTCTAATGAGGGCTCCAGATAAGTCGCCGGCTCGTTAAAGTTGTACGCCGGATCGGAAATGCGCATTTTATACACCTACAAACACAAACATGAACACATCCCCAGAAAATCAACGTACAAAGCTAGAATACTAACGCCTGCTGGCTGGGATGATGTGAGAATGTCATCGTGCAGTATCGGCGCCATCTCCTTCAGCATCAGCTTCTGCAGGTCGGCGTACGACGTCTCCCTGTTCACTTGCATCGTGTAGGGACTTCCTGCAAAGCCAAACCGACGAATGAGTGAGAATGTCAATGAAAGGGGAAGCGCGCGTGTTCAATTGTTCACGCTACTTGACGCGCCGACTCACCGAATCTCTTAAAGCTATTGTTATTTTTGGCATCCTTTGCATCCTCCACCGCATTGATCCAGCACAGCAGCACGTAGGCGCCCTGCGTCTCCTCGTCCACGTCCTTTAACTGCGGCACTTCGATGCAGTAGACTGGATCCACCTCGGTAATGCCGTTGACGCTCTGCGCGTCGGTGAACGTACGCAGAAAACCATGATCACCAATCTCGGTGAGCAGCATATCAGTGCGCGCGATTGACGTGTCCGACTCGAGCAAATCACGCAGTTCCGATACGGTGGCACCTGATGGAAGCGACACGCCAATTTTCACCTCGCGCGGCTGCTGCGACGTGTACAACACCTACAAATCAATCAGTAGAGAAAAAAAATACAAACAATATGATGATGATGATTATTATTATTACTGTAACATAGACGGAATGCCTGAAGAGTTGCGGCAGCTGTACTGAGATGCATTGGAACGGATCGAAGGTGTTGGATTGCGTTAGGCATCGTGGACAACTCAACGAGGAGCGATACTGCGCCTGAAAGACGCTATGAATGAAGGAGTTGTTCTGCCGACGGTAGTTTTCCAGCGTCTCGGCGGCAATCACCTCGTCGGGTCGGCCCAGTGTCTGTAAATCACAACATGCCACCATAAGAAAAACATTCGCATGCAAAAAAATTAAAATTTCCGCACCAAACGCAATATTTATTCATTTGGTATTCAAATTCGCGAGTGGAAGTTTCCAGCGTTTGTTTAGTTGTACAAATGCGCTCGGAATTGTTAAAATATCCGGGCGTAAAAACGCAGCGCACGCCGACAGTTATATTTCGCCTAAAGTGTGCGCGATGTGGAAAGCCCGCGCCGCGCATAATGGGCCTGCTGTTTAATAGCGATTCAGTGTCCGAGCGTCTGACCCAGATCATGACTACTCGAAATCAAAGAGGCTCGCGCCGGAGAACTCAGTCTCCAGCCGTGCGTTAACACCATTCGCCTGCGATGTGTGACGTTGCTGACGTCGTTTTTCTTTGCTTTACTTTTTTCTTGCTTCATTTGCATCCACATAATCTTGATCCAATATTATTGAAACGAAATCGTAGATAATTCAATTTTGGCTATCAACTTTCATCCGATGGCCTTTCAATCCGGACCCGCCCGTTCAAGGATTTTTCGACTCGACGAGAGAGTGAGTTTCGGCCAGTCCCGTGCCAGCCACAAATGTCATCACATACACACAATTCGCAAACACGCGTTTGTTGTCCATGTTTTAATTGAATCGCGCGCGACCTTGGCACGCCAGCTCAGCCGTGCCCTATAAATGACTTCCTAATTTCATTCAATGCGAATAATGCTGTACACCGCGCGGTTTTCCACTGCTGATCCCGTGACAATAATCGTGTGAGTCATTTTTATCTGCGAGCAGAGAGCGCGAATTCGCGTTTTATTCATTCCGCGCGCGTGTCCGTTGCAAAAACTTCGCGCGACTATTTTTATATCGTCGCAAATTGCGTACGGAGGCAAAAAATGTCGAGGCTGCACGTGCATCCAGACAGGAGCGAACAGGAGGCGCAAAAAATGTTTTGATTCACCTTCGAATTCGATTTGAATGAAGCGCTTACGCATCGTGAATTGCGATTGCACGTGCGCGCGGATTACGTTTGCACATACATGTAATTGCATTATGAAATTGCGAAAAGTAATCAAAGTTTCGGCCTGATAGAAAATAAAAATCGATGCGTACGGTATTAAACATATCATACGACATTGACACTGCGCGCATTGTTTCCGATGAGTCAGTTGCACAAGTTTCGCGATTGAAAAACAAAGGATTGCGTAGTTGATTAATTTTTTTTTAATTTAAATTTTTATTCGTAGTAAAATTGAGATCAACAACTTTGGTTGCGTTGTAAGACGAGTGTGCTGTAGACAAGTTCATTGAATAATTAATTGATGTTGCCAATCGAATGGCTCGCGTGAAAACGAAAAAACAAACTCCATTATTACAGACCTTCGGACGAACGGACTGTAAACCATTAGGCCCCGATAGATTGAATGCGTAGGCGCGAGAACCATTTTCGAACCTGACGTCACTACGAGCGCATAAATGAATTCATAATCGATGAATTGAACGATATCGTTACACGTCCAAAAATACACTTAAATTTCGACTTAACCGGTTGTAAAGTGTACGAAAGAAAGTTTCGAACTTACGCAATTTTTTTCGGCACGACCCTAAATTGTGTACGTATGGCGTAACATCGTCATCGTGTAATTCACAGCGGACGCGATGGAAAAAAAGCAGGAGTAGAGGCATATCCGTGTCACGGCTTTAACGACGCATGAAACTCATCGTTCTTTTCGCATCTTCCGCCCGCCCACGCGCGCATCCACATAATAACTCATCGCAAACGATGTAAACAATGCAAAGAACAGGCGTCAATGTCGCGCGTATGTACATAATATGTAAACAAAGTGCGAGAATGAGCGCGGGCTGCCATTCGCACATCACCCGCCGACACATTCAACATGCAACATACAACAATTGTTGCTGTTTGCGCCGATTGTGTTTTTCCTGGTTTCTTCCTCGCGTAAAACACAATTATCTATATTTCGTAGCAAACCACACATCGGGTGGTGTGTGTTGTGATGTCAGTGCATAATATCAATGAGTCGGACACTGCGCGTTATCTAATCGATGCAGTGTGTTTCACGTTTCAAATGATGAGAATGCAGCGCCGATTGGAAACGCATGACTGTAAACAATCGCACCTGACACTTTTTTGTTTCATCGAGACGTTTCCATGAAATCGAAACGAAGTGGGTCATTGATACGCGCGATAAACAGAAACAAATCGTTGTGGAAAACCACACGAAAGCGAATAGCAAATGGCAGACTCAAAAAACTGCGGTAATTAGCCGCACAAATTCTCTTCTCCCAGGTTTCGCGTTTATCACACTCGCGCAGAAAAAATAAATCACCAGCGGAAAAAACAATCGTCGAGGAACAAAGGCGAAATATCGAAATTGTTTTGATTGGTAGCATTGTTAGGCGATTATGTTTACGAAATAAAAAACGAGAGGCTGCGTCACAACGACAACACACACCGAAGTTATTTGTTGAAAAAACAAAGCGCTGGAGTGAAATAAACACATAATCAAAAGATTAAATAAAAGCGCCGTCAAAGAACACGCATTATTGTTTTCCAACGCAATCCGGTCAATCAAAATATGTAACATAACGATCCCTGTGAAAGCAATTAATAATATTATTAGAATTGCAAAGCGAATATTATAAGAAAATGTTGCATACACGCGTAAAAAATGCTCGAACATGGTAATTCCAATGACAATATTACATAAACGCGAGCCGCGCGTATTTCGAACGGAATTTTTTTGACAAATATTTACGTGGCGTGTTACTTTACGCGATACCAAACAAACACACAACAAGCATGACTCTTCTTAATTCATCAAACTTTGAAATGAAATTGACTCTCACATGCATTACTACTACTTTGACTTGCGTGCAATTAAAATTCGTGTTATTACACTCCAAGTTGTCTTAATTACTATGAAGCGTAAATACACGTCAGTGCAATATTTGTCAAATCATCATCGATTGTACGCGACAAACAATAGAAGGCGCAGGTAATATATATCTACACATCCGCGTAAACTATGCATATTTCACACTTTTACGCCTTGAAACGCGGGTATGATTGACCGCTTATCATCTGAATCCGGTGCACCTGAGTAAATACAATGCCTAGCAGTTTATATTCCCGAATGTTATTTACTTGGACTTTAAATAAAGATATTTTCAATAAAAAAACGTAAATATCAGTAATTTTTCTTATATAATCGTCGAGTTTTCTGGTACGCAGATATTAATTGTATTATTAAGTCGATGGAAGTAGATGAAAGCGAGTTATGCATTAAACATTCGTCAACAAACGCCTGCGAACGTAAACAATTACTAAATTAATACTTCGGGATCTAAATATATCCGCGCCCGCGAGGCGAATTTCGCGGAATTATGCGTCGAATTGAGCGGCGCTGGTTTAATCCCAGCAATAATTGCATTGCAATCAACATTCTCACGCCAACTACAACTGCGCTGCCGCTGTGAGGCTCAAAGAGCAAAGTGCGATTCAATAAGACTCCGAATTCGAAAACATCGGAATCGAATTGGAATCCGGGGTCCGCGTGCTCTAGATTTTCAATGTTTACGCCGGCCACGTGACCATTTTAGAGCAAAAGAAAATGATTCTCCCGGATAACTTGCCTTGATGGATCTGAATTTCTTCTTGGGTGCCATGTTGAGGTCCTCGTGGACTTTGTCCAGCAGCCAGATGAGGAATTCGAGCGCGTCGTGTTGTTGCGTGCCCTTGTACTGCACCCCATAACGCTCGACGATCTGCTTGAAGATGGTGGAGAACTCGGGGTTGTACTGGCACGACCAGAGTGCTTTCAGCAGGACGGCCAGCTGCTCGGTGACTTCGCCCTTGGTGCCGTGCTTCTTCGAGTTGAGCTTGTTGCGGCGCGACAGGTCGATCTTGTAGCGGTCCAGGACGAAGTACTCGGCAAGGACGTCCGTGTGCGAGATGCACTGCAGGACGGCGTTGATGAAGCAGGTGTTACCGTGGTTGCGCAGGCCGGTGACGCCGGGCGTGTCGTCCGGGCCCCAAGTCTGCAGGCCGACGGGCGGCACGCGACTTTCGCCGTTCGGCAGCTGGACGCCGCCGATGTGCTGGGCGATTTTATTGATAAACTTACGGAAGGACGGCCGACGGAATACCTTCTTGCTGGCGCGATGGACATCATCAGCGTCGCGATTGTTTGGACGCGCCAGCGTCGCCGAACGCACATCGCCGGGCGGCTGCAGTGTGTCAGCGTTGTTGTTGTCCGCCGGCGGCGTTGTCTTCGGCTTGCGCTTGGAGATACGCGTGAGAGGATTCCGCGGCAGCGTGAATGTGCGCTTAAGGCGCGAGACTTCAGCGGGCGGCAGCTGGTCGGGCTCCGGCTGCGTGCTGTCGCAATCGGTGGACTTCATCGCGAGCGCACACTGCACGTCGCACATAATATTCGCATCCAGGCCGACTCGAATTCGTTCGTTCGCTGGCGGTGTGGGACACTCACGCGACGCACACACAACACGTATGATTTAGTTAGGCTAGGCGCGATTATGCATTATTGTGTGGCGCGATTTACAACTGAGTGCCACTGCGACGTCGGCCATTCCACGCGATTGCAACACCTTGACTGGCCGCCTATGCCGACCTCGGCCGGAGAGTGAAACTCCACTCCCCGTCATTTCACGCGCGCCCTCTATGCGCATATCGTGAACTAGTGATATTCAAATGTTTCGCTCACCGTAGTCAACCAACGCATCAAAGATGGCTGAAAATTTAAACACGAAAATGAAACAAAAGTTTGTTTAGTTATCAAAATTTTTCGTCTACGCACGGTCGCACGCCATTTTTTTCTCTCCTTAAAATTCTTCAATATTCATGCTTTTGTGGCCCAAAAATAACTCCAAAACACAAACAATATGAATCCCACAATGGAACTTCAACAAGAAATTAGACAACGAGGTAATTTTTGAATTCATTTATTGATACAATTCGATCACAGATTTTCAATATGTTGCATCTTATTCCTCGTCACAGGTTTTGACGACCGGATGCACCACAACATTTGGACCCAGGCATCCTGCAGTCCCTGCGATGTAATCGTGGAAGTTCGACTCGATGGTCCACATGAGTCGCTTGTAGCCCGGAACCACATGAGTGGGGAGCCTGCACTCGGTACCACGCTGCACCAGGATGAAGTTCTCGTCCTTGAAGCAGGTGTCGGTGTTCCAGATGTAGACATCGGACTGTCCCTTGTACCTGAAGAGAATGCTACCGGCATTATCGGTACCGAGGAGAACCCCCTTGACACCCTCGGGCTTAGCTCCAACTTCAACGATAGCGCCGGCAGTCTGACCCTTCTGGAGGGACTCGGACTTGATATGGTACATCTTCGGGGAGGAGAGGTAGGAGAAGTAAACGTAGTTCCCGCATTGTCTGCGTACGAGTACCATGTAGAGGACATCCTTGGCTGTAGCAGTGCAAGCAGTGGGGAGGACGACACGGTATCCCTTAGCACCGAAGACATCATAGACGATTATAGCTCCAGCTCCGGCATCAGCGACGTAGACGAACGGGCGTCCATCGCAAGTATAATCAACGATGATGTATTGCAGGCGGGAGCTGGGGACGACCAAGTTGGTGAGGTCGATCACCTTAACAACTTGATTGGTCTTCAGGTTGATGCCGACGATCTTGGGACCGCACCTACGGACGGGTTGCTCCAAGGTATTAACGAGCCCGATGTCCAAAACCCAGAGGATATCGCTCTGGCAAATGAAGATGTCAACGACGGATTGGAGGGCATCGCAGTTTCCTTCCTCCTGCATCGACCAGCACGGGAACGGCGTCAGGTTGGCTTGGCACCCCCTCGCTTTCATCGAGAACTTCGCGAGCGTGAATGGCACGCCATGTTTATAGCGAGGCAGCGCAACGATGGCCTCGTCTTTATAGATTTGCATGCGGGTGGCGATGACGTTCCTCGGAATATAGCGCCCGCTCGAGATGTAGATGCCCTTGGTGCTGTCGCATGGGAAAACCATGTTGGTTCCGGAGAGTTTGTAGCTCAGATCGGGGACGCTCACGTCGCATGACCCAGACACTGCTGCAACTGCAGCGAGGGCGAGCACACATGCACACCGAAGAAGAGCCATGTTGTTGGACACCTAGAACATTAAATTTTACATTTTAGTAACCCCCATATACATAATTCAAAAGTTAAAAGAAAAAGAAACAAATGTTACCTGGATTTTCGTTGTGCTTGATACCGAAAATCTGTATGAGGTAAAACACCGACGGGCCAAGCTTATATACTCATCGGACATGTTTTCTTTGCATCACAAAGCAACTAACATTAGTTATCATCAACAACCAGTGCACAGTGGATGGCACAACGAATGCCGCCGAATATTTTCAACGTACACATTGTAGTATTACTACAAATCAATAACAATTCATTAAAGACCGTGCGTACATAGTAACAATTGTGTAATTTGCAACTGCTTGCAATCATGCTTAGTGTGGTATTCTTGTGACATTGAATTGTTTTGTTTATTCTACGGCAAGCTACGATTGCAAATAATTCAGGTGGTAATCAAAATGGCGAGAATTTAAGATGGCGGACATTATATACTCTTCTCCAATGATAAATCTGCTTATTTTTGCAAAGTAGGCAACATTTTGTGCGTTGTCTTCATTGTAGTCACAAGTTGAAAGCATTTAGTTGCGTTTAGTGATTGTTTGTTAGCTGCTCGCGGCATTTAATCGACATTGGCGCATTTTGCTCTCGATACCCAGATCGCCGCTGCAAGAAGTGGGTGAGACCGTTTAGAAAGTATTATTCTGCGCGATAAGCGCACGACACTCAGCGACACACAATTACAGAATCTTGTAAGAATAATAATCGCTCAATACGTGTACGTACGCGAAGAATGCAATTGCATTGTTTGTGCGTTGGCAGGAATATTAATTGGATAATTAATATTATCATTGTTTGCATGTAGCGCAATTAGTTCACAATTCGTATGCATTTATCTCCAACAGCAAAACGAATCTGTTTGGATTTCATTGGTTTTCATGTTGAAATACACTTGAAATTTGCCCGAACGTCAACAAGGTGTATGTTAACAAAGAATTGATGACATAACGCAAATGGAAGTTATGATTGCCTATGCATTTTATTATTATTTAACATTAAGTATTACTGTTTAGTTTAGATTCACCACTTGCTCGACGAAATTGTTTTGCGGGCTGGAATCCAACACCAGCTTGCCAACACGTTGTTTGGGCAATTAAACGAAAACAAAACTTCATGTATAAATTACTGCGATGGTCGCCATCCAGTCATATCTCTTGTACTCGTCCAACGGAAAAGAGGTAAGTCCCACAATCATATCCTTCACTGTATTCTGATTGTTAATTGTTTTATTCTTTGTAGATTTCAAAATGTTGGCGAAAATCGTATGCTTGGGAGCCGTGCTCGCGGTGGCCTACGCCTCCTGCGACAAAGACACCATGCGTCCAATTGAATGGACCGGAGGTAACTACGAATGGCCCTGCGGCGCCACCAAGAAGATCTACGTGAGCTCCGGCAAGTACCTGCCCAAGAACGTGATCGCCACCCGCGGCCAGATCTACCACGACGACCTCATCGTCGCCTTACCACGTTTCAAACCAGGTGTACCAGCTACACTTGCCAAGGTGTCTTTGAAACAGAAGGGTTGCGAAGCTACTTTGACCCCATTCCCATGCTGGTCCTCCCAGGACGAAACCAGCCCTGATGGTTTCATCAACATCGTTGATTTGTTCCTTGACAACCAGGACATCCTCTGGTGTTTGGATATTGGTGTGACCAACACTTTGGAATCACCAATCCGTCGTGCTCCACCAAAGGTCATCGCCATCTCCATGAAAACCGGAAAATTATTGAAGACACTTAACTTGTCTGGACTTGTAGCTCAAGCCTCTCGTCTGCAATACGTCGTTGTAGAATACTCTCAAGATGGTCGCCCATTCTGTTACATTTCCGACGCCGCCACCCGCTCCATCCTTGTCTTCGACATTGCAGGCAACAAGGGTTACCGCGTTGTCCTCCCTAAGGCTGTTGTAGCCGGCGCTAACCGTCGTGATGTTTTATACATTGCTCTCATCCGCAAGCAGTGCCGCAATCACTACCTGGTCTTCACCTACCTATCCTCCGGCCGCATGTTCCAGATCCGCACTGATTACCTCCGCTCTGGATCCGCCGCTGGCCGCGTGCAGGACCTCGGTCCCAAACCCGACAAACTGGTCATCCTCGGCAATGATCTCGGCGCTGCCTTGTTCTTCCGTTATGAAGGACACCCAGAGGTCTACAGATGGGACTCCAACACACCGTTCTGCAAGGATAACTTCCAGGTGGTCTACAAGAGCCCCAACTGCCTGCTGGCCACGCACGCCATGGCTGATTTGAGGCGTCAACGCATCCGGGTGTTGGAATCCAACTTCCCCGACTTCATTCAGAACACTGTCGGATGTGGTGCCGTCCAGCAGGTCAACCTGATGTCGGGCAGCTGCAACTGAGGCGTTATCTGTGATCCAGTTTTAAATGTTGCGCGAATTTCTTTTGAAAATAAAACAAAGCGCAACTTTAGTACAACGTGTTTTTATTTGCTTTGAGTATGCAATGAATTCAAGAAGTGAATGTTGCAGGAAACTGAATCCTGCTAATAAATTCGAATAACAACTTGTAAATGTTGTAAATCTGCATAATTGCGGCATTGTAATCATTTTTAACTTGATTACCATTGTTTAATTAATTTATATACATATTCCGCAATGGCATTGGCAATTCAGTGCCGATATTGATTTCATCGATTGCAAAATAATTATTAGTTGAAATCAAACAATAGGAATTGAAATAGAAAGGCGCGTATTGAAATATCAGCGAATTATGAATCCAAAAATAGATAAATTCTGTTAAATGCGGTATTCACGCAGTTGTGCAAAGGGTTTCCACTGGCGCATTGTTTCATTGTCTCGCGAAATTTTTAATAAACGAAACCAGCACCTCGATTAAGTGAAACCCGCCGCCGCTGCGACGCGAAAATATCTTCTTTACGTGTCAAGTGACACACATTGCCGCTTTTGTCTTCGATTACATGCATTGTTACCTAGATAAATGTGGTATTAAGGTGTGCGTTGTATGATACGAACTGGGAATATGATAGAATTGTAAATAAATCCAATGAAAACGCAGTGTTATGTACGCGCGAGTGCAGTGGGTGCGAAAAAGTTCAAGGATTTGATTAGCTTCGCGTAAACAATGCTGTCACAAGCACATTGTGCTGTTATTATAGCTATAATTGATAAACTTAATCAAAAATCTGTTTACGCTTCAATTTCGTGGAATTTTATTTAATCGAATGGAAATGTAACATCAGCCACGCAAGTCTCGCACGAAAATGTTACAGTCGTGACCGCGGGCTTCGCGATTAACTCTTGCACAAAGACGAAAAGGTTTCATGCCTCAAATTGGCTCAAAACAAGCAAAAATTCAGTTTAGAAAAATTCTAATCACAAAACTAAAGTGAAAGTAAATCACTGCAGTACAAGTCCAAACCTGTTAAATACATATGTAGATGTCGTTCTTGATTGATCCATTTACAGCTTAATTGTTAATATTAGGCAGGTAGGATAAAAGTTAAAAAACTTTATGATCGCTACGCAGAAAAACGACTTTCACATCACACTGACCTAAGATTTCATCACGTATTTGTCGTACGCGCGACACGAATTTGTAAAAACTTAAGGAATTCGCCCGCTGCCTGTTGTTTAATTGCAACACACGCACAATCTATCAATTAACTCACGTGGAACACTTTAAAAAATATTCTGAGCATTAGTAAATTAATTTTTGTACTTTCATACGTGATATAATACGTAATTAGCTGAAAATATATTTCCAGGTTTACGAGTGAAATAAATTTAATTTACCGATTAGTATAATACACGTAATATTGTGACTTATTATACTCTTGGAGTTGGATACGCAGACAATAATCGTATGCAAAAGTAGGCCGAAATGTTGAATTGCTCCAGCGGTGCATTGTTCACGTTCACATCCACACTGGCGTCGCGCAAAATTGTAAATACATATCGATACGACAACAGGAATGTAATTACATGTGGTTTTCGTTATTTCACCAGGCAGAGATCATAAATATTGTTCGAAACGCATACATTTGCTCGATGACAAGATGTCGCAAGCGTATTTATACAACAGAATAAGTTTTAACCATGAATTGACGATTTCTGTGATATTTAAGGACAAAAATGACAAAAAAAAATGTTATACAATGTATTATGTGGCAATTATAGTCGACTTAGCGATATTTCATTACCTAATACACATAATTAAATTAATAACAATGATCACGGAGTGCTCTTGATAAAATTACGATTAAAATTAAAATATAGAATCTACAGACGTCATACTCAAAAGTACAAGGAGCCGACCTTCTATTGCTGAACACGAAGTGAAACATGCGATCAATTCGCGTAACAAATCTGTTTCTTAGCTTAAAACTAAGGTCTTGGGTTTCGGTGGTAATAGAAGTTGAGGATTGCTTCGTCACTTTTTAATTTAGCGCAAGTTTTGACTTCGGCAAAGTATATTTGCTATTTTATACAGGGTACAATCATGTATTTGGAAGAATTAACCTAGTTTATGTATGAATTAGGCAATTTCCGAGCATTTTAAAGTGTTTAATGCGTTTTTATTTGAATCCAGAAGAGATTGGTGGAATAAATTCGACAAAATCATCAAAAATACTTTTAAAATGAAGAAAAATGTGTTTTTGATTGTTTTTGTGATGTAAAACATGTAAAAAATGACATTTTCTGATATTTTTGCCGCACTCTGTATTTATTCAAGCAAAAGAACTTCAGAAAGGCATTGAAATGATTGGCCTACCTTAGTTCAAAACAATTTATCAAAGCAAGTATCCGAGATTGTTTAAGACCACACCTTTGCAACTTAACAAACAAAAAAATCAAACAAAGCCGTGTAAAGCAAAAAACATTAGAAAAAAATCATAATTTTAATTATAATTCACGGAAATACAATAAAATCATAATAATGCATAATGCTTTGTGTGAAATTTGCAAGTATTATGTGAGTTCAATGTCTAAGATTGCAATTAATAAGCGATTGATAATTAGATTGCTTGTGGTGCGTGCGGCTTCCCCACGCAGCGCGATTCTTTGCGCCACCACAGACAGCAATTGCCTTGTTATACCGCGTAAACGGCGTGTATTCGCGGTTCAGACGTCGCCGCGCGCCAAACTATAATACTTTCGTAAACGATTTCGTCTGATACACTTGTTGTCCTGCGCTCGCCGCAATAAGAACGGTGATGAGCTAGTGCTGGCTACCGATTTAGTTTGTTTGGGCAACGCGCGGTTATTTTCGAGTTTTGTGCGCTGCCACCAAGTGCAACGTGAAGGATACGCAAACTTCAGGTGAATATTTTAAGTCTAAACATTTAAAAACTTAAAAAAATTAAATTTTTCGACTATAGACTTCAAAATAAAACATTAATCATTGTTATCCGATCAAAAAATCGCTTAAATTTAACAGCGTGAAAGATTTACATTCAAATTTGATGTCCTTGCGTATGAAACTAAATCCTGGTGAAAGACAATCATGTATACGTTGTGATACGTTGTAAATAATATGGATAGATGACCAGGTTTTTGCTAGAAAGGAATTTTAGTACTTTTTTTTTGGTGTCTAGTAGAAGTACTCCAATTTAAACTGTTACTTGAGCACACACGCATAAAAATCCGATTTTTTCGTTTGGGCACTTTCTCTTTCTGCTCTTACCTGGGCCGCATGGAACCAGATACGTATGTGAACATGAGACATCGATGCGATCTACTCCACCTGGTCGGAAATAAAAACGCGTTCCTCTAGACCGCGAAAAATGAGCCCGGAGCACGCGACCAAGATCGCCGAATTAAAAATGAATCAAGTGTCATTTCACGCATAGAAAACACACATAAACACACAAAAAATAGAACATTTGGAGTTGAACACATCAAAGAATCTCTTAAATTCATCTAAAACTCAATAAATAAAAAATTTTTAGGAAAAAGTTTCGAAAGTATTTCGCCAGCGCGTCTTTTTCGGTATTATCTAACATGATTGATAATATCTGTAATTGCAGAGCACGTTTCAATCGTTCAAATCGTAAATTTGTACAGTTTAGGAACCAATAAGCAATTAAAACAAGCCAGCTTCAAAGAGTTACATAAAACCTGAGTGCAGACGTTTAATTTTCGTGGTTTGGTGATTTAGTGATTCAAATTTGATTTCAAACTTAAATTAACTATACAATATACCTACTTAAACATATTTTGTAAATTGTATTAACTTGACATACTAACACTTTATCCTGAGTCATTCATTTCATGCCTTTCATTTTCTACCATACTTGGATCAGTTCAGTATGCATCGATTCCATTCTTGCATTAGTAATTTATCAAAATATTTATTGAAATAAATCAAAACATTTTTTTTGCAAATTACGCATTAAAAAATACAAAAATCGACATTTTACATGTAATAATTAGTAGTTGTATACGTGGAAAGTGATTTTCTTATGTCACAGTTTGCAAGAATGCAAAGGAATTCACTTAAATCGTTCGGTTTTTTTTTTGTTTTCGAGTCGCACGTTCACGTTTCCAACGCTAAATTTATTAAAAGAACAGCATTGAGCAATGGCTTCTCATTACCACTGGAATTGGAATCGGCTGACTTTTATTTTATCTTCAGTACATTCTCCGGGCTATTTTACGACTTGAAACTCTTAAATACCCAACAACGTTAAATATACGTGCATTGCACAGCAATCAATATGAGTATTGTAAAGTCAAAGCAAAGTTTCAATGTGATAATCTTCTCTTCTCGTTTGGTGTCGTTATACAAACACAAAACACCACGCATAAAAGAATAATTAATGTGAATAATGTGGATCAACACGCGCGTGTTGATTCCATCGTTGCATCAACGATTCTTTCTTCACTTTGTTATCCCACACGCACTTTTTTTGAAAATTTCATTTTTGCGTTTCTCACACTCTCAATCACATCAGATGTGATTTTATACACGTTAAGCAAGTCAATTAAAATTGACTAAAATAAATTGATAGCTAAACAAGATCAAAATCGGATAAGCACCGTAGAAAATTATTTGCTTCATGTGTTGGCGCGAATAGAGAGGCTCGACTGCTGCGAGAATGATTTTGCACTTTACATGCGCATTGCATTGAATCACAGTCAAGTGTATGTGACATTTATTATTATTACATCTGGAGATTTGCATAGAGTCATTTATTTCATTGCTTCACACGCCGTGAAGAGTTTAATTGAGACACAATGCGAAAAATGCTGGAAATACATTTATTGATTCTTGCACTGCGGTAGAATTCAATCATAATTCATATTAACTTTTTGTTTTCTATCCAATTGCATCCAATATGTATTGAATATTGAATATATTGCATGTTGGTGTGTCGAGTGTACATAACAATTATTTGCTTGACTTGTTTTAAATATTGCACACCTATCGATTTGTACAGCGCAAGTTCTAATTGACTTTGACCTTGCCGTTTTTATTTCCGCCGGGTAGGAATTAATCAACGCGACATTTTGTTAACACGAATTGCATGAGTGCTCATTATCGCCATTAATATTTGCATAATAAAATGGGAAATGCACTGGCGCGCACTTAATTATTATTATTGCTGGTTTACATCTGTTCGGAATGGGATCAGGCGTCGTGGAGTGATCATAAAAGCAGTGCAATAGCATTTGAATAAAGTTTTTGTTCTCTATTACATGAATACAGAATAAATCATGTGTATAAAATCGTTTTTGTGCGTTTTTCAAGCGAAATTTTTGATTTTCGTCCAAAACACTTAAAATTTTAACGATTCTGTTGATAATTTTGAGTTAAATTTGTACTGCTGGTTGCACAACACTCGTTTTATGAGATTTAAGTCGAAATGTGTAACGAAATTAAGTACGGTGCGTACGTTTGGCTTCAACGTCTGTTAATGTATTATTACATATTAGCCGTAAACACGATTGCATTTCATTCAATCACATTCAGCGTTCAAGAACCAGGTCAATGTTGTCCGCACGCAAAAAAAAACTTCAAACTTGCTTTCTTACTCTTACTGCTTAATTCACATTCATCGCAAGAACAATGCAGGGAACAAACAAATCATTTCGAAGTGATTAAACATTATCAAAACTAACTGTGGACTCAATTACTGTGCGAAATGTAAAAGTTACTTTTACTCTTCGCTAAACGTTTGTAAACACACAAAAAATAGAATAAAACAACAGCGCAGCCCAAAAATTATTCAACATTATTGGAGCAATTACTCGAAAATTGTTATTGAAACTATGTAGGTAGTGTAATAGCCATGCGGCATGCAACAATATCGCGTAAAAAACGCATTTCACTATTCGTATTTGTAGTCATTCACGCATGCGTGTTTCGGCCAGTCGGGAACTTTCACCGCGATATTTTCTTTCGATTTTTGCATTTTTACTCCTATCAGTACGCTTTTATCGCCTTACGCCCACGTGTGTGACGTCAGGCTTTCTACAGGTACATGTAATGAGGGTTACAAAATTACAGTCTGCTATTGATTTTTCAGAAGATTTTCAAAATCAGCCAAGAAGATCAGATTTCAATGTACATATATAGTCATTCAAATAGTCATGCATGCAAGAATATCAATAACAATTGAATAATAAAATAAGTGCTGTACGATTATTACCCCAGCGCAATAGAAAACAACTGTAAGTACATGAATTATCCTGCAATTCATGCAGCTGGAATAAATTTCCATTCATTTTGCGTTTTTTTTTTCTAATTCAAAATAACCACCACATCACATATCGCGCCATTATGTAAAGTTTGCGCGAGTAGAAAGTGAAATGCGCCCGGCAAGGTCGCACTCGCATTTTCATTGTTCTTGGGCTTGTTCTTATTTTGATCGGGAATTGCCGCTTCACGCTTGGTCACACAAGAAATCGCGATTTGAACAACAACAACAAGCACAAAAACTACGGTGCGACATCCGCCAGCACAGATACGTAGATTATCGAATCACTTTGATTCCGGAAACGTTCGCCCGTAGAAGTGTCGATCAATGCATTATCATTGCGCGCGGAATGTATGCACCAGATACGCTAAACAAAAACAGTTGTTGTTAAGTTGGACGTTTTGTTTTCAGGTTTTCATCATGAAAAGTCTCATTGTTGTGCTGATGCTTTGTGCGTCGGCGTGCGCTGTCGACCTGGAGGTTTTGCACGAATGGAACCTGTTGGATTACAACTTTCCTGATTATGAATATGCAAGCAAATATAGGTAAACTCAAAATTAAAAAAAAAAAAATTTCTTTGTTTATTTTTTTGTTTTTGGAATTTTTAGACCGGAGAATACCGTTTTCACTGGTTTGGAAATAACTGATGATAAGCTGATAATAGCAACGCCACGTCTACGTGCTGGCGTAGGTCCCACGATAGCTTTCATTCCCCGGAACGCCCCGAAAGGATCCAGTCCCCAGCTGCAGGCGTATCCCGATTGGAGTTATCACTCGGCTGTTGTGGACAACAACACGTGCAGTGGCTTCATATCGGTTTACAGATTACGTCAGGATTCATGTAATCGCTTGTGGGTTAGTAAAACATACCACCAGGATCAAACCCAAGTATTGATACAACTTTTAAACGCATTCTAGGTCCTAGATTCGGGAATTCAAACGTCCATTGACAACTTCCAACGTGTATGCACTCCAAAACTGGTTATCATTGATCTGAACACGGATACAGTCATCAGGACCATTGTTTTCCCTGCTGAGGTCCTGAGACCTGCTTCCTTGACCACCAATTTGGTCATTGATGAAACCCAGGGTACCTGTGACTCCGCCATGGTTTATATTACAGATACAGCTGCACCAGGTAACAGATTCTTCAATATTTTAATGAATTTATAATTTTTTTTTTTTGAATAATTTTAGGGTTAATTGTTTATGATGCCGCTAAGGATAGCATTTGGCGTTTTATGCATCCCACAATGTTCCCGGATCCTGATTTTGGTGAGATGATGATTGACGGAGAGTCTTTCACGTTGATGGACGGTGTTGTTGGCCTGGGCTTCTCCCCAAACCTTGGATTATTGTATTATCAACCATTGGCTACCGATAGAATCTACTCGATTGCCACCTCCATTCTTCGTAAAGGCCCACTAGCTGAAAACGAAGCACTTGCTGTACAACTTGTCGGAAAAAAGTCTTCCCAAGGGTTGGGATTGGCTGTTGACCCACGTGATGATACTGTATACTTTAGTCCTTTGACAGAAACATCTTTAGCGTCATGGAGTCCAAAAACAAATCAACAAAAGTTAGTATTTTATGAAAATCACTACCAATGTAATACTGGTTGCCTATATACTCAACACACATCAAACACTGTTGCCATTCAGTTTTTATCTAACCTCAACCGTCAATTTCACGCATTGAAACAATGAAACAATCAAAGGACACGTGACCATGTTTTTTACTTTTCAATGTTTTAGTTTGGTATCATATGACCGGCAGCGATTGCAATTCCTGTCGGAAATACGTTGGGCTGAAAAGGACGGCGGAAACGTGTGGGCCTTGACAACGCGCTTCCAAAAGTTCTTCCGAAGGACAATCAACGCGAACGAGATCAATTTGCGCATCGTCCGCTTCCCGAAGACCACCGCGCCCAGCTACCATCCACTCAGCAACAATTTATACAGCTTCTAAATCTTAAAAAAACTCAAAGTTATGTCGCACTGCTATTTTTAGTTTTATTTTTAAGCAATCCAAACGCTTTCGTAGCTAGTAGTGCAGCATAATTTGTAAATGTAAATACAAACAACTCAATTAATCAACGAGCCAACAAAAAACCCCGACCAAATTGAGTAGTGGAAACAAAGTATTATAATTACGGTATTTTTATACTTTAAAGAAAACGAAAAAACCCTTTATTTTTGTAACGATTTATATTTTTGTATATTTATTCATGTCATTCGCTTCTAAGAAAGGTTTTAGTATGATTACAATGTATATTTTAATAACGATTCGAAACTAATTGTAAATAAATGGTCGTCCAGTACGCACATTGATCTACCCGGGCAAATATTGAATCAAAGTTGTCAACATTTGCATAGCAGCGCGACCGAAACCTTGATGAGACTCGTCCCCAACGGAATTTACGTACTTGCGCTATGGTTTTAGATTACGCCGGTCCTCATTATGCTAATTCAGTGTTTAGTGTCATTAAAAGCGCGCACGTATCACTACTATACCCACGAGCGCGCGCGCGCGTTCCGCATTCAAGAGATAATTAAAAAAGAACATTTACAGAGTCAATGTCTCTGGCGGCCGGCCGACATCCGCTGTAACGATTAATCTCAATTCGAAGCGATGCGCGCACACACACGTGTGTGTGTGGGTAAATTTGTTTGTTTACGGTGCGCGCCAGATAAATATATAAATTGTTTCGAAAAGACCGGATTGACCAGTGATCAGCGATCCGTCGTCCGCGGGCCTCGCTGCTTCTTCGTCCGCGGCTCACATTCGCGATTTGGTAACGCGGCGCGCCGCATCGGTTCGCATTGACATTGACTTTCGCTGCAGCGTCTAATCGTTTTTTAAATACACGCCGACGCGCGATTGTCGTGCGCGCCTGTGACAGAAGACGTTTGGCGGCGTGACGGTGACGAGCATCACAATCGGAATCGAGTTTTAAACAACAAACATGTGTGAGTAGTTCGATATTTCTTTGTTTCCTTATTCGACAAGGTTCAGTTCAAGTCATTTTTAGCCTAATTCGGAATCAATTCAATGCTACACGTTGAATTTCCCGATTTAAACAATAAAACTTCAAATTCAACTTAAAACTTATATAATTTCATACACAGAAACAAATAAACAAATTAAATTTATAATTATTACTTCTATTCAGTAGTTAATCATCAAAATAAATCAAAATATTATTAGTTAATTATAATTAACTCTTCAAAGTCGTAAATCACATCGGATATTAAATTTTTGCTGGATGTATAATTAGTGCCATCATTTTTGTGGTCGAAGACTAATAATTATTTTAGATTATGTCAGCGTTTACGTGTCTCATTAAACCTTGAAAATGCCTATCAAATATTAATGCCTGTTAGCGAATAAACTGTACAACAATGAATTTAAGATGAATTTCTATCATGCATTATTGATTTTATGTCATTTTATTCACTTCTAAGATAGTATTATCGTAGTTTATAGGCATTTACGTTTACTATAGGAAATCCCAAATGTATTGCTCAACTTAAACACATTAAATTGTTTACTATCGAACGTAAATAATTCTTACGCAAGCAAATAAAATAAAGACACGTGCATTACCATGCAGTTATTGTCTATTATTGCATTTGATGCTGAAAATTATTGTGATTTACCTTGAAGTAAAATATTTTCCTAATCTGCATGCAAGATTGAAGTAAAAATAAAAATAAAAGTGTAAAATTGATAAATTTTACATTTTGTGTGAAAATCGTATTTGATGATGAAGAAATTCGATCGCATTCCTTGCGAATTAAATAATAACGTATTAATTTCTCAAATTACACCATGCTGCGCGCGCATTTGTTTAAACTACGCACCGGAACTAGAAATAATCCGAGAGTTTGCATTGCGCATGCAGGCATATGCGTGATGGATTGCGATTTTGTTGTGGTTGTTATTTAAAACGCCGATAATTACATCGTGCATGAATCCGCGCGCAACGAATATAATTTGTGCAAATATTTGCACACGCACGCATTTTGGCAATCACACGGCTATTGTCTGCGCGGGTGATAACGAAATTTGCACAAATTGCAAATGTGGAGCACATTCGCGACAATAATTGTTTCAGCAATCAATTGCACCAAGTTTTGTGACATTTTCAACTAAAATTGAAGCAAATTTCAAGTAATTTTTATAAATCTCAGTCAATTATATCTTCAATTAAGTATTAAGACATTCTTCAATGGTAATATGCTTCTGAATGCCTTTTAATTTGAGAATTGAAAGTGAAAACTCTCAAAAATTAAATGAATGCAAATCAATAAAATATAACAACACAAAAAACGAAAGCCAGGCATTGTGGTGTGTAGTGCGCGGTGTGTAATTAAAACAAATTAATTACTGAATTTCATAACTAATTGTTATATGAATAAGAACGCGCGCACGTTTTAAAGGAGCGCGCGTTTTCACAATCGCCGCGCGCACAAAGAGGCATTATATGCCACTTCACACGTTTAGGAGACTGCCATTCACACTTTCGTCGCACTATGCAGATTCATTGCTTTCTTCGTCGTATAACATACAATAAATTATGAATTACAAAGCAGAACGCAGCATATTCGTAATATCAAGTTGTAACGTTGCATTATTATATCACAATGCATCGGAGAATTGAATTCAATGCAATTTATATTTTATTCGTCCACTAGAGGGCGACTCAAGTACGAGTAAACACGCACTACCCGCAAATTGTAGTGGGGGTAAATCTACTGCAGGCGCAGCGGGAATGCCCGGTCATACACCGTGCTACCGTCCGTTACCTGCGTATACCTACAAATTATAAACAATTATAACCAGCAGAATAAAAAATAATAATAGCACAAACGTCAATTAACCACAACATTCATTTTGAGACATGGCTGCTTAATTGGTGCTAATAGAGTGGATAAATTTCTGTATACACTTGGAAATAATTACTGCCTCCACACACATGGTAAACGCGCATTGAAATCTCAACGATGTGTAACGCCGTAAACAAATTAGGAAATCGTCCGAAATTCGAGTGGAAACGGAAACACCTTCAGAAATTCCACGGGTTTATTCAATCGTCAGTTTCGTCATGCGTTGATCCAATTTATTTCGAGCTATTTTTCCATGAATTGTTGTACGAATACGGTCAAGTGTACAACGCTTGGACTTACAAGTATGAATATAATTAGCTTGCTCGGCTTTGCAAACTTTGATGAATGGCACTCGCTGACGCAGCAGATCGCGTCGAAGAAATGCACATTTCAATGTCATTAACTTCGATTCCAATGACTGCAAAAGTGCAATTTCGTTTTGTTATGACACAAAAATTTACGAACGAGAAGTAAAAGCCGCTGAAAATTTATTGCTTTTCCTCATGGCTTTATTATACGGACGAAAATGACTTTCCTTTTCATTTAGATGTAAATTATGTTAAGTGCTGCGTTAATATTTGCGATCTATTTTTATACAAAATTTTGCAATCAAACAATTAACTAAAATCTACATTAATTAAACCAATCGTAAATTCATAGCCAAACAAAATACTTTCAAATATAAAACAAATGTTTGCAGTCACCAAGACTTTCAATTAACAAATCTGACCGCCAATTGACGAATTTCAAACATAATCCATAATTTACGTAACACGTCCGAGCGTCAAACGCCAATCTCGAAAAAATGTGCACAACAAACGTTATACAATATCACCGTATTTCTAATTTAATCAGAGCTTAAGTAAACTGAGTGATAGTTTTAACTTAAGCCTGATTTTGAGGCATATGCCATGCATGCTTTGAGATCACCGCTCGCAGCTCTCGGTGCTGCTGGTAATCACGCGCGTTATGCTTACGTATTTCATGCGTTACAAAGTGTTTTTGTGTGCTACTGGTTTCACTATAATGCGTAGTATTGCTCAGGTATGGGAATCGACACTTTTTCCACGCATGCCGAAACTCACAGATATTCTTATTGTAAAACAATACTAATAATTTGAATAATAGACATTCACACTTCTCTCCGAGATGAAATTAATTCAATTCCTTTAGAATCACATCCTATAAGGAAGAAGGAATGCACGCCGATGAAAAATCCAACGCGCGGCTTTCACTCGAAAGCCTATTCCCGATTTAAACGGTTGAAATCGTCGAACTTTACCCATTTATGCACCGCATAAATTACCTGCGTGCGCAAGAGGAAATTAATTTGTTATGCAAAACGCTTGTCCGATTCGCGCCGGTGTCGCGACTCGCGACTCGGATGTAAACATGCACTTCCAGTGCATATTTTTCACAACTTTCTAAGGACTAAATCAATTGGTTTAGATTTGGGTGTATGGGCGTACACGAGGACAATGCAATGCATGATTAAGTTTAATTCACATTCCTGGCGTGTTGCCACAACAAGCATTTATGAAATGCGCACACAAGACACGCGCGCAACCGATACTTATATTGGATTGTGTAATATGTGAGCGTAAAGCGATATTTTTCGGTGTTAAAGTGTTATCAATTATTGTAGAGTGTATCTGTGTGTTGCCGTTGACAGGAGAAGAAGTTGTTAAGGTCTTAAGCAAGCGACGTAAAGAACAAATCGGCGGGGCAGCAGCACAAGAACGGCACACAGCGCGAAAGAAACGCTTCGGCCGGCCGCCCGAGCGCGTAAAACGTGAAAGTGTTCGTCGGGCCGTAAGCTAGGCAATAACTGAGGAACGGGTGCACGTTTTTACTCAGTTTTCATAATGCCGTCGCCGGGCGCACACACTCAGGGAATAGTCTTAGTCGGCTGCCTCCTGCTGATGGCGGAGGCGCGCGCGTATAATGTGAGCATCAAGCTGTACAACAAAACGCCCAATTCGCATCATCTCGTCCAGCAGACCTTCTATGAACTAGCAGCTGAAGAACCAGCGGATGATTATCAACAACCCCCGGCGAGGGAGTCGCCGTTTTTCCGGCAGCGGCAGCGATTACAACAGACGCATCGCGATGGTGGCAGTGCCGTTCAACAAACACGCTTTCAAAGTTATGATAACACGCATAAAACGCCGCGACCCGAAGAGGATACACCGTTTGATTATTATGAAGTGCATCGGGATGCTGGACGCGTTGTGAGCAACGTCGTGCAGAACATCGAGGATTATCCTGGCGCGCAGCAAGGATATAAAACCACGGATGGACTTAGTGCGCATGCGTCCCTCAGAGGTTTCAAAGTGTTTTTTTACTGAATTTATGTGATTGTATTATCTGCGCTTAAGGATTGAATGTGTTTCCGTTCTGTTTGACTTGCGTTTAAGTCTTATTCGCGTTAATCATTATTCGCGGCGCGTTTTTTTTGCATTATGTCTTACTTTCCGGCTTTCCCTTGCCGCGCGATGCATTCCTCACATTACAAATTAAAACTACAAATTACAAATTATAAAATCACATTATTATATAAACAAATTTTTTAAAGATCAACATGATTAATGTTTTTTAAAATTTATTTCTTATCAGATAACCCACGTTGGATGTGCCTTGCGCTTGGAATCTGCGGTTACCTGGGCTTGGCCGAAGGTCAAAACCCCAAACCGCCCCTAATCACACTCTTCGAATGGCGACAATTGGAGTTTGACTATGAAAGCGAGCGCGCGCGTCAAAGCGACATCAATTCCGGATTCTACCAGCCGAATATCGCCGCGCCGATCGACGCTGACGTCTACTACCGAGGTGAGTCCATCTGGATTTATGTAAGAAGTAAACCTACGACTTTTTAATTCTGATCTAGATTCAGAGACACGCGGTAATTAAGCGCCGGGCAAAGAAATTGACTAAAATCAGCGATGATATAACTTACAACTAATAATCAGCAGGGAGCACACGCGTATATTATACATAATGATATATAGACATAGATAAATCGAGTAGGTGACTGCCGAAATAATGTTTCTAACTCAGTGCGGACAAGGCTTAATTATGTAAACAGTGATTTCGTACGTTTTGCATCATAGCAATGTTTGGACACGTCGAATTTAAGCAATATTCATTTTTTTTATTAAATTTATAGATACTCCGAAAGATAACAAGGTCTTCGTAACGATCCCTCGCTTCCAGATTGGAAGCCCAGCGACGTTAGCGACAATCAGCAATCGGATGAATAAAGGAAATCCGGTTCTGCGGCCGTATCCCGATTGGAGCTGGCATCGCAATCCGGAACAATGCCGCACCAATCGACTTGTATCCGTATACAGAATAAAGGTACAAAGAATAAACCATTATAATTAATATAAAACACGATTTAAACACTTTAAATATAATGCACGCAAATTTATCTCGCAAATTTAATGAACTTGTTTACTATTGTATCGAATACGATCATGCATGTTGTCAAAATATGATTAATCACTTCAGGGTACTCGTAAACGTGGTAATTATTTTGATTCGGTCTAGACACGAGTTAAATGCACAAGACCGTAACAAACTCGTTTTATTTCGGATTTGTTTTACAGATCGACGAATGTGGGAAGCTATGGGTGCTTGACACTGGCCGTTATGGTGACCAGCAAACATGTCCGCCACAGATTATCGCATTCGATTTGAAAACAGTGAGTAAATTTTATTTTTTAGTTTAAAACAAATTTTATCTTAAAAAACACTTTTAGAACACCGTTGCGCATCGGTTTGAAATCCCGGACTCGCTCTTAGAATCTCGTTCAATTCTGGTGACGATTCTGGTTGATAACAGAGATAAATACTGTTCGAATCCAATTGTGTACGTTGCTGATTGTCAGACTTATTCTATTATTGTGCATGATGCAAAGAGGGGCATTGCTTGGAAAGCAACTGATAAGACTATGTATCCGTTCCCTGATTACGGCACGTTTAACATTCAAGGTATGCTTTAAAATTATTCTTTAAAAATTTAAAAAAAAAAAATTTGAATAAAATTTTGTGATTCAGGTGACCAGTTTGATTTGATGGATGGCGTGTTAGGCATGGCGCTAGAACCCTACATCCCCGGCCGTGACCGTAAATTATACTACCACGCCATGTCCAGTGGGACAGAAAACTGGGTCCACACCTCCCACCTGCGAAACGAGACGCTTTTCCGTGATGATCCCACCGCGCTACCACATATCTTCAATGTGCGTTGAATTTGTAACAGAATTTCTGCACTTTCGCAATCGCACGCGTTGCAAATCTTTTAATTGCGTGTTTTACGACTACCGCATATGATTCCACTTAATTAATTCTTATTGATTGCGTCAACATGTTCACTTTTGCTTTTATTTCGTAGACGTACCGAACGAAGCGCCCGTCCCAGAGTTGCGCAATGGCCGTGGATCGCGACGGCATTGCATACTTCGGCCTGATGAGTGAAACCTCCGTCAATTGTTGGCATACCGGCAATTCTGACTACGGTAAAAGTATCGAGACGGTCTATCGGAACCCCGTGACAATGCAGTTTCCCAGTGGGGTGAAGATCATTGATAACTTGAAAGGACAACAGGAGTTATGGGTACTCACATCGCGTTTTCAAAAAGTAGCGACGAATACCATCAACACCAAAGAGGTTAATTTCAGGATCAATGCTGGGAGGGTGACGGATCTGTTACAACGCACACGATGCAAACAAGGTGGTGGTCATGGTGGTCATGGTGGTCATGGTGGTCATGGAGGTTTCTTTGGTAATACAGGCGGATATGGCCTGCAATCAACACCGAGTCATTTTAACTAAGTGAATATAGTCCATGTGTATTTGTATAATTAAGTCATATTGTCTAGAATTAAGGAATATTACTGGTCCTACATCTATGAGCTATAGAACATGAGAGACGAACCATTCTGAAACAGGCGAGACAACTAGATTCAGCGTTCGTTTTTATTAAAATGCCATGAACACTTTGTGATCTATACATAATGAAGCGTTGAGGTAATGATTATTATTAGTGTACTATAAGAGCATAGCATCGAGTTGATCATGAGGTATTAAACTAATTGTAATTATCCACAACATGTTAGCAGGCAGGCATACAAACTACAATAATAACAGAGCTGTACTTTTATTTATAACCTTTTGTTTTATTTTCATCGCAGTCTCAGTGACCGATTGTGATACGTGTAGTTACAAACTTTTATTGAGCAATTTACGATTAATTAAAAAAAAAATGATGTTTCGAATTAATAATCAAATAAAAAAAATGCTTTTTTACTTTGTCTTCTTTTAAACACGAAAAAATCTGTAAAAATCAACTAAAAATCGTAAAAAATGAAAATTTAATCTAAAGTTACTGAACCTTATTTAATTTAACGTAACCAAACCTAACAAATGAAACAAAATGAAATTTATATTTCCAATTTATAAACAATTTAAAAAAAATTAACTTTTTACTTGTTCTTCCTTTAAATACGAAAAAATCAGTAAAAATCAACTAAAAATCGTAAAAACAGAAAATTTAACCTAAAGTTACTTAGCCTTTTCTAAACTCACCTAAAATAACCTAACCAAACTTATGGAATGAAAAAAAATGAAATTTATGTTTCTAATTGATAAATAAACTCCAAAAATTCCCCTTTTTACTTGTTCTACTTTTAAACACGAATAAATCAGCAATAATCAACTGAAAATCGTAAAAAATAGAAAACCCGTTGTCATGTTATAAAACAATGGCATTTAAATATTTGTTCAGCTATTTAAACAACACCGGTCTTAATTATAAAAATGTTTCTGTTCAGGAACGATGTAAAAATAATGAACATTGTTTTATCATTCGTGGAAAACCACATTTTCATATCATTCATACGGTATTTTAAAATGTATTTATGATTTCATAAATTGTAACCAATATTCTACAAGCCTTGTAAAAAAAATTTACTTTGTTGTTGACAAAACAAATTATTTAACCCTGCCCACATTAATTAAAGAATTAATATAAACATTTTACGCGGTTTTTGACTTATCTTATAATATCCTTGGCTTATCAGTTTTTATTACCACACATAATAAAATAACACGTTTGTCAAAATTTACTTGTTGCCCGCTAGTGAATACCGATAACACGAAATATTTTCAGACATAAATTATGCATATAAAATTATTCCGAACAGCCGACGTCAGGTGAGCATGCCTTCCACGAATTTGCACCTGTAAATATAATAATCATTTGTTTGAATTTCATAAAAAAACTGGGCTTCGTCTTACTACATAAGTCGCACGTCGCAAATATGCATAATAATGCCTGAAAATAATAACATTAACAACGAGGAGATGCAAATCGTACATTTTTAACATATTCCTATTATTACAGCGATAAGATAAGTATTTAAAACGGAGCCGACCCTTGCGCGTGCTCACTGTTAACAACAATACGGTATAATGCGCACGTGTGAGTAATTTCTTGCTTATTTTAATTACATTTCAAGGATCCGTATCAACACCAACTGCGTACTTTTTAGGTTTTTTATTAATCGCCGCAGTTGCATGGTGGGTACCATCAGAAGCATACTGGGACGATATTAGTACAGTGATTCAATGGAGGAGGCTTCAATTTGCATATCGTACAGAGACTGAAAGACAAAATGATATCAATTCGGGAGCTTATGATCCGGATACACCAGCACCAATTGATGTTGATGTTTACTATCCGAGGAATGGCCAGCGGATGATTTTTGTTTCCATTCCAAAATTTAGTACTACAGGTGTACCTGTTACTTTTGGTACGGTTAGTAATCAGATGTATCAAGGTGATCCCTTGATTGAACCTTTTCCTTCCTGGGAGTGGAATAAACACAATGGGTGCTCCGCTAGGAGACTGGTGTCTGTTTTTCGTGTGAAGGTATGTCTCATCTGTGGAGTTTTCTTGGTATTCCTTAAATTTATTCCAAAATTTTGGTAGATTGATCGTTGTGGGCTTTTATGGATCTTGGATTCTGGTTATACTGGACAAGGGATAATCTGCAGGCCACAGTTGCTTGTCTTTGACCTAAAACAAGTGAGTATTATTGAAGGTATTCCCCTGAAACAAGTTTTTAATCATTTGATGATTTCAGTGGCCTTTTAATAAAGAGCCTTATTATCGCTACGAGTTCCCCAATGCTGTTTTCGACCGCAATAATTCCATCTTTGTCACACCTGCAATTGAATCACGAGGTCCCGATTGTAAAACCGGTGCGTTCGCGTATGTAGCTGATGCATCAGCCAGGGCAATTGTTGTCACAGATCTGAACCGTGAATACTCCTGGCGTATCAAGGATGTCAGCATGCGACCTGAGACCCAGTTTAGTACCTTTAACATAGCTGGGGAATCTTTCTTCCTGGATGATGGTGTTCTGGGTATAGACCTATCACCTGAAAAAGGTCCTTATGACAATAATCGTAATCTATACTATTCGGCTCTCTCTGGGTCCAAGGCAGCTAGTATCAGTACTAGTGCTTTGAAAAATGCTCTGAATCAACCTCCAAGGATTTATGTAAGTCTTCCAGGTACACCAGGAGATAAATTTTTAATTTTATTATTTTATAGAGGTATCCTAGCCCCAGGACTTCCCAAAGTGCTGCAATGGCCATCAGTAGAACTGGTGTGGCCTTCTTTGGTCTAATGTCTGAGATTACCATCAATTGCTGGAACATCAACTCTGATGACTACGGTAGATATATTCATACAGTCTATTCAAACCCCACTACGATGCAGTTTCCAAGTGGCATGAAGGTAAATTAAACATTTCCTATGCTTATAAACACTTTATAACAATTTGGGGACATATTTAGGTTGTGGTAAACCCAGCTGGTGAAGAAGAGCTATGGATAATGACCGCTCGATTCCAAAAACTGATGAATGACGGCTACAATTTCAACGAAGTGAACTTTAGAATCTCGAAAGGCAATGTGAATGATTTACTGGCGAATTCGAGGTGTACCCGGCCCAATTATTGAATAATGCGCGTTGTAAAATCAATAAATTAAAATTTGATTCTAAAATGTTAAAAGTTAAAAGTCCCAGCCTCCATTCGCCTAATGAATTTAAGCTAGATAAATATTCGTTTGGCGAAGTCAGTCTTCCAGTTCGATTCCGACCCATTCGATGGTAACATGGTACCACTGCTAACGCCGTTCGCATACAGCGCTGTGCAGTAGCAACTTTCTTCTTGGCGCGTTCGCATCGCGAGCCTATTATTATTTGATTAAAATAAAATTGAATCAACGTGTTGCTGGTGTCCGCGTTAAATTTTTTCTTCGTTTTTTTATGTGAATAAAAAGTGCAAGTGTGCGTTTGTGCATTTCGTGCGTCTGAATTTAACGGAATCGTTCAATTTCCAACCTGAAGAAGTCGATGAAAAACCCGATTGTTCACCACCGTACGTAAACAAATAGGAATCAGCGCGCTGTCCACGGCTACGGTAAATCAAAACAATCTTACTTTGTGATTTGTTCGTTTATGACCGTGTTAGAGCAATGATCCGCGACCAACGAGCGATGAGAGCATGCGAAAGAAATGCGAAATTGATGGAATGGTGGAAATCCACTCAAAGGAAGAAAGAGAACACCAACCGCAAACGATTTTAATGCTTGGCGATGTTTAATCGTTTGCATCCATCGCAGCCTCTCAATGTTCTCAAGCCCGAACGCTTATGCACGGCTTCAAAGAAAAATAACAAACGGAATCGGTTTTCTATGATATATTCCGCGAACTTTCAATTATCTTTACGTAATACGCATCATACACACACAACACAAAACCTAATTAAATAAACTCATTGCTTTTCATGCATGCTGAATGAATCCTAATTTGAAATTTTATTGCTTTCTGCGCGCGCTCGCAGCATTTACATAAAACAATGAAAACGTCAAATTTCTTGAAAGCATGCTTAATTACGAAAATACATAAAATTCGACTCCACATCATCCACGTCGCGATTGAATAGCAATACGCCTCTTTTTGAATGTGCAACTTTCATATGAATTTGTAAATAATTACCGCACGAGAAGGAAAGGCACCGAATCAATACGTTTTTTTTTTGATTTGTGAAACCTTAATTTATTGTCTCACGTTATTGGGTGTAACAGTTGAACATAAACTGGTCTTATGCACGTTCACGATTTGGCATTCAAGCAACATCTTACGCAAGGTTCTTGATTGAAAGAATTTTGTCACAATGTTCTAATTTTTTAAAAAGTTAAAATGTTAAAATCTGCATGTATTACGAAATTACGCATTTGAATATTGATATCTCGTCCTTCGCTTCCTGATTTCCTGATTTCCACGCTCAGCTTCCTCGATATGCACTTGTAGAACCATATTTCCGACATGCATATCTACCGCGAGCGATCACGCCGCTAAATCCTTTCCTTTTCGCTTCGATTTGTTTGTTTTCATTTGCATAAAATGTGTTCCTGCCGCTGCACACACGGCATTCGGCGTGTTAATTAAACCGAAATGAACTTCACGATATGATATGATGCTCAATTATTGTAATCAACCAGTGCGCAAACAAAATAGAAACCGAGAATGACAACGCGACGGAAAGGAACTAATTAATCAAGCTCCACATTCTCGCTTCGTGTGATTGTTCACTGAGTAATTATTACACATCGGCAAGTAAGCTGTAAGTCAGTCGTGCAGTGCAAAATCAAAAATTGCAGGAAAATTCTATCGCGCACACGAACACATGACAGCTGCAGGTTTAGAAAGTAGCACACCAGATTGATATGAAATAAAATTATCGGATTAGTTTGCCCAATGATTTTTTATTCACGTTTTCTTTACTAGAGATTAAACAATTAACTTTTTAATAAATTCTGTTATTAAATCTAATAAAATATTGATGAGTAATCACAAAACATCTGCAAAATAAAGCAAACAATCATTCCACACTTACTAATTTTTTTATTTGAAAGAATTGGAAGGTTAATTAACAAAACAGACGAAAATTTATACAGCAGGTGAATGATTAGGCGTTTAATGATAATAATTTCTATTCAACAATTTTCGTACGTGTCTAATCGCAACAACTTTTACTTTACTTTACTTTACGCGTACATGTGTTACTCTTTTACTGTTTTACCGCGTATGCTTCGCTTGCAATTCATGTGCGGCTAATGAAAGGTAAACATAATAACGAGTTGACTGGCTGGAACTTTAACACGTACTTAAATTACGCTTAATAAAGTGCAAATTTTGCTCCAGTAACCGCACATTCAAACGGTTTTTCATTTTTTTACAGAATTCCAGGATAAATATGACCAACTAGCCGGTCACCGATAAGATAAGATAATAATCGTGTTGCAATACAAATAAAAAAATGGCATTAACATCATCGACGTGGTTCAATAATTGGTCCCCGCCTAGTCAAGTCTTCCATCAGGTGACGCAGCAGCATCACGACTTTCAGCAGCAATTTGCCTCGCCAATTGTTCCATTTCAAGGCCATAATCACTATCAGTCTTATGCATATCATCATCATCACAATGGCTATCATCCTGGGCAATCGCAGGAGGAGGATGATGATGCTTCAAGCGAGCATGAAGGTTTCACACGCAAGAAACCCGCCAAAGGTGATATTTTGACACATTACACTAATGTACCAATTTATTCAATTTAGAAACAAAAATCACGAAGGGGAATTATAATTATTAGTCACAGTTGAGTTCGAGGACACATTCTATGTTTCACATCCGAAAATAATAAAAAAAAGAAAATGGTGAAAGTTTTCTGATTTTATAATCCATTATCAATAGTAACGAGCGCGGAAAATTTGTCTATTACGCTTGATTTTTTATTTAGCCACGGATTAAACCTTGCTTGTTCAAACAAACATTGATGTCTAACTATGTGGGACATCTCCGGCAATTATTTTATTGATAAACACTCGTCCAATTATATTTAACAATCTGACTTGCATAACGTAACACTGGTAGTCTTGGAAACTGCTCTTGTGCTCGGAATGGAGATACCACACGCCGACGCCGACGCTGACCTCAATTAGTAAAGAATTATTCTGCATTGCCAATGATAAATTAACTAAAACGTTAATAAATGATCGTGTGCTGGTGTGGATTACCCAACACCAGCGCATATGTACATGCAAATGCTTGTGTGGTGTTGAACCTGCAAGGATATTCGATTTCCTTTTTAAATTTATTTATATAGCTGTGAATTCTGCGTGTTGGAAACGCAGTTGCAGTGCAAGTCAAGAGAAGAGCAGAGGTATTGCTGGTACCCTCAATAGTGTCTTCTTTATTTTGATTTTAGTTGTGGGTAAAACCAACATGATTAAATTCCTACCCTATTTTGTCACGTTGGGAATGTTGAATGGGCAGGACCTGGCAAGTGTCCCACCATCAGTTGGTGAGGCAGTGAATGTTATTCAAGGTACCACTGGGCCTTTCAAGACGGTCTACGCATGGAAACAGATGGATTTTCAATATCCCACTGCAGCTGCGAAGAGCGCAGCCGTTGCAAGTGGTGACTTCATTCAGGAGAACAACCTACCTTTAGGCATGGAAGTGCATAAAGATCGAATGTTTCTAAGTTTTCCAAAGTGGAAGAATGGTGTGCCGGCATCGTTGGCTGTCGTGCCTAAAACACGCAAAGGAAACAACATCTCTCCGGTGATGGTACCCTATCCCAGTTGGGATTGGCATAACACTAGTAGGTACCATCAGTAAATCAACTGTAAATTTATTTAATTTTATGGTTTTTAGACTCATGTGATGGCTTAACTTCCGTTTATCGCATGCAAGCGGATGAATGCAACCGTCTCTGGGTGATGGACTCTGGTCAAGTTGAGGTCACCATCAAACCGAAGCAGGTGTGCCCCCCAACTCTGTTCATCTTTGATTTGAACACCGATGAACTAGTGTTACGCTATCCAATCCCCCAGGAGTTCATCAAACAAGATTCCCTTTATTCTAATATCCGTGTTGATGTCCGTAATGGAAAATGTGAAGACGCGTATGCCTATATGACAGACGTCTGGCGTTTTGGTCTAGTTGTCTTCAGTTTAGCAAAAGAACGTAGTTGGCGTGTGACTGACCATCTATTCTACCCAGACCCACTTGCATCTGCTTACAACCTCCAAGGACTGGACTTTGAATGGACTGATGGTATCTTCGGCATGGCTCTGAGTCCTTTGAACAAAAAGACAAACGATCGCATCATGTACTTCCACCCAATGAGTAGTTTCCGAGAGTTCTACGTGCATACCTCTGTCATCCGGAATGAAACCGACTGGAGTACCATCAAAGACGCTTTCAAAGTCATGGGACAATCTCGGGGAAAGCGTGGACATGCGAGTGCTTCAGCAATGGACCGTCAGGGTATTCTGTTCTTCAATCAGGTAACAAGGAACTCGGTGGGATGTTGGGATAGTCGTAAACCATACAAGAGATTGAACCTAGGTGTGGTTGCTCAGAGCAATGACACATTACTCTTCCCCAACGATTTGAAGATTGACAATGAGAAACGTCAAAGTCTATGGATACTGTCAAATAAATTGCCTATCTACCTGTACAGCTCTCTGAACAAAGACGAGTACAATTTCCGTATTCTCACCACCTATACCGATCAAGCAGTTCAGGGTACCATCTGTGATCCTAGCTTGGTGTACGAAAACAGCTACGAACACTTCGCCGGTGAAGAAGATTGCTATTAACTTATAGGATACATCCACAGTACCGAATTTCAACTCTGCTCAACTAAACTAAGATTGATGGTATTCCTCTCCACTTAAATTATACCTACCACTACGCAATAAGACAACACATGTAGACTTGCAAATTTATCTCACATGTTCAATGTAAATTTGATAATAAATTATTCGAGCACGATGCGTGTAAATAAAGAAACTACCGTGCAAATTTTGTGTGTGAGAATCTCACCTTCTATATGAGAACGGGCAAGATACAAAAGTAAAGAGATCGGTGTGGAAAATGTGCGGGAAATATTTGGGATCCAGTTACTTCTTTGCTTCTTTCTCCTTTTTTTTCGCCAAATTTTCATAGAATGCCTGAGTATAGCCGTCGTCTTTATAGGTACGGGGGTAAGCCGGTTGAATTCTTCTCTTACTCGGATTTGGTGAACCAGAACGTCTACGTTGGGTACCAGGAGTCTCCTTCTTTTCTGGACTCAAAGGAGTTGAGTCCTTGCTGGTTTCATGTGGTTCTATAAAACATAAAGGATAAAAATACCTGGTATATCTGGTAAAATGTTCCGGGTACCTTCTTGGCCTATTTTGATAAAATTTTCGTTTTCGAAAGGATATTGAATTGTGCTCATTATTTGATCAAAGTATGGGGAACTGACTTGAACAGCAATTTCCTTCTTTTCCGGTCGCGTCCATGGTTTAGGGGGAGGTTTCTTTGATTTGGGTTTGGGAGATGCAGGAGTCGCCTTGGGTTTTTCAACGGATGGCCACCAGGGAGCTTCTTCAGTGATAGTAATTTCGTAATTCTCCAATTTGCTCAGGTCCTCTTGAAAAGGGTCATCTTTACCAGTGATCATATTCAATACTAGAGCGATGTTTGGATCGTTCAGTAAATCACTGACTGTTTTGTAATCTGAATTAATCATATTATTTTTGATAGGTTCGGTGGTGGCTTCCTTTGTTGGCGTGACTTGAGTCTGGGTGTGATGCATGTTACTTGGAGGTGCTCTAAATCTAGTCTCATGGCTATCCAGGTCGCTGATTTTTTGAACTTCTTCATACTCGTCATATTCCTCCGATCCTAGATCACTGTATTCTCGGTCTCGGTCTGGAACCACCTCTAACACACCATTATTTACTTTGAAGGTACGTCCACTGACAGCCGCATCTTTCGTGGAAGTTGTGGTGATAGTTGTATGGTACCAAGCTGGACTTGGTGTTCTTCTTGATAACACTGGTATTGTTGGTACTGTTGGCACTGTTGGTATTATTGATACTGTTGGTACTGTTGATGTTGTTGGTTCGTTCGGATCAAGTATATGAGGAGTGTTGGTTGTGGTTTGTAATGGTATGGTGGTGGTCGTGGTAGGCACAGGCTCTTGTTCTTGTCTCTCGCAGGTCTGAGCTTCACGCGCGCTGGAATTTTGATTAATATTAATGAATTTACTCTGGTCTGATCAATTTTCTTCATACTTGCGTTCGCTGAGCATCAGTGCCCGCCTATGCGCTTTCAATTCATAAGGGTCTATGTACTTCTGAATTAATACAAACCTTTTCAACTCCCTGTAAAACCTGCAATAATCAATGTGTTAATACACATTGAATATAATTGAAGGTATGGTCATTGCTTACGTGAAGACCAAATAAAACATGTAAAGTGGGGGTATGTAATGCGTGATTGTAGACAACAGGAACTCCCAGCATGAGGGTTTCATCCATCTGTACTTCATACATATAAAAACTCCAGTGAGGAATGATATTATGTTGGTCAGAAGACACTTAACCACATTCAGTACCATCCATGGAAGTATCAAACCAGGTCTGTCTTCCTGTAACAAACCCATTAATTTTCTATATCTCAGATTCTACGTCTTCTATTCGATTGTATACTTACAAAAATCAACGGGTACAGCATCATGATATAAGAACCCAGGTACAAATGGATGGTAAACGTGCGTACCATAATGATGGTGACCATGATATACTTCATGCTCTCCTCAGTCCCCTCGGAGAACCTGGCAGGGTCCATCCGCAGGTTCCATACCTTGTTCAGGTTCGAATTGAATTCGAGCAGGGAAGCATCAAGAATGGTGTACACAATGCCGAAAAACGAGAGAATCAGCAGTTCCGTCTGCAGCGAGATGCCAAAAACGTAACCCAGGCGAATCATAGTACAATTAGGAAGTGGATGGTAAACGAAATCAAGTTGAGAATTTGGAATTTGATGATATTCACACACCGCACACTCACACGTGTATGATGCTATCACTCGATAGGAATGGATATCACTTTTCCACAGGACACATTGATATATTTATTAATTGTTTCGTTTATTTCTATGGTAGTAGAGACAAAAGTTTTAATCAAGGCAGGATATGTTACCATGGAGATGGTAAACAACCAGAATACTAGCAGATTCTAAGACCCTCTTGGAACCTCTAGTTCCCTAGTTCTCTAAGTTTGCTTTTTGCCTTGGTTGCGCATCAGGGGACTTAAATTATCCCTTGGAAAGAGAAAATTGCATATTGTTACCCCCACCACTTTCTGCGGGTTAAGCATAGATAGAAGCACATCCCACAGTCCATTTGCAGCTCCCCTTGCACCTGAATATGTTTGTCTCTATTTATGAGACATACGGTGTATGCAATGACATCTCGTGTTGTATTTTTCAATAGAATCGGTAAACAAACTGCTTGCACAGATAAAGATTTTTTCGTTTGTTTACAAACTTGGTAAAACAACATTATTGCAAATAGGTAAATCGCGAATAAAATCGAGGTCGGCCGATATTTTATCTAGTCGTGTTCGCAATAACGCAATGTGCGATCATATCGGCACGCTGGTAACCATAGCGTAAACTCTGCGAAATGCTCTCGGCGAGTTCTCCTTCTGCTGCTGGTGCGGCTGGTGTGTCGCGTCACACGCGCGCTCCGTTCGTGCGCGCGTTTCGATTCCTCGCCAAATCGTTCGCGTCCACCAGCCGCAGTAAACTACTTCGCGCGCGCTCCGCCGCACCGATTTGCACGCACCAATTCTGCGAGGCGGCTTTTCGAAATAAGGATATCATTTGATACAGCGCGGTGCGTTTGAGTGAATTGCGTCAAACTTTTTACCAGTGCACCAAATCAATTCCGAAGCAAAACACTTCAAAAGTAAGTATTGTCAGTCGATAAAAAATACAAAATACACAACGACAACTTATTTTATGCGATAAATTATCCTTGAAACTAATACTACACCTGGCTAAAATTAGATATGATCTCATCGGCGGGTTTTTTTTGTTCGTTTAGTGTAAACACAAATTGCAAACGCGTTTCCTTCTGTCGTTGGCCAATATAATTAAAAACGCAAATATGCTTCATTCGCGAAATGCGCAAAACTCGACATACATTCGACTACCACACACGCGTCTACACTAACAATTTAGACTAGTGTGGTCACGACAGGATCGACATGTTTGCAATAAAATATATAAACTATTACGCAAGCTGAACTTGTTGTTTGTTGGATTCACGTCACGCCGCGACAACTACGTTTCAACCAAATATAGAAAAACAAAATAAACAATTTAAACAAGAAAATTTCACAGAAAATTAATTAAACGAAGAGCATTTACTTGGAAATGTCAAACGTTAATTCAATTCGATTTTCCTGGTAATCACGCGAAGACGAGAAAAGAAAAAAGCGCAAATCAGATCAAGGTTGCGCCATTTTACTCTTAGGTGTTGACGTATCATTGTGTTTTATACGTTGGCCAGCTATTAAATTACGTCCTATTAAAAGATCTACCTGAACTTTACCGTCCGGCGTCGTTAAATCACGCAAAAATACAAAATAAAAGGTAAAAAAAATCTTGGCGGTGATTCAATTAAATATTACGTAATTTCTAATAATGATGAGACATCAGATATTACGAATATTAAAATATAAATGTAAGGATTTTTCTGAAAATCATAAGCGCGAAGGCGAGCGGATATTCTATATAAATAAATTGTGTGCTCGTGGTGCCCGCCTCGGCGGCGCGTTTATTTGATGAAAATTCAGGTTAAAGTCGTTAATCTTAATTATGGCAGTGCGGAAATTGCTGTCCATCGGCGATCGCGTAATCCGCGATGTATTAACTTATCGACACTGCGCCTGCAACGCCAGGCGCCAGATGTTCGGAAGCCGCACGACGAAATTGTTTATTTCGAGCGCACACTCGCAGCCACAGTCCGTAATTGCAGCGTGACCGATTAGAGGCGAATTAATTGCTTAATCTTTGCTCCGGTCGAGCGAAGATGCCGGCGTGATTGGCGTCGTTAACAAGTTAATCATGCAGTCGAAATGAGTGTCGGCAGACATTCGAAATTTGTTTATAGCGTTTATAGCGGTCAAACCTTGAGCGCTATTTTAAATGTCTCGCACGGCGCGCCAAAACAGAAAACCGAGAGTTGCGATCTGGACGCGAATTTTGAACATTTTGTGTCATCACGTGTGCCGCTTGCACCACATCACATCATGACGTTTGTTGAGATGTGTGCAACTTGTGGCGAAGACATGATGCGAGCTTTTTGTCGGCGTGCGATCGATGAAAGCGTCGAAGCAAGACGCGTAGCCGTGAAGCGGGCGTCACGTCGCCTCGACGACTAAAAGAGATATTTGGGTCAAGTTCTTCCGACATTGACATATAAAACATGCAATGCTCTTTATGGCATGTGACATTGCTAATATTCGAGTTGGAGTGTTTGTAAACACTCCACATCGAAACAAAAAAAAACTTCAATGTGGAAAAATCACTGATTAAGCTGAAAGCGCGATGGAAGTTAAAGGAAGTTACCTTGTTCATTTCACGGCTGCGTTAAAGATCAGGTATACGATTTACCTACGCAAATCGCGCGTTTTTGTTGCGTCGGCAATGGCGGAAACGCTGACGCAGCGGCGGGGCTCACCTTCTTCGCTTCGCGCTGGATTTGTTGAATTCGCGCTGGTCGCGCAGCAGCAAAACGAAAATAATGCGAAACGAATTCGTGCGATCATCGCGCTGACGTAATTGTATCGTGCACAAATATGGGTGGGTGCGCTTGCACGTGGTACACAACACAAGTCTGCTGGGTTCTAGGTCATCATCGGCAATAAACTGAATTCATCGAATCATCCATTCCACTGCGACCAAACTCAATCTAAAGTCAATAGTCATGCATGAAAGTCGAAAAAAAAAACTTCCTGCACGTTTAATTAGCCGCTTGATATGCCGTTTTATATGATCGAAAACGATTTCCGAACGACTTGTTGTTGAACGTGCGCGGCGATTATTTTGCACCACACGAAATTGGACTTGCTGGTTTTAGAACCGGCGCGAAACCTGGACGCCTGCCAACGCATTGGCAAAATTGTGGGGCGTTGATTCATCGAACGCAAAAATTGCACCGACGCGCGGTTATAATTAGCCAGATAAATCGTTTCGTAATTGTGCTAAATACGCCATGGAATTTCAGCGCGCATTGCAAAGCCTGACATTAACATATCCACTGTTATACTTTCAGAACACCAGAATCAGAAAAAATGCCGGTGTTAAAAACGTTTTGCTGTTGTTCTTCACTGCGCACGGGCAGTATTGTCGCTGGAATAGCCGCGATCATACTCGCGATTATTGGTATCATCATCATCGCGACAGTTAACGTCGATCTACGCACAATCATCATCGACGAATTACCAAAATGGATCGTAAAGATCATTGTGTTGATCAATTTTGCGATGACGATCTTAATATCAATACTGTTGTTAATCGGCATATTAAACGTAAGTTTCATCATCATCATTTTATTCATAAAATGAATAAAATTTCAAATTTTAGCGAAATATGTGGCTCTTGTTACCATTTGTCGTGTGTGGTCTTATGCTGGCCATAGGTCTCTTGGTATCAGTTCTGTACACCTCGATAAACTTCTTTATTGATGGTTTTGTTATTCACGGCTGCATATTTTTGATTCTTGGATTGATCACGTTCGGTAAGAATAAAAAACAACGCACCACAATTTTCTCCGATTTTTAAAATGATGTTTTTTGTAGTGATTTACGTCTACATGTGGCTAGTTACCTACAGTTTCTTCCAAATCGTGAAAGAAGAATACGACACACGCGCCGCGTACAAAAAAGCCCCCTACAGAAGGCAATATTAAAACTTCTATCGAAGATAAACAAAGTCTGATTTAATCTTATTACCAAAAAATAATTGTAATCAACTGCGACTAACATCCAGTAATGTATCGATTATTTTCTATCGATTTAACGTAATTTATTGCAAAGTTGCCATTGATGTGCCATCTACGAGTACTTATAACACGTTTCTGTTGCTCTCTACTGAAGTCATTTCTATCACATTGAATCTTTCAGTTGTTCGATGAGGTTTTACGTACGTGTGTGTTCAGAGCGCATCGAAGTTGTGAATGTGTGCAACTTACTTATTTTTGTAATTGACTAGTATCTATAAACCTACTTGTATTTGTTACTAATGTATCAATGTTGTTAATAAAAACTCACAGACTATGGGATTATTATAAGTAAGTAAACTATGGAATAAAAATTAGACAGATACATTGTATCAAAGATCATTGGGTTCTTCAGGGTCGTAATCGATTGTAGCGTCGGGTATACCATGAATTCTCACGCGGTACAGACAGGTGTATTCGGTGTTGCCGTAGTTTGAATGGATGCGCAGCTCGACCATCTCCACAGGATAAGTTACTTTCTGTATTAAAAAGTATTGACTTGAATCCAGGGTGATGTCATAAATGAAGCGCCCGTAGTATAATTTGGGTCTTGTCCTTTGCATGTCTTCGTTTATGCCCTGGAAGTGGTGGTAGGTTAATAAATGAGTTTCTACTCATGGGATTTGAAGAAATTAAGCAGATTTACAAAAAGACTGAACTCCTTCGGTGTTGATTTCAATTCGTACGACGTAAAGTCCCTGGAGATGTGGTCGATGGTAATCCCGGTGACTTGGATAGGTACGGAGAGTTGAATGACCACACCACCAACTTGTCCTTTGAACGCCCAGCAATTGCCAGGTAGTAATGTACGCTGTTTGGGTAAACAAACAAATTAAACTTGTTTTTTTCTTTCAGTTTTATAAATAGGTGGGACTTACCTGAAGAATCATCTCAGGACCCTTTTCTTTTGAACAGAGGGTCATGCCTAGGAAGGTCACCTCGTTTGTGTCACGATAATTCTGTGTTTTCAAGGTGGTTACTATCTCGGCTCCTGCTGATTCCAGCGCGTAGTCTACCAACTCTTCCAATTCGTCTATGTCGGTGTTAGATTCATGTTCATGTTCACTTTCAATTATTTGCTCATTTTCAGGTGGACTTTCGTCTCCACAATTGGGAATACCTTCAACTTCTTTTTCAGGTGTCTCGGGTTCTGTTATTGTTGCAATCGCGGTTGTATATTCTTCGGATACAGAAAATGTTTTGGAACTGGGTTCACCTTCACTCTCTCTTTCACCTTCAATGACAGTCTTACCTGAATAAATCAAAGAATATTGTAACTTTGTTCAGGTGTAGACATATTTTTTTGGGGTATACCTTCATTCAGTTGTTTAATACTGCCCAACATATCAGTCATTTTGGTATAGACATCTTCAATATCTTTCTTCGCGGTGTGCAACTGCGCAACTGAAAGTTTCACACCTTCAACCTGATCTTTAACGTAGCTCATATTATAAAAATCTAGTGTCTCACCACCAAGAAACCCATACTTGCGTGTCACGGCTATGAAAACGACTGCAATAGCTACCCGAAAGGTCAACTTAATTAATCTCCTATTCAAAGAGGATCAATTGAAGGTACGTACATAATGCAACAATAGTAATGGTATACTTGCTAATTCCACCTGACTCGTAGTGTGGAGTGTTTACAGGCTGTAGAGACCCATCACCACCCGGGGTACCTGGAGTACCCACAGGTCTACACAGGTAAAATGATGATCGTGCTGATAAATGTTCTGATCGCCGACTGAGTGATCTTTCGGGGGTACCACGAGCATCTGGTTCCGGTGATGTGGATAACACGGAACCAGATCTACTTCCTATCAACGCCAAAGATGACCCAGTCGCACTTGACTCCGCACTGTCGCGAATATCTCGAGTGGATCTTCTTCCTTTGCAACCGATAACAAAGAATCAATGATGACAGTGATGAAAACAGATGGTATTCCTACCAGTTAATCTCCTGGATATCATTCTTCTTTTGAATTCTACCGCTTTCCACTCCTAACAGACATCTCATCCTTGCAATTAAAACATCATTCATCACTGACATTCAATTGACACATTGACAATGACAGAATGATACAACAGATTCGGCCAAAAAAATATTGTATTTATTTCATTGTAAATGTCGAAATCACTTCCCAAAAGTGGACCTGCGCAATTCCTACTTCAAATTGTGCTTCTTCTCGGCTTGTTTCTTGTGTTGTATAGTGGGATCACTCAGTGGACAATGCGTCCTCTTTCCTGGTTTGGTCACGGCGTGTGCTTTGTTAGCACAGGTTTCTTTGTGCAACTTCTCGCACCTGGTGAGGGATTTCTCTCCAATCACATCCCGGGAATAAGTCTTGACCACCTTATCGATGGGAACAGTATTGTAACCATTCTCGATAGCAAGATCCTTCACTTGCTTCGCGTACTCCATGTAGTTCTTATCGTCCTGCTCGTTTTTCTTACGGATGGCACGTGCCTCCGCCTGGGCATCGATTGCCAGACGTTCCGTCTTCAATTTCATTTCGGATCTGAAATCATTCAAGAGCGTTGCTCGCATGTCATCAGCTTTCTTCTTCAGCCTCTGATGGAATTGTTTATCTTCATCCACACGCTTGAACCGGTTGAGGACGTTCCACCTCTCCACTTCTTCACTGCGCTTTCTATCTGCTTCCTTTTTCTCCATGGCTTCATTTTGGATATCAATGCGTTCCTGTCTGAAGCGGATTTCCTTCTCACGCTGCTCCTCCTGGCGTTCTTGATCCCTGAAATGAATAAGGTTTTAGGTAGTTACACTAAATAATTGCCAATGAAGAAATATCTTACTCTTGGTTAAACTTGGCCATTCCCTTGTCATATATCAGTTGCATCTCTGCTTCACGCTTCAGCTGCATGCTATTGTCATAAGTGCTGAGCCCTTTCGCAATTCGCTTCTCCTGTGCTTCCTTTGATTTCTGCTTCAGTAGTATACGAATGCGATCCTTGCTCTTCTCCATAATCTGCGTCATCACCTCACGGTTTCGGTCATCCATCTTGATCTTTGCACGTTCCTGTTCCTGTGTGGTCAGGAAGAACTCCACGGATTCGCGGAGTTGTCTACGGCCTTCTGCTACTCTCTTCAATCGTGCATCTTCGATGCGGCCGGCTTCATGCTTCGCGCGTACCTGATCAGAGAGCTCTTCTTCAATCTTATCCTCACGCTGCTGTTTGATTGCTGTCTTCACAGCTACCACTCTGAAAACAAACAAAAAAGGGAAAATATGTAATCTGAAGATAATAAAACGTGGAATTGATTACTGTTTCATTAGATCCGCAGCGTATGCTTTGTTCTTCTTGAACAACATTTTCTTCTTCTCGGTTTGTTCCTCCTTGAACTTCTCCACGTCCTCCAACATCACTGCAACTTCTTCTTTAATAAGCTTTTCCTTCTGATCCCTGAGTATCTTCGCGAAATCTTTCTGTTTTTCCCGTTCATGTAGAACTTCACTGAAGAGATATGCTGATCCCAACGTTTTGGGAAAGTCCTGCCGTTGAAGCATCTTCTGCCTCACCTCACTGACATACATATCCCTTTCAGCTTCCTGCTCTTTCTTCACAGTCAGAAATTTGACGAGATTCTGGTCGTTCTGCTGATGTAGTCTTGCTTCCAACTCAGCTTGTCTTACTGCATGTTGATGCTGGATGGAATCGGTCCAGTCCTTGGTCATATCCTCCGAGCATTGCCTAACTTTGGCGAGTCTGTCGGCTTCCACCTGCAGTTCGGCCTCCAGGCGTTCATTACGCGTTAAATGCGCTTTGATTGCCCCCATTCTCTCCGAGGTCATGTGTAGTTCTTTGATGCGCTCTGAAACTTTCGTTTCTTGGAGTTTTTTCCCTTCGGGAATTCGCCATTTTGTCATCATGGTGGAAATTATAAAATTGAATTGTTCAGCAACAGAAATGTGTAGAGGTGTGTAAAAAAGTGTATACGGCCGGTAGGGAATGAAATACTTTGTGAGTTGATGGATCAATCAACAAAGTTGAGTTGCCAAGCGCTGAAAATTGTTTCATCAACAAAAACTACGTTGCTAAGAGACGCAGTGGGAATTTGTTTCGGGCGCAGCGTGATTGTAATGTTATCCGTCCTAATTGCATGAATTACATCAAGTAGTCACTGCAATTGACGATAATAACATCTCAAATAGCTGCATAGTGTTTATATTACGATTAGATAAAGCTTGAAGCGTGCATTAGCGCTAATTATACATCAACATTTAAACGCGTTGCATTGGTATTGTCACGTGAGTTTCGAGCACAACACGCAGGCGCCGCTAGAAACTCACGGGGCTAACCTCACAATCGATGTATCAAGTGTCATGTCATCGTAATCAGTCGATAAACATTTGCAGGCACATGCACTGACTTCAGCCGCGATTATTTAATTAAAAGTGGCTCGCCAACGCACGTAAATCATCATGAAAATATGGCTGGTGGTGTTGCACATTGTTCTGGTCGGTTGCTCCGTCTGGGCCACCAATTATCAGGACAATGAGTTCGCCGAATTCGAAGAGTTCGACGCTGACGAGAACTTCGTCGACGCAAGAAGCAACGAGAAAATCGCCACTGATGACGAACCAGGCGACATTTTCATCTCGCCGGACGACGAGGACGACGACGTGGTGATCACCAGCGACGATGATTCAGAATTCGAGCATTTTCAAGACACCGAAGAGTTCGAGGGCTTCAATGAACGCGAGGAGAAGGTGGAAGCAGAGCCAAAAATCACCATTACCAAGGTACCCATCCACTTCCGGGCGAATTGGGACAGCTACTGGCTGGAGATCCTCATGATTGCTGGTTTGGTAGTGTATTTCATCAATTTCATCACTGGTAAATCCAAGAATACAATGCTGGCGAATACATGGTTTCAAAATCACAAACAACTACTCGAGGACAACTTCTCACTGGTAGGTGACGATGGCAACTTGGAACACAGCCGAGAATCCGGCGGTTTAGTCAAAGAATCAGAGAATATCTTCACTCTCTGGTGCAGTGGCCGAACCTGCTGTGAAGGCATGCTGGTTGAGTTAAAATTACTCAAAAGGCAAGACCTGGTTGCTGTGTTAGCTGGCATGATGCGACCTGCACTGGATCAGATCCATATTAAGATCACAATGGACGTTGACGCGATGGACACGTTCGTCTTCTGCGTGGCGAGCAAGAAAACCGCTGTGCATTTATCCAAGGACATGGCCGATATCAGCGTGTATTGTCCAGAGCGTAAGCCAGGCGAGAAGTTTAATATCCCGTCGAGCTTCCTTGTGATGAGCGAGATCGCCGAGGCGACGTCCGCGGTGCTCGACTCGAAAATGGTTGCCATATTAAATAAGTACACCGATTTGGTGGATTACGTCCACATCTCCGATCAGTATTCCGGGCCGAAACAGACCGAGGATACTGGTGCGCTAAAATTACCTGACGTTAAGAGGGTAAATGATTATTCACAATTTATTCCCCAAAAAAATCTCACTTGTATTGTTTTTCGACATCAGTTTTTTATTTAGCAGCACGTATTTGATGTTTCATTTGCAATTTGCAGGTTTTATTGTTTGGTTTTAATGTACCTATCAAAGGAATGCAGCTGGAGCAGGCCATGGACCAGCTGAAACCCCTGATGGTTTTGGTTTTCTACTGCATGGAGAAAATGAAGCGTTATCGTTTATCTAAAGAGGGTACTATACTTTTTCCTGCTGTGTTTCTTGTGTTTATTTCTTGTTTAATTGAATGACAGGTAAAACCAAGGCGGATAAAAACCGTCAACGCGTCGAAGAGGCTTTCCTGAAATCCACACACGCCGCACGCGCTGAAGCAGCCGCCGCCCGTCGTGAAGAAAAACGCCGCCAAGAAAAAGAAAAAGTAATGGCCGAAGACGACCCGGAGCGTCAGCGCCGTTACGAAGAGCGCGAGCAGAAACGTCTCGCTAAGAAACGCGCTCCTAAAATGAAACAATTAAAAGTCAAAGCATTGTAGGCAGCTCTACAATGTTTATCTTTGCGACGCAGTTGTGTTCCCTGCATAAAAGTACCTCATACACTTCCCTCATTGATCATTTATAATTATTTATCATGCGTTACGTGATAATAGTCGCTCGTGGAATGTTTTTCTGATTTCGGTGTGTATACGGCGTTTTTATTTCCTTATTAAATCGAGTCATGTCTATCTAAGCAATAAAATTCATGTGAAACATGCCAAAAGATTGATATAGCTATGTTTGCGCAGTTTTTGCCTTTTGTTGATATCTGACGAGTACAATAAACGAACAGACTGGTCTTAACTGGTAGTAATCAGAGTATACAAACGAATATGTTTTATTACAATTGTATAGATATCTATATAGTGTACAATATAAATAATATATATGTATGTATGTCAAATATGAATAGAATAGGGTTAGTTTGTTACAGGTGGAAGTCCACGTGGAGTTTCCAGCTCGGTGTCACCCTCTGCGAGGAGTTTTTGATTCAAATCAATGACCGTACGACAGAAGTTTTGATCCTGGATGTCGACAAAGTCGGCGATGATGACGTTAACACCCCGTGCGCCCGGGGTTTGTTCTTTTACCCAGTGGAGCTTCTTGGAGAGCAGCTGTAACCCGCTGAACTTCTTTAAATTACCAGCTGTAGACACACAAAAAGGTAAAAACAAGTTTTTGATTTTTTTTTTTGATAAAAACACTTACTAAACAAATTTGTAAGTATTGTTTTCGCCACTGGCGTTAAGATAAACTGGCTCACATATCCCACATTATTATTTCGCGTCCTCAGGTTCTCAGTGAGAATCTCACATAGAATATCCGGGTTGGTGGTGTCCGGCCATGGAGTCGGATAGGCGCTGGACGGGAAAAAGTTGTACTTTAAGGCTTGGCTGTTGCGATACACCATAATCACCTAGGAAAACGCATTAAAACATCGTTACACTTGCTTATAGTCCGTTATAAATAGACTATACGACTTACTTGATATTGGTTATCGTTCATATAATTCATGGTCAAATTGTTCATGTAGCTGGAAGTCGTTTGTACGATTTTATCCTTCAGACTGTCGTAAAAGATGGTCGCCAGGGTGTCGTGATCGTTTGTCGTCACCGAATAGAAATGCTGACAGTCAATTATCACAACCTACACATTAAAACATACAAAAATTAATAATTTGACTTCAAAATGGCGAATTTTAATAAATTTTATTGAATTTTACCTCTTTTGGATGAGCAAATAGGAACTGTTGAATTTGCGCCAGGACTTCTTTCAATGGAGGGCCGTACAAACCGTGCACAATGTAAAAATCACGCACGTTGTCTTTGGACACACGTGTGGCGATCCGCAGATCAAAATAGCGCACACCAGCTTCAAGTTGTTGCAAAACATTAAAGTCCTGTGCTTTTGACCATCTACTGGTCACCCACTTAACAATAATACCCAACCACTTTAATTTCTTTAAAATACTGTCCAAATCTGGCGCCCAGTCGGAATGCTCGTTGATTGGCCATGTTCCACTGTCATGTGAACCTGCTCACACAAAACAAAGTTTAAAAAATTTAATTTAAACAGAAAAAAATCATTTACCTGGTATAGCAAGGTGTATAATAGGAAGACGTCGCAATTCTTCCGGCATACACGACATCCACGACGATAAATCCTCGGAAAACCTGCAATTCTCCGTTTTCGACGAGTTTAACGTCTTGGCACTATTCTGCCGCAGCACATCATCGCTGTTAATCAGTTTATCTTCCATGTTCTATCACCTGTGCCATCGAGGGTAGTCCCGCGTCCTGCAGCTCGCCAGCTCTCCTGGAAACACAATGATCGTGAAAATTGGTGGAGGCGCCGGTCACGCCGGTGCATCCGGATGGCGAATCGATTCGCGGGGGATCCGTCGGCGCCCACGAGCAGCGAATCGCGTCGATAGCAACGGCGGCGGCGGCGGCAAGGACGCAACGACGCTATTAGGGACGCATCGTGGTGCACAAAGCAACGGGGGCGGTATTGTGTGTGGGCTCGTCACAATACAAACACACGCATTCACCACCAGCAGCGTGTGTGTGTGGGTTAAATCGTGCGCTAAGCTCTTTTTTTTGATTCAATGCGAAGCCAAACAAATGCCGATTCAGGTTACGATTGCGATTCGTGGTCAAGGACTTCCTGTGATTACATGACCTCTGCGACTAATACGACTGCTACTCTGTTAAATCAATGGATTTCTAATTTTGCAAAACCCCCAAAACTTCCTTTGTTTCACAGAACGGAAAAAAATTACATAAATCATTTCGATTGAAATGCGGCAATACCATCTAGTAAATTACATTTAAAACGCAAATATATTTCGGTATTTCATCGAAACAACGATAAAAATTCATAAAAATATTAAATTTCTAGAGTTTTCAATTGTCACTACACATTTGGATGATGTACGAACCCTAAAAGCGTTAACAACAACTAGTTTGACCCGAATTTGCGTACATTATCGCGAATTTGTTATAACACCCACGGATAATATTGCATTATTTGTGACTACATTGGCTCAGCTTACGTAGATGATGACATATCACATTACGATTACATTCTCCACTGAATCGAGTCAACAAATGATAAAATGCGCTCGAATTTCGTGAGTGCCACCAATACACAAATACACAATCCACACCATGACCGGTTTCGAAACAAAAACAAACAAACTTTTTTACAGTCCAAAACCTGACCAGCATTTAAAAAAAAAAACATCAGGTAATTTTAATAGGATTAATCACGCCATATACTATTTATAATTAATTGCAAGATGCGATAAGGAACAGGTGTTGAGTGCAACTTCCGCCCACAGATGATAATTATAATTATAAATAGGAGGAAAGGCGGATATAATCTAAAAATGTACGCGAATCTCAATGACAAGCGGAAATGGCCGCAGGTGAAACATAGAAAGACTAGAAAGATATTCTTGCTGTGGTAAGCTTAAAGTTACATCAGTAGACTTAGACGGAACAAATCCCAGCGTGTGGTTCACGGTCAAAATGGTCACAATTATGAAATTTCAATCAATACAGTGCGTCTGTTTCGCATTAATTAATGATGAGTGATGAACTCGGGAATAATTTGGCTGGATGCCACAGAGTGCACTTACGCGTGCATCAGGTTCAACACGTGTACAAAATTCAACGTGTAATTAACGCGTTGTCAAGACACAGGCGAGAAAAAGTTTCGTGTGTATGTGATGTTGGACACTTGGTGAAGTCGGGGCGCGCCGTGCATATAAATAAACAAATCAGAAGCGAGCCGCTTTCCAGTCCAGTCCAGTAAGCGCGCGCCGAGTAGATAGCGATAGTTTAAGGCCGCCCGACCGGCGCACTAGCGACGACAACGTACGCTCAGCTGTTGGCTTAACTTTAACTCAGTACAGGGAAAACCGTCGCGCGAGCCTCCTCAGTGTGTTACACACACTGTAATCACCACCGCGGTTATCGCTTATCTTATCACCAGCGAGGACTTACACGCACACTCACCGCACGGCGTCAGCCTGCTTGCTTTCTTTCCGTACGTATTTGTGTGCAGGACAGCGCTGATCCGTCTCAGTCATCTTCTGCGATTTACTCGACGACATTCTGGCTACCGAAATTAGGTATCGCATTGGTATGCACCGCATATTGATCGATTCAATTGTGCATACCAGCTCGGATCACTTCGAATAGTGCCAAGAGAAAGAAAAGCGTTTAAAACTTACAAAATTGTTAAGTCAACATGGCGCATAACAACAAACAAGGTGAGCGATTAAGTGAAATACAAAGATTGAAATTGAAAGTGCTTGTAATTTGTAAGTGAATGTTATTATGAGTTATGAGTACTTACAGACGTGTATTACGTGTATGACTGGCGCACAAATTATAACAATTAATAACAGTCGTGGGTCGCTTCGGGAGGAAACATGCACGCGATCCGCACGCTCGTCCTTTTTATGTACACGCGCAAGATTTGCAAATTATCGGAATAATTTCCCCTTATCAGCGGCGTGTTTAAAATTAAATTATTTGCTATTTTTGGAATGCAAAACAACTTATGTCCGTATCTTCTTGTTTTTCGATTGTATCTTCGATTTTGAACTTTGAGGTGCTTAAATTTCACCCAAAACACACCCCCATCGAGTGTTGTTATCAAAATTATTTTTAGACGCGTAGATTTTCATTGTTGTGGACTTTGTGCGGCACGATTGTTGTTAATTGCTAACGGTAATGTCCTTTGCAGTACACCGTGACCTCAAGCAAGGACATCTGGGACGCTTGCTGGTCGCCACTGTGGGTTTACCTGGCCGAGGCAAGAGTTTACTCGCACGACGCATTTGCAGATATCTAAACTACACCCGAAACAATTGTAAAGGTATTTATTTAGTAAACATTAACAGTAATGTAAGCAATGAGTCTGATTTTTAATGTTGTTTACAGTTTTCGATATCAGTGAGTATCGGCGTAAACATTACGACCACTACGATTCGCACGAAATGTTCAAAGAGGACAATCGCCCCGCTTGGGAAGTGCGTCAGTTGAGTTTCCAGGAAGCCTTGAACGACGCCGTTGACTGGCTGTTGGAGGACGACCGGTGTGCGAATTCTGCAATTGACTTGAATTGTATTCAAGTGGCGATTCTTGATGGGCCCAACGTATGTCGGCGTCAACGTCAGATTATTCTTGATCAAACACACGCGGCTGGTGTACAATTACTCTTCATTGAATGTGTCTGTGAAGATTCACTATTATTAGAGATGCATTTTAAGTCTATTCTTGCACATTCGGTGGATTACCGCCATATGCCTATCGAAATGGCGCTGGAGGACCTTCGGGCAAAGATGGATCACTATGAAGAGCAGTATGAGACACCTTCGATTGGTCAACGCGCGGAAAACGCTTGTTCTACTGTTAAACTCCTTGATGATGGTTATGGCGGAGTATTAGCGCATGGTGTCACTGGCGTACAGTGTCTTATTTTAGGATACATTGCTACTCCCAAACCTTTACAGCAAACTCTTTATTTCAGTCGAGTAAGACACAGACATGCTAATAAAACGCATTAAAAGTTTATATAAAAACTTTTTTAAATATTTACAGCACGGGGAAAGCGAATTCAACGTTTTGGGACGAATTGGTGGTGATGCAGGTCTGTCCCCACGTGGTGCAAAATACGCCGAGGTGTTATCCAACCACCTGAAAGCCCTAAACCTTCAAAATCTACAAATCTGGACTTCGACACTAAAACGCACGAAAGCCACAGTCGCGCATATGAACGTCCCAAAGAAACACTTCCATGCTTTGGACGAACTCTACTCCGGTCAATGCGAGGCCTGCTCTTATGAAGAGCTGCTAGAGTTACATCCGAAAGAATTAGCTATGCGTGACGCTGATAAACTACAATATCGCTACCCACAGGGTGAATCCTACGTGGATGTCATGACACGTCTCATGCCAGTCTTGCAACAGTTAGAAACCGAGAATAATGTGTTGGTGGTCGGTCATCAAGCAGTATTGCGTTGTGTCCTGGCGTATTTCCTCGGCACACCAGCGGAGGACATTCCCTACATGAAAGTCCCGCTGCACACGTTAATTAAATTAACATTACGTGGGTATGAGTATACAATGGAGACGGTGAAGATGCCTGTGGATTGTGTGGATACTAACAGGTGTAAACCGATGAATTGTGATGTTACGAGGAGTAAGGACGAAGTCCTGAAAACAATCCCGCAACATTTCGACTCGTTGGTGCAATTGTAAAAGATTGCTTGGTTTGATTCCCATTTGGTAACTTCTATTGAAGCAAAATTGACGGATTTTATAAGCAGAACGTATTTTTATATGAAATCTATCTGTAGTTATGTATTGTTATACATGTAAATAGTTCTAAACGCTCGTTATACTTATTTATACAACTATTTATAGAACTGAGTAAATTCTCTTCTGCAGATAAGCGTGATTGTTTGAAATTGAGATTAACTTACCAAATAGACGCCGTGCTATTAATTTGCTAGCAATTTATTTGGTTTTGCTGCATGCGTAGGATGAATTTTGGCGTTTTTTTGATTCGAATGCGGTTTGCGCAAAAGCATTGCATGTGTTGTTGCAGATCTCGTCGCGCTGGGCGGTTGACTCTAGTCGCGCGGCGTCCACGTTTGAAATGTTGGTTATGCAATTACCATGAGGTGACAACGCTATTAATAACCGACGCCCAATGAGCACAAGAAATCCTCGAATCTCGAGCCGTTTGCCGTGAAGCTGTTAAGCCGCGAGTTGCACAAACATTACGACATCGCGAGACCATATGTGTTGTAGGCTAACCTAACTTCCACGCACATAACGCGCAAACTTTCGTTACCATCGCCTGGCCAGTGTAATTCAAATCAGTTCCATCACAAAATGTGAGTAGATCATCAAACATTCCCCATGGTTTTATTTAATTCCTTCCCTGAATGTGATCCACGCCTGTTTATCCCCTCGCCGGGGCTTTGTTAATGCGAAAACCTCAACCAATCATAATCCACAACTGCTTCTATTATTTGCACAATTCTAACTTTTAAAGTTGAAATAAACGCGTACTACAAATCAGTTTGTGTGATTTCTGAACAGGTCACTATTTAAAAACACAAACCATTTATCACTGGCCCTTGGTGTATCACTATGCGGTCTGGGCGGCTATCTGATCTATCAGTACTTAAAGAGTGATAATGAAATAAGTTTACAACTGATAGTACCTAGTGCATATGTCGGACATTTAATCGGAAGGAGAGGCCACCGATTAAAAGCCCTGCAGGACCAGAGCGGAGCAAAGATTGACTTTCATGAGAGGTCCACAGGTCCCACCACTGAAAGCTACTGTGTCATCCGAGGCACGCAAGATTCCGTGTGCCAGGCCGAGTTTGCAATCAAAGATATCATCGAGGAGCAAAAAGCGACACTCTGTGAGCATATTAGTATTCCAGAAAAGTTTGTGAGTCGATTAATCGGCCAGGAAGGTTCCACAATCGGAGCCATTTGTGATCTGACAGGCGCACGTATTAATGTCGAGAAGACATCAGGCACTGAAGTGCGACAGATTGCCCTGAAGGGTACAAGAGAACAGATTGATTTCACGAAACAATGCGTACAGGAACTCATGAATGACCACATGCAGATGATTGAATCTTTAGAGAAACGCACACCGCGAGCGCATTGTAAATACGCGGAGAAACTTGGAGGTGTTGAAAGTTCAACAACGCCTTTCGAAGTGTATGTGTCTGCAATGGTAGATCCATCACGCTTCTGGTTGCAGATTGTTGGCCCAAAAGCACAGCAGCTTGATCAACTTGTCGAGGAAATGACAGATTATTACAAAGTGCCCGATAATCGCGACTGGCATAAACTGAAAAACGTCGAAGTTGGCGATTTGGTCGCCGCTACGTTTTTCTACGACGAACGCTGGTACCGCGCAGAGGTACTGGAAATAAACGACAACCTTGCTGAGTTGTATTACGTTGATTACGGCGATACAGAAAAAGTAGCGCTTGCGGATCTGTACGAACTTAAAGTAAACTTCCTGAAGCTACACTTTCAGGCGATTGAATGTTTCCTTGCACGAATCGGTATGTTCTCCAAACAAGAAACATATTAATGTAATACATTTTGTTATCATTCATAGAACCTGTAGAAGAAACATGGACGTCTGAAGCAGTGGATCGTTTCGAAGAGTGGGCGCACGTCGCACAATGGCGGAAACTATCCGCGAAAGTCGCCGATTATTCCTTCCGGGAGCGCACGCGTGCCCAGCGCAGCGATTCCCCGGTGCCCGGTGTCGAGTTGTTCGACGTCGTCAACGACGCGGATATTAATATCGGTGAGGAATTGGTGCGTCAGGGTTACGCCGTGCATAGTCGCGCCGGTGAGAGCAGTCGTAGCTTAACAAGTTCTGACTTGGAGCGAAGCTAATCGCGGTTTTGATTTCATTTTCGTACAAACAAAAAAACTTGCTGCCTAGGGCAGGACTAGTACAACTATACTAATATAAGACATCGAATTGTTCCTTCGCTTGAAACGGTGATAACGCATACGAGTGCAATTTACAAACTAATCTTAGGCGGGTTTTTGACTACATGGTTTTGAACTTATCAACTTAATCGTGACGAATTTTATAGAGCAAGTAATATTTCGAGTGACATGGAACAAGTTTTTATAAACGGTAGTATGTAGTCCGTACATGTGGTTTATCGTTTAACGCATTTGCAGATACATGGTTAAAACTTAAATTTAAACAAACGAAAAAAAAAACTTACGTGGTACGTGGTAGATTGCAGCACAATGCATGAAATATTATCAAATTCGACTTTTTTCCGCGCGCGCACTTATCGAATTAAAGCCGGCTGCCATTTTTTTAGAATTATAGACTTTTGTTAACTATTTAACGAGTGATAAGTGCGCGAGTGCTGCGTTTACTAATCATATCTCGCCCAACAAAGATCGTGATAAACTGCATTAATGTAAAAAGTATTAGTAATTGATTTGTAAATAAGTAGGAATAGCGGACGGGCGAGAGAGGAGAATGATGAATTAGCTTAGAATTGTTTTGTTTTAACCGACTACTGTTACATACAGGGAATGCGTTTGTTTGTTTGACTACGATAAGAAGTTTTAATGAAATTAAATCAGGTTTTTATTGATACAAAAAGAAAGAAAACAGGTGCAGCTTCGCTTCTAGTAGTTGTTTTATTAAATTACCAAACAGATTGTTTATATTTATATTATCGATTACTTTTTCTCGGGTTTTTCATTTGTCTGAAACTCTAGTTTCGTACTATATAATATTTTGTGTTTTTTTTTTGTTGTTGTTGTGAAGTAGAGATTGTGTACACATCAATCTTGATCGAATCGAAGACTAATCCTGTTTTTTTTAGTTAACTGGCGAACGCAAACAAACAAATGTCTACGTTCGCTTATCGCGCGCGACGTGTTGAAAGCACGCTGGCGCAATGAATGTTTTAAACATCGAAGGTACAATTGCTTTTATAGTTTAAAAAAAAAAGTGTTGCTATCAGCGAGCCTCCTCCGCGCATGAAACAGCATTTTTTCACTCGACTGACGCGTACTTTCGTCTCTGCACCTTTAAAAGTTTAAAACCTAGCGCTAGAACTTAAAATGACGAACAGTAAATCATCATTGTTTAATGTACATATAATTTGACAATCGCTTGTCATTCACATGAGCAAAGGATCTTGCGTGGTATAAAAATGTAGCGTGGAACACAATTCCCGTTTTTTTTTGTTTTGTTTTGTTTTTTTACATGGAATATAAGTACAAGTACATTTCGGTCGGATTCGACAATCAAGGAATGGCGAAACGCTTGTGTGCTTTTGTTGGTTGTCGAGTCCAGACAGTGTGTGTCGACATCTAGAAAATTGACAATATGCGTCCTGCTACCACTACCGTTATCATAGACATGATATGAGCTAAGAAACGCAATGGAGTATACACACGTTTGACTATGCGCGCGAGTGATATATAAAAAGGGCAACAAAACCGTCGTTTATTTATCTAAATATATTAATGAATTGTTAATTAATATAAACGAACCTCAATCAATATGAAAGTTCTCTCAAATACACAAAAAAATACATTCAATGTTTCCTGGATGGTCTGCGTAACTGTTTTTGCTTTTGCTATCGACTTAATTCGCTTAATTTTTTGCCTTATTTCTTTGATTTACTCTTCATTCAGGATGATGGCTGCGAGACGATGAGCACCTCGCGTTCGATCTATGTTATTAAGCTGGTAACTGCAATTTCTTGCCATGCAAAACTGAAACAAAACGAGAAACGTGTTGTATTACTCACATTCGCACGCACTGCAAGTGATTCAGAGATTGAAAAGCAATAGTTTTGTGGCATTCTTGACTTTCTTCAGTGAATATATCAGCATGCATGAGCTTGGAATTTGTCATTTTGTGAGCGTGCGTGAGTTGTGGAACTTACCTTTGGTAATATACAAATAGAAAAAGTCACAGTATAGCACCGTCTGGACGACGCCGGCGACGATCGCAATGAGATCGTAGGTGTCCTCAGTTGCGTAGCGATAGATCCAGTTCAAGATGTACAGCCCGCGATACGAGCCGAGTGCGAACAGGTAATGCGAGGTGATCGTCTCCGCCTCGCCGGTCTTGCTCACCATGAAGAGCTGCGGCAGAATCGCCACCGACTCTAGATAAATACTGAAAGTCCACAGGATCTACAAAAACCAAACATATATTAGTGATTTACTGAGTAAAATCGATGCTTTTCTATTGTTTTCTACCTCCAGGAAGGAAAACTCATGATTGATAAGTAGTGCGAGCACCACCGCTGGGGCAATGAGAAACTCGCAGCGGAAAGTGTCATGATTGTGATCATAGGTCGCCTTGAACTTCATGTAGATCAGGTAGCAGGTCCCCATTGACGCCGCGATGAAGATGAGCTTCATGATGGTGTTGTAGTATGAGACATAAGTGGTGAAGAGGTCGAGGTATCTCGTCGTGTAGACCAGCGCGAAGAGGATCTGCGACTTGCCGGAGATTCCTGCGAGGGTAGAAAACATTAAAACACGTTACACGTTTACAGCCCGGCCGGCAAACGTGTCCAAGGCTTGCGCCAATACAATCACGATTGAAAATTTAACAAATACGCTCGCCAGACGACCGTAACTATGCAACAAAGCGCGTGTGACCGGTGAAAGAGCCCCTAATGCCTTACCAGCGCACGATCGCGTCTTCCATATCTTATCCAGCAGGATGATAATCGCGAGGAGATGTGAAAGATCACCGAATAACCGGAAGATATTCATGTTGGGAGCTTTGGCTGTGCCTGGCGGAGGTCTGCTGCTAGCGGTTGGATTCGATTGGAGCGAGTTTCTTCGATGCACCGGAGGATCACACTCGCTGCCGACATGCACTACACCCACACTGCCGCAGTGCCACAACAAATTCGCTCGCCGAAGTCGCGATCGACGATTGGAACACGCAGACGACGTGACGTGGCTTGATTCAGGCGGGGCCAACAGATGGCGCTGGTGGTATGTCCGGTTGTATTAATACGCCGCCCCGACAACGTTTAAATATTTTTCGCGTTCAGAACGACTGTGATCCACAACGCGTAGATTTCTTTGCTATTTACACACTGTTTTATCCACAGTAATTGTTTGCGTTTGTATTGGTATTCACGTTGCTGTTTGCTGTATAAATAAATTGCACATATAAGCCAAATAAGTAAATGCTACTTTGACTTATCGCAATTGTTACTTATACAGACTTATACAGTCGTGACGTTTGCACTGATACGTGGGATAATTACAAAATTACGGCATGAAGTGATAAGCAAATAATCGAAAACGTGTTACAGATTTTCGCCTTCTTCTCCCAGATGGCGCGCGGTGTACGAAATCCAGGTGTTTCTCGATAAGCACATTGCAAGTGTGAATCGTGTCCGAGGTGCATAGTTCTGGTTTCGTGCTGGGTGAATTAAATTAAATCGAGGTAAGTTATATAACTTTTTTAACAATCGCCTAGGTGTGTGTAGAGTGAGCCGGTGAAAAGATCAAATTAGTTTGATTAAAGCCACCTAAGTTAACTGCAAATAAAACCGAATAAAAATAAACACGCGCTAATCTTGTTGGACTGAAACTTGCGCGCACCGCTCCAGACTCGAGGAGATTTAATTTTTTCTCTTCAAAGAGTTTCCTCGGCTGGTGCGCTGATGATTTAAAATCAAGTTCACGACGGTAAAGCTTGTTTAATGCTGACTAAGCATTTAGGTCCTTCTTTTTCGGCGTCGTGCCGGCGCACGCCGCAGATTGAATTCCGCACGCCGCCTCCGCGCGCGCATGCCGCCAGTTAGAGCTTCAATTTTCACACGCCTAAGTGGTTTTTCGGCAAATTGCTACCAGCATCACAGCGTCGCCACGACACCAACGAACTCAATTCCAATGATATTTCTGCCCCAATGCACGGCCGCACGCGATACGTATTTAATTGCGAGGGGCGCTTCATTATTCGCTGTATGCAGCGCGTAATTGTCTAAAGCGCCAAAGATTAGGGGTATCACGCAACGGAATTAAAACACTTGAAATACGAGACGCGGCGAACCTACAAAAAACTATTTACTTTTTTATCGCTTGCAGCGAAGAGAATTCGAGAAGCGCGCTGTGTTTTTCTACCCATTGAAATGTAATGATCAACAAGCTGTACAAACAGTAAATACACATTGAAGTATTCGTTTTAAAAACGATTACTTACACTTACAAAGCCGCCAGCAGCTGACATACTAGCATTACAATAGTGTATAAACATTGATAAGATTATAATTGAATTGCTTCAAGGTGCATAAGAGCCGCGCACACATTTTTTCCTGCAGCTGCGAAAAACCAACGCGCTCTCGAAAATTTTACCATATTAAACACACTCCCTAATCGAAAATTGTAAATACACCGATGACATACAACCATTAATCAATCAATCAAACTATCGCTGGAGAATCCATTAAATCAACTCCGCCGTCAGCGCACTCACTGAATGTTGCGGCGGCGCCCTCAGTAATTAAAACCTGCTCATAATTAAATTACCAGGATTTCGCCGTGCTCGAGGGCGCCTCCGCCACGTTCGGCGCTCTTTTCGCCAGCGATACATAACAATAAATAACGCGCCCGGCGACCTATCTCCGCCGATCTGCCAACTCTTTCGCCCGGCACGTTTTTTTTCTTCTTTGCGTCGACTGCCAGTATATCGTCCTGAGTTAGTGCGCCGCGCTGCTAATACCTAATACGGAGACTGTGTTTGCTTCGAGTATGGGCCGGGACAGTGGAGCTGAGCCCTGTTCGCAGGACGCCTCGGCGAAATAAGGAATAGGGGGCAAAGTGAAAATGGGGACTACGCTAATCCATTACGCTGTCAACTGTGCCCGCACACGCTTCCGCTGCCTCCGCCGTCTCCGGCAACTTGTCACTGACATGTTCTCTTAGCAACAGCGCATATACGTTTTGTCTCTCTCGACTTTTATTAAACAGCGCCTTGGTTTTGCAGACGCGTTTTCTATATTACGCTAATTACGCTTTGTGCGTGGCTGGAAAGAAGAGTGTTGCGATTGTGTTTCAGCGCGCAACGCGAAACCGTTTACATAATTGTTTACAAGAAACTAGGGAAAATTTCTCCGCGAAAGCTACCAAAATGATTCAGCAATGAAAAGTTGAGTGTTTGTATAATTATCGCGAAATATGTTTAGAAATTGTATACGTTTACGTACTCACCGATTAAATTTTTGTTCAGAGCGGTTCAGGTTACCATTTTATAACTGCAGATAATTTTGATGGTATATACAAAGTCTTGGGTGTCTTCACCATTTCCCAGTGTTTTTTTGCTTTTTTTTCAATTCAATTTAATAGTAATTGAACTTTAATTTGATCTTTTCTGAGTGTACAAATTCATCAATCATTTTTCACTCTTCACTTGGTCCGTGAAGTTTGTTTTCCAAGCATCTGATGTGCACAGCACTTCCTTAATTATTTCTTGCAGTAGAAGCAGAAGACATTGAATCACTAATTGTTGGTTCTAAATGTTCAACGTATTTGTATAAAATAGAAAACTATTGCATGTTTTAAACGTTTACTTGCAATTTAATTATGTTTACATTTTATGTAAATGTGATCAAGTGTAATTACTCAAGTTTTGGGCGTTTTTGGCCCATGTCCTTCGGCGGGACAGCATCATCCGCACCTCGCTTTGGACCAGCCTTCTTCACCTCAGCCGAACCACCACCGTTGTTGGGTTCCGGCTGGGCCTCCGAAGAAGTACAAATCGCCTTCATCTGCTGGATATAATAATCGAACATATCTAGTGGTGGTTCACTCAGGGATTCATCAGTGGTCGTGAGTCTTTCCTCAGTAATCAGATTATACTCTGCGGCTTCTTCCAGCGGCACAGTAATAGCTAGAATGGTCTCTGACCCAGAGGACGGAAGCGATGGTACCACAATGAAATCGCTATCATCCGTGGAGGAATCAGACGTGGACCCCGACGAGGAGGACCACTTCGCTGTATCCTCTTCATTCTTGGCAAGTATCGCTTCCTGCTTTTTTTCCGGATCTTCTGCGCCCTCTGGCAATATCGGCATTGATAGTGCTCTTTCAAACACTGCCTCGGGATCTAAGTGCTTGTTCTCATCAGATTTCTTATCATCTGGCTGCGAAGACATCACGAATCGTTCTCGGTTTTGTATTAGCAAATTGATAATAGTTGTCAAATCGACAGGATACCCATTTGACGTCACAAATGCGAATTCTGACTTGTACCCCGAGCACACGCAGATTGGCAACGCGACCCGACGACACACAATTCAGTTCTGTCCACTGGTGGCCAAGCGGCGCAAGCGGTACTGATTTCAGCTGGCCGGCTTAAGAAAATATTGTGAAAATGCAAACTATAAACATATTGTGTTACTTGTTTAAAAAGGGAACGTATCATTTCGCGAAGGTATGTTTTGTCAATATAGCTAACATCACCATCATTATAACAATGGGATAAACAAATTGGTGATGCCTACATTATAAATGACAACCGCGATAAAACTGAATCATTCTACGTTGATGAGCCGCGCTGTTTAAAGGTATGTTCTTGCATTGCAATCTTCAATTGTTATCTTTGATTGATATGTTATTACAAATAACAGTAGCATGTTTCATGTCAGTAATTTGATTGTTTTGCGATTATAATTGTACGATCTGACTTTAACTAGTAGGGATTTATATTGTTATATAATTGTAACAAGTGTCATCCACAAAATACGTGGCCCTTTCACTTTCTTGTCCCTAAAATATCATAAAAATGGCTATTTCGGCAAATTTCTAATTCTAAGCCTGGGTGCTTCCCTGTATAACTTGTACCAACGAACCAATTTAGGACTTCTCTTTGTCACGTGGTAGTTTAAAGGACCCTTTTTAACGTTCATATTTTTTTCAGCCTCTAAACCTTTAGAATTTAGATAGTACCTTAAAATGCCCTTTATAAATTGCTGTATTCGGAAAAATTTCGACTTTAGGTTTGGAAAACGCCCTATATCTCCGGTACTAAGCGTCCAATATAATGTTTCTTATTATCATATTATAGTTTAAGAGATCCTTTTTAACATGCATATTAGTTTCGCCCTCTAAACCTTTAGGAAGTACCTTAAAATGCCCTTTAAAAATTGCTGTTTTCGGAAAAATTTCGAGTTTAGGTTTGGAAAACGCCCTATATCTCCGGTTCTAAGCGGCCAATTTAATGTTTCTTATTATCATATTATAGTTTAAGAGATTCTTTTTAACATGCATATTAGTTTCGCCCTCTAAACCTTTAGGAAGTACCTTAAAATGCCCTTTAAAAATTGCTGTTTTCGGAAAAATTTCGAGTTTAGGTTTGGAAAACGCCCTATATCTCCTATACCAATCTAGTAATTTAAGGTTTTTCACTTTCAAGGTGTAGTACAAGAGTTCCTTTTCAATATGTGTACATTTTTAACTCCCTAAACCCTTAGGAAGTACCCTAAAACACGCATCAAAAATAAGTATTTTTTTCTATATTTTCTATTTTTTGGTCGAAAAGACAGATCTAACAACTTTTAAAAATTTATTTTGGTCGAAACACAGGTCCGAACTTATTTAAAAAAATATTTTTGCTCGAAAGACAGGGTCGAAAAATTTCGGTCCAAATTTATGCCAATTTTTAATTTTCAAATGTATCAGAAATGTTCAATTTTCCAGTTCGAGTTGGTTCGAAGCGAAACTAGGCATCTTGTTGTAGGAGTTCAGCGCAGTGCCGTAACTAGGGCGGTGCCAGCAGTGCCCAGGCACAGGGCGCAGACCCTGGAGGGCGCAGAAATGACCATTTTATTTTCAGAACCTGGTTAGAGCATTGTTCAGGGGCGCAGTTTTGAAAGCTCGCACCGGGTGCATAAAAGGCTGGTTTCACCACTGGTTCAGCGTATAACCCGACAGCGTAGGAGAACCCCACCTTGCATCAG